CTATAGCTGTGACGAACTTAACCCCATAGCTTAACACTGACTTAAATACTGATACTGTAGTAGTCTGTGACTTTAGGCACAAGTCTGAATCCAGAGTCAAGCAAAATCTCTTCAGATCTTGGAACCTTTGCAAATAAAAGTCCATACATTAACACTGAGATCTACTGAAAATGATATCAAGTGACAGGTTCATCTAGCAGACTCAAACGTTTTTGGCACAGTCTGTGATAGTAGAAGTCCTACAATTGATTTGTGAAACAGAACCCTTACAATTTACAACTTAACATAATAACAAAATTGCATCATAACATGTCAAAATGGCATCAACGAAAAGTCTTGTCAAACCCATCTTAAATCAGTGATTGTAACATACATAAATATTTGATAATTATTTGTGATTTAAACTTAAAATAATATATTTAGGGTTATACTGCATATATTTTATACATAGTAGTACATATTTTGGCAGCAACTTCAACTTGCATGATATTGACGTTGTGAACCTGCCCTGTTCCCCTGTTTACACAATATAGCACATATACATAAGCTGAGGAAAAATAGTTTCTTATTATTCATCACTTTTCCCTTTATGTGAACACAGAACAAAGAATGCAAGTAAAGGTTCACATGTTATTGAAAATATGTTTCTGTCGTCCTGTTTATCGTCTAACGCCACATTGAGCAATATTCCAGCTGTATGATGGCGGCCTGTAAATAATCGAGTCTGGACCAGACAATCCAGTGATCAATATTGTCAGCAACAATCCACACCATCATGGCAACCAACCAAGTCACCAAGCCTGAACAACTGGGCCATAAGCCTGCAACAAGGGCCCACTTGCACAAAGCGATCTTAGTGCTAAGATGATCGTAACTCCCATACTTTAACATAGGCTTACAATAGTCTTAGCACTAAGATCGCTATGTGCAAGTGGGCCAATGTCCATAGCAGAACAATGGTGGGAAAGATGACGGAAATTGAAAAAACAGATTTCAATTTCAGATAGAAATATCACATGTTTGTGTCACAAAAAAGAGCTCAGAGAATCTCTTCATTTTCAGGGCCTGACACTAAAGAAATCTAGACTATTATAGACTTGCATGGGATTCTTTTGTTTCAGGTTGTGAATGAGAGACCACATGGGACACCATAGAGAGATATATATCAGTTTTATCCTATAGGGAGCACTAAGAACATCAAGATTGGACTACTGAAATGTGTATAAGCGACCAAAGTTTTTATTTCTGAAATTAGTCCAACATAATAATTTGGAAAAGGTTTGGAACATGACTAAAGCGAAAACAAGAAATACAAACCTCTTTCTGTTTTGAACAATTTCAACAAAGTATAAATTTTCAGAGACTAATTCCTGAATGTGACAACAAAAAAAGACATTGGTCAAAAATATTTTCAAGTGTTGGCTCCTCAAAGCTGTTCAGGCTCAGCCTAACTGATGGGTTCAAGGATTCATGATAAAAGCATTTTCTTGGGGGTTCAACAAAATGGAAGAAATGATGAAAAATGTAAATGACAGGATTAAGTAAAGAATAATATTGCACAACAAATGGATTTCTGAGTGTATCATACATAATAAGTACAATATTTAAAATCAATAGTGTTTCAAACAATTGCTGAAAATGCTGCAAAATATAACCCAACCTGATGTGAAGCGCAACCAATTTGAGAAATAAATTAAAATAAAGAAATGCACATACATAATAATCTTACATTTGCCTTGCATCATCACAACACTAATACTTACAAGGAACCTTGTAAACACAACGCAGGTTGGTGTACTTATCAACACAACTAAAAATATACACATCTGAAATATTTATCACAATGACACTTAACAACAAAGATTGAAATTTTCAAAATTATTTCGCTGACAATCATTGTCAGATAATACGTCATGGATGATGATCCAAGAATTAAAATGAGAGCATGAGAGGTGAAGGGGTTTTATTATTGGAATGAACTAGGTGAGCTTAACGTTCTTGGGCTCAACTCTCCTACAAATGACTTCAGTATTACAATGATCTCAAGTCACGATCTGTAGCGATCCCTAGCAAACAAACCTGGAATGCACACATTTAAGTCTCCTTTTTTTGGCCATGTGCTTAAAAAGCAGAAAGATAAACATTTGTGCATATGTTCAAATTTGTACCGTATTTTCTTGACTACAGTGCACACCCAAGCATATGCACACTCCCCTCTAAGGATGCAGAATTTAAAAAAAAAAGATTTCTGACTATCATGTGCAGTAGAAAACTACATCTTTATATCATAACATAGGATAGCTATGCGATAAATCGCAAAGAACAATGAAGAACATTGTTTTATCATGACGTTATTTCTGGAGATTCGAACATGTGTTGGAACGTCATGACGTCGTAAAATGTAAAATGGACGAGATTATTTTTGAGAGGGAAGTGTCTGGTAAGTTGCTCCCCATAGATGTAGCTGGAAGAAGCAGAATACGCTATGGCCAAACGATCACATCCAAAAGTGGAAGTGGGCGAGATTTGACAATCGGGATTGAGAGAAAAGGTGCAGATAATCGCCGTGAAAATTGTTGAGCATACCAAACTTAACCCCCCTGTAGATAAAATGGACTTGTCCGACATTGCCGAGGTCGGATTGTATTCAGGGAGTCATCATTATTAACATACAGGTAAATGTTTATAAAGCTTGTACATTTTATTGACATCCTTAAAAAGTCTGTACAAAATGTTGATATCTGCACCTCATGGTTTATTCTCCCTGCAGTGTTTTATTGTACGATAAACAGCTCCCACTCATCGCTTATTTCTTAATTCATGCATTGTGAATTTGGGCCAGTCCCACACTGCAAGTGCTATTGGACGCTTCAAGATGTACACAAAACCTACAGTACCTCAAATAGGGGACTTATTGGAGACTCACTGTGACAATTTTAACGCATATGACACACGCTGGTGAAAAACTATGTCATTGTTTGTCATGTTCCCTTTCAACAGAGCAAGACGTTGATGTTATTCAATTTATCTTAACTTACAACTTGTTTCTTTAAACTTTAAATGTTAAATTCAGGGTCATGTTTTGTCTCTAACTCCTTGTTTTGGATTTTTTCAAGACCAGTGCTTACATTTTGAATAAACTAAGACTCAATAAGAATGGGTGAAACCTGTCATTATGCCCAGAGTGAGTGAGTATGGTTTTACGCCACTTTTAGCAATATTCCAGCAACATCACGGCGGGGGACACCAGAAATGGGCTTCACACATTGTACCCATGTCGGGAATCAAACCCGGGTCTTCGGCGTGACTAGCGAACGCTTCAACCACTAGGCTACCCCACCGTCCCTCATTATGCCTAGAGATAAACTATGTGCATCCCAAGTGTCCCAATTTTCTGTATTCCTCGGTTTTCTGGACCAGATGAGAATTGCTTTAATCCCAAAGGGTCAGGTATGTCACACAAAGATATTTTTACATAGATAAAATCAGGTTAAAAATTAATTTCTATTTTCAATTTTCCGCAATAATGACATCCACCCAATGGTAAAGTGATGGTCCACAAGGAAATAGCATTCCTCAATTTAACAAGAGTCTGAGGATTTTCATACTTTCCAGCCCCGGAAATCCCCACACAATAAACTACAGTCTTGTATGCAGGACGTTGACCTGAAACACATGCAATGCTGTGATCACTTGTGGAGAGCATCTTCATCCCCTGCAGACCATGATGCTAATGATACAGTACATGTGAAATGATATGACACTGATACCACTACCTCTCACATCAGAAGTGTCAACCAAAGACTACTGAGCAGAGATATGACACCGTCAGGAATAACATACACAACTCACAGGTCCATCAAAACACAGATACAATAGGAAAATATACTTTAAAATAGTTTCATGATAGGTTCTTTCATTTGTGGTCAGTTAACCTTGTTAATAAACATAACCTTGGGATAAGGAAAGATAAACCATCTCCTCAAGCAGCATTATCCATATACCCTGTTTGTTTGTTTGTTTGTTTATTTGTTTGTTTGTTGTTTAACGCTGCACTCAGCAATATTCCAGCTATATGATGGCGGTCTGTAAATAATCAAGTCTGGATCAGACAATCCAGTGACTGACATCGCAAACAACAATCCATCGGGTACGAAGACACGTCTTTGACCAAGTCACCAAGCCTGACCACCCAAATCATTTGGTTGCTTCTCAGGAATTCTCAGGAATCAACATGGCAGCCCTGTACCCTGTAATATGATCTATCAATCAGTGAATGTGAATGACGCAGTGATATTCCGACCATATCACGCCAGCCTAAGAGAATTGGGACCAGGCAAACCTGTGACTGAGAGCATCATCAACGATCCACACCATGAAAAGTTGTCAAGATGCTATCCAAGCCAGGAGTTATATCGAAGCAGTGACTTTCTGCAAAACAATAACTTGACTATTTGATCTGTCAAAAATTCAACATCTCAAATGAACAAGAATCCCGATTGCAATGGTAGCGGTGGAATCGTCAACATCACCATATCTCCAGATACTCATGGGTACAGAACACTTCCGATCTGTTTCTGTATAGACATTCCCCTCAGTAATAGCCTAGAAGCTCGGTTTCTTGGCTGTCCCGGCAAACATAATATTGATATTTTCCATGTAATGAAAAAATATTTAAATGACTAAGATGCTTATCAGTAGTGAGTGAGTTGGGTTTAATTAACGCCGCTTTTAACAGTATTCCAGTTATATCGCGGCGTGTCAGCTTAATGTGGGAGGAAAGCTCGAAGTGATGCAGGTCTTAGACGTTTACCAGTTCGGTGAAACCCACAAGCACGCCCACGGCGATATTTGCTAATATATTGGCTAGTGAACAATGCCAATTAGCACTCCTTCCAATTGATCAATATTCACAAGACTTATTTATTTGTGTATAATATGTGTGTTATATGCACCCTTAATTATGGGCAATTAAATTCTTGAAAAATATATCTGTCGTATATAAACATTGCAGGCTGTCAGCATAAACCCCGAAATTTACGATCTTTTAACTCTGTTGTTTTTCACCAAAATAATATTCTAATAAGAGCCCCCTATTTCTAATTTTGAGAGCGCCCTGGACGCTTACTATGTCGATTACTGTAATAGAAAGCCTGCACACCAAAAGCAATTACATCATTTTTAGCCAAATACCAGTTACCAGAAGGTTCTGTTTGTCATGTTCATCGTATCACGATTACAAATGATATCACAATTGTTGAATACAACCAAATGTTAAAGACAATTTCCCTGCTAGCACGTGCTGACTTCACTCTGCGCTGGCGCCTCATCTTTTAGTTTCACGTCGACAGCTTTCTCCAGTGAAAAGCCATACATGCTCCCAAGTCTGTAGAACCAATCTGCCAAGGTTTCCTTCAGCTTGGGGTCCTCGGCATGGCAGATGAGTTGGTTGACACAGTTGAAGACTGCAGGCAGCAGGGCACGGAACTGGGGCTGTGGAAGCTGCAGGAAGAGACGGAGGATGGTGCACAGCATCTCCGACCAGGACATCACATGTGCCTCACTGTCCTGGAATACACAAATCATTACCTTTTAAAGAATCTAGCTACTCTACTTTCCCCGTCAAAATCTTGCTTGATAACGGTAAATCCGTAAATTCTTATCCTTACTTAGTACTCCAACTTCTAAATGCCTATCAAAGAAGTTATTCGTCGTCTTCATGGAGATGTGGCAATGTCAACCATCAACCGACTCAACAACCTTCACTTGCTTGATAACGGTGTTAGAACCTATACCGAAACGTCGCTCTTAATGGTAATAAAGAAGTTGTTCATCCATAAATTCTTATCCTTACATAATCTTAAAAAGAATATACAATACTCGGCATATGCAAACAGTCAGAAAAAACACATACTGTAAATCTGAAAAAATTAATGCTAACTCCTAGCCAAAAATGCAACTCTATATCGATGTGACCCACCCCATCCCCAGTGGAATGATGCATATCATTACCTTAATCCAACCTCAAATTAATCCAATAAACAGCAAATAGCTCCGCTTATTAGCACTGAGTAGAGCACTGCTGTAAAAACAATGAACTGTGTTTTCCTAAAGACGACACACAGTTTATATGTACTCGGCTGACTGGCCTTTTCGAAATTCAAAGGCAATAAAATAATTGAACCAACAACAGTTCACTGATTGGTATGCGCAGAAGGTGTCAACAAGCTTGACACAAGTGGGTAGAACTCTTGACCCCACCAGATGCCCATTGTGTAATTCCTATTCTTTGAATGAGTGAGTGAGTGAGTGAGTATGGTTTTACGCCGCTTTTAGCAATATTCCAGCAATATCACGACGGGGGACACCAGAAATGGGCTTCACACATTGTACCCATGTCGGGAATCGAACCCAGGTCTTCGGCGTGACGAGCCAACGTTTTAACCACTAGGCTACCCGACTGCCCCTTTCTTTGAATGACATTGTTATATACTTGTTACGACTGCTGCTTAAAAAACTGTGTTTGTATTTAGATTCAAGTTGGTATTTCCGCTATCGAAAGTGTGCAGTCTTATTGTTGATAGTCATTTTGGAGACATCAATGTGAAGTTAATTAATGCGAGCAAAGACCACTGGCATTTTTCGCATTTAATTCACACTCGCATTAATTTCAAGATTTACAGTATTTTGTGCGTGTGTCTGTGCGTGTCTGTTTGCTATGATTCCAAGCTTTTCGGGGAGTTCAACATGGGGTGTTCTGCTTAATTTAGAGGCTGGGAAAAGTGTCAGGTTACGTTCCATCCCTTTTTTGTGGTTACCGTATTCAACGTAATAAGCGCCCGGGGTGCTCTCAAAATTAGAAATAGGGGGCGCTTATTAGAATATTATTTTGATTTGAAAGATTGTAAATTCCGTAGATTATGCTAACAGCCTGAAATGTTTACACACGACAGATATATTTTTCAAGAATTTAACTGCCCATAGTTAAGGGTGATATAACACACGAGTGCATGTTATACACGAATAAATAAGTCTTGTGTACATTGATCAATCGGAAGGAGTGCTAATTGGGATTGCTCACTAGCCAATATATTAGCTTATTATAGCGGGGCGCTTATTACGTCGAATACGGTATGTAGTGAAAAAAATTAAAGAAACTCGATTCCCAAATGGTAAAAATGCTCAATCTCAACATGACAAAACCCTCACCTTTAATATAGAGTTCTTCTGTTGCTTGTCGATCTCATCATCCACTCCGTCCTTCTTCCCTGCCTTGGACAGGTCCTTCTTCCTCTTGGTGAACTTGACGAAGGAGGGCATAGAGTGCTGCTGTTTGCGGCGCTTGTACTGGGACATGAGGGACTGTATGAACTTGTCTGTGGCCACCGTGTACACCTTGCTCTCGTGCTCCTCTCTCAGTTCCCGCTTGCTGCGAGTGTGCACTGGAGACGGGGTGTCGGCCCGCTCCTCCACGGGGGCAGGTGTGGTGGCATCCTCGGGGCAAGTCTCTGCCTGTGATTCTGAAATTCAGAAACCACATAAACATGATAAAAGTGTTGGGTTGGAGTTTTATGAGTGAGTTTTATGAGTGAGTTTTATGAGTGAGTGTGTGTGAGTGAGTGTGTGAGAGAAAGAGTACTGTTTTATGCCGTTTTTAGCAATATTCCAGCAAGATCAAGTGGGGACACCAGAAATGAACTTCAAACATCGTACAGCGTGATGAGCAGACACTTTAACCACTAGTCTCCCCCACTGCCCCCTATCGCTCTGAACTAGCTGTGATCAAATACAAGATACACCAAAACTCAGGCCTGTCTCTTTATATTTCGAGCAGCAGGCAGGTGTGGCCTAGAGAGGTCACACAGTAACCAAAAATCTCCCTACCCAGTAAGTCTTCAAAAAAACCATGAAAAACAAGAATACATTTGGCCTTCTCCAACAGAAACTGAAAGCTCTATATATTGATAACACTAACCTTCCTGTGTCTCCACAGCAACAGTAGTCATGGTGACAAATCCATCGGAAGTCACATCGGTCCTTGGTTCCTCCTCAGCCGTCTTCCTATCCATCATCTCACTGGTGTCATCGGGTTGAGCAATGAGGAAGAACAAAGACTGGTCAGCCATACGGTCAAAGCAGGACATCCCGTCCTTGTCCAGCAGAATATCCACATAGGTCTGACACAGCTCGTCACAAGTGCTCTGCAGCAACTGGATGAAAGCCGCTGGGTTGGCATCGATCGGTTCCACAGAGCTCCTGCTTTTGATCTTCATATCAATCTCCCCGTTGTCCAGACTACCCTGTTTGAGCACCTCGTCCAGAAAGGAGCGTGTCCTCTCAAGGGTAAGGCTGTTGAGATGGGCACAGATCTCCAGCAGCGAGTGGATGTAGAAGATGATGCTGGACCCGGCCTGCTTGTACAGGTTGGCTGCCACCTCCAGCCCCGCCACCTTCTGGATGAGGAACTTGAGGCCAGGCCGAGTGTCGAAGTCACAGGCCAGCTTGTAGGAGTTGTGCAGCATATCCAAGAACTGGAGGACGTTCCGGGTCGACATGCAGGAGATTAGGCCTGGACACAACGTAACAATCAGATTCAGACTGAACCATAACATTTCAGAATCCAACATTCTGTTTGTTTGTTTGTTTGTTTGTTTGTTTGTTGTTGTTTTAATACTCAGCACTCAGCAATATTCCAGCTATATGATGGCGGTCTATAAATAATCAAGTCTGGATCAGACAATACAGTGATTGATATCATGAACATCGGTCCACGCAATTGGGATTGATGACATGCATCAACCAAGTAAGCGAGTCTGACCACCCGATCCCGTTAGTCGCCTCTTACGACAATCATAGTCGCCTTTCACTGCAACTATGCCTACATTCTGATTGGTATCAAACAAATCAAAAATGTTTATGTAAGTACAACCTGAAGAGTAAAGAAAAAGGTTAACGAAAAGAAAGATTTTCTTTCAAAGTTGAGTAAAAGATTATTTTCCCTTTCTATATTGACCTATTCTTTCCTTACTAAAAAGAGTGGAAAGAAACAGACTGCTCACAATTTTTTATATGATCACATATTTGTGAAATTTAGAGTTGACAGATCATAAACCAATTAAAACAAACATTGAACTGTCGACTTGGTACTTGCACTCTCAACTGTATCAGTGGTACCTGTCAAGCTGCTGCCGCTGCGGTTGTTTGCAGACTGACCCTCGGTGCCCTCTAGCAGCAGGTAGCCAACAGTCTGCAGCAACAGCTGGTGGGACAGGAGACCCACCACCAAATTCCGGAATGGCACTCTGGAAATAAAGTTTCACATTCAAAACACTCACACCTAATTGTGGAAGGAACGTCTATGGGAGTAACCTGTCCACGTATTCTAACCTAGAATCCACACAGGAATTTCTCTGAGATTATTTGAATACAATGGAAAGAGTTCCTATCCAATTACCAATTCAATTCACAAAATTTGATTTCATCAAGGCTAACCATACCACTTCAGAAATAGTTTGTAAACATCTGTGGTACTCAGGTGGAGATGTGGTCAGGGTACTGGGTATTACCAGGTGGAGATGTGGTCAGGGTACTGGGTATTACCTGGTGGAGATGTGGTGGAGATGTGGTCAGGGTACTGAGTATTACCTGGTGGAGATGTGGTCTGGGTACTGGGTATTACCTGGTGGAGATGTGGTCAGGGTACTGGGTATTACCTGGTGGATATGTGGTCAGGGTAGTGGGTATTACCTGGTGGAGATGTGGTGGAGATGTGGTCAGGGTACTGGGTATTACCTGGTGGAGATGTGGTCAGGGTACTGAGTATTACCTGGTGGAGATGTGGTGGAGATGTGGTCAGGGTACTGGGTATTACCTGGTGGAGATGTGGTCAGGGCACTGAGTATTACCTGGTGGAGATGTGGTCAGGGTACTGGGTATTACCTGGAGGAGATGTGGTCAGGGTACTGCGTATTACCTGGTGGAGATGAGGTCTGGGTACTGGGTATTACCTGGTGGAGATGTGGTCAGGGTACTGAGTATTACCTGGTGGAGATGTGGTGGAGATGTGGTCAGGGTACTGGGTATTACCTGGTGGAGATGTGGCCAGGGTACTGGGTATTACCTGGTGGAGATGTGGTGGAGATGTGGTCAGGGTACTGGGTATTACCTGCTGGACATGTGGTCAAGATGTGGTCAGGGTACTGAGTATTACCTGGTGGAGATGTGGTCTGAGTACTGAGTATTACCTGGTGGAGATGTGGTCAGGGTACTGGGCATTACCTGGTGGAGATGTGGCCAGGGTACTGAGTATTACCTGGTTGAGGTGTGGTCAGGGTACTGAGTATTACCTGGTGGAGATGTGGCCAGGGTACTGAGTATTACCTGGTGGAGATGTGGTCTGGGTACTGGGTATTACCTGGTGGAGATGTGGTCAGGGTACTGGGTATTACCAGGTGGAGATGTGGTCAGGGTACTGGGTATTACCTGGTGGAGATGTGGTGGAGATGTGGTCAGGGTACTGGGTATTACCTGGTGGAGATGTGGTCAGGGTACTGGGTATTACCTGGTGGAGATGTGGTCAGGGTACTGGGTATTACCAGGTGGAGATGTGGTCAGGGTACTGGGTATTACCTGGTGGAGATGTGGTGGAGATGTGGTCAGGGTACTGAGTATTACCTGGTGGAGATGTGGTCTGGGTACTGGGTATTACCTGGTGGAGATGTGGTCAGGGTACTGGGTATTACCTGGTGGATATGTGGTCAGGGTAGTGGGTATTACCTGGTGGAGATGTGGTGGAGATGTGGTCAGGGTACTGGGTATTACCTGGTGGAGATGTGGTCAGGGTACTGAGTATTACCTGGTGGAGATGTGGTGGAGATGTGGTCAGGGTACTGGGTATTACCTGGTGGAGATGTGGTCAGGGCACTGAGTATTACCTGGTGGAGATGTGGTCAGGGTACTGGGTATTACCTGGAGGAGATGTGGTCAGGGTACTGCGTATTACCTGGTGGAGATGAGGTCTGGGTACTGGGTATTACCTGGTGGAGATGTGGTCAGGGTACTGAGTATTACCTGGTGGAGATGTGGTGGAGATGTGGTCAGGGTACTGGGTATTACCTGGTGGAGATGTGGCCAGGGTACTGGGTATTACCTGGTGGAGATGTGGTGGAGATGTGGTCAGGGTACTGGGTATTACCTGCTGGACATGTGGTCAAGATGTGGTCAGGGTACTGAGTATTACCTGGTGGAGATGTGGTCTGAGTACTGAGTATTACCTGGTGGAGATGTGGTCAGGGTACTGGGCATTACCTGGTGGAGATGTGGCCAGGGTACTGAGTATTACCTGGTTGAGGTGTGGTCAGGGTACTGAGTATTACCTGGTGGAGATGTGGCCAGGGTACTGAGTATTACCTGGTGGAGATGTGGTCTGGGTACTGGGTATTACCTGGTGGAGATGTGGTCAGGGTACTGGGTATTACCAGGTGGAGATGTGGTCAGGGTACTGGGTATTACCTGGTGGAGATGTGGTGGAGATGTGGTCAGGGTACTGGGTATTACCTGGTGGAGATGTGGTCAGGGTACTGAGTATTACCTGGTGGAGATGTGGTCAGGGTACTGAGTATTACCTGGTGGAGATGTGGTGGAGATGTGGTCAGGGTACTGGGTATTACCTGGTGGAGATGTGGTCAGGGTACTGAGTATTACCTGGTGGAGATGTGGTCGGGGTTGAGGCTGTCCTTGTGGTTCGGTGGGTACAGCAGGAAGACATATGATTGGTCCTCCTCCATGTCAAACTGTATCTGCGGCATGTGGGACATCTGGCTCTCCAACAGAAACACCTACAACAGTGTCGGTGGACATGTGTGCCAAGATGCATACAAGGAACAAAATACCAAATGAACAAGAGTCACTTGGAGAGAGTGAATATGGTTTTACGGTGATTTCAGCATAGTGAGTTCATTACAATGTTAGTTTACTGTATGCAAATTTGTGACTGTAAAATTTTACATCGTACCTCCAATGTTACAGCCATATTGCGATATATGCAAATGAGGACACCTGGCAAAAAACTTTAATAAGCCCCATGAATTGCCTAATGTTCCAAATAAGTTATATGTTTCTTGACATGAGCGTTTCAGGACACAAACATGGTTTCAAATCATTTGGCATGATTTGATAAATAGGCGGTTCTCTTTAACAGTGTATTCATATTTTGTTTCTAAAGTTATTTCAGTGAGTGAAAGCGTCTTAAATGTAGACTATTTTATCATATATCAAGAAACAAAATAATATGACAGCCAAATGATGAGAGTTTGCTGACTGCAACGTTCACCAACAATCACTCAAATCCCTTAGATTTTGGTTCACTCTTTCAGAAGCCTGGATAACTACTCCCACCCAACCTGCTGAGCTAGCTGTTTGAGCCGGAAGCACTCCATCTTGGTACAGTCCTTCCTGGTCGCCACCTTCACTTGGCCGATGTCGCCGTAGAAGTTCTCCGAGTTGGCATGGAAGAGCACCATGAGTTGTCGGATGTTGAACGTGGTCACGTCCAGCGCCCTCTGGAGGGCTGCTGCACTCATCTGCCACATCTCCTCCGTCAGCAGTGGGCCGCCACTCAGCATCACATGCCTGCAACATTCATACAACACAACCACTGAGTTGAGTTGGATGCCACTTTGAGGGTGAGGGTTAAATTTAAAGTGAGAGTTAACGTTGCGTCCAAGACTATTGCTCTAACCGTGTTTGACGTAATAAGCGCCCAGGGCGCTCTCAAAATTAGAAATAGGGGGCTCTTATTAGAATATTATTTTGTCGAAAAAAACAGAGTTGAAAGATAAATTTGGTGGTTTATGCTGACTGCCTGAAATGTTTATATCCGAGAGATATATTTTTCCAGAATTTAATTGCCCATAACTTAGGGTTCATATAACACCCGAGTGCGTACCATACGCGAATAAGTAAGTATTGTGTACATTGATCAATAGGAAGGGGTGCCAATTGGGATTGTTCACGAGTCCACATATTTTAGCAAATATCGCTGTGGGCGCTTATTACGTCGAATACGGTATATAGTGACTGTCTGTCTGTCTGTCTCTGTGTGTCTGTCTGTCTGCTTGTACTAGTCCAAACTGATGCCAGTTTATGGTGCTGTCTCACTGAGATACCATGCCGCAGTTTAACATGAATACCCCACTCAGATAGAGTATACTGACTCCCTGCCGACCAGTCCTTGTTTTTGCCCCTTAATGCCGAGCACCAGACACAGTAACAACAAGTACCATTTTTTAACGTCTTTTAGTATGACACGGCCGGGGATCGAACCTTGAACTTTCCACTCTCTGGGCGGATGCTCTACCACTAGACCACAGAGGCGGTCGATGCCACTTGGAACAGTATTTCAGTTGCATCACAGTGTGTCAGCTTAGTTTGGGAGGAAAGCCCAAAGTAATGAAGGTCTTACCACACACCAAGGATCACAATCAGGGTGAATCTGATCGGAAATATTGCATGCCTGTCATGAAAGAGCTTTGGGAGGATCAAGTGGTCGGGTATTTATAAATATTTGAAAATAGTTTTAAATTTAACTGTCGGACAGTTGGGCAGGTGAAGGAAGATTTCATGCAGCCCAACAGAAAAGGTACCAGTCACGGGCAGGCAGTTATTTGGACACTGTTTATACTTGACAAGGTCCCGATGGCATCGATCATTGTTTAAAATTTCAGGCACTGGTTTGTCTGATTGAACACTGGGACAGTTGGAATATCGTGACTCACCGGAGACAGGAGCACCCAAGGCGGGAGATGTTCTCCACAGGCTGGGCAGCACACTCCGTCAGTACATCCAGGGTCTGCTTCAGCATGAACTCCAGGTGTGGCTGCTCCTCCTTCCGACCTGCAACACAGTCATATACAGTCACAAACACAGCAACACAGTCATGTACAGTCACAAACACAGTAACAGTCATATACAGTCACAAACACAGTAACACAGTCATGTACAGTCACAAACACAGTAACACAGTCATATACAGTCACAAACACAGCAACACAGTCATGTACAGTCACAAACACAGTAACAGTCATATACAGTCACAAACACAGTAACACAGTCATGTACAGTCACAAACACAGTAACACAGTCATATACAGTCACAAACACAGCAACACAGTCATATACAGTCACAAACACAGAAACACTGTCATATACAGTCACAAACACAGTAACAGTCATATACAGTCACAAACACAGTAACACAGTCATGTACAGTCACAAACACAGTAACACAGTCATATACAGTCACAAACACAGAAACACTGTCATATAGTCACACTCAGCTACATACACAGGCACATAGTCAAATACACAGCCACATACACACACACACACAGCCATGTAGTTACATACACACACACATCCACATACACACACACAGCCATGTAGTTACATACACTCACACATCCACGTACACACACACAGCCATGTAGTTACATACACTCACACAGCCACGTACACACACACAGAGCTATGTAGTTACATACACTCACACAGCCACATACACACACACACAGCCACATACACACACAGCCATGTAGTAACATACACTCACACAGCCACGTACACACACACACAGCCATGTAGTTACATACTCACACAGCCACGTACACACACACACAGCCATGTAGTTACATACACTCACACAGCCATGTAGTTACATACACTCACACAGCCACATACACACACACAGCCATGTAGTTACATACACTCACACAGCCACATACACACACACAGCCATGTAGTTACATACACACACAGCCATGTAGTTACATACACACACAGCCATGTAGTTACATACACTCACACAGCCACATACACACACAGCCATGTAGTAACATACACTCACACAGCCACGAACACACACACAGCCATGTAGTAACATACACTCACACAACCACGTACACACACACAGCCATGTAGTTACATACACACACAGCCATGTAGTTACATACACACACAGCCATGTAGTTACATACACTCACACAGCCACATACACACACAGCCATGTAGTAACATACACTCACACAGCCACGAACATACACACAGCCATGTAGTAACATACACTCACACAACCGCGTACACACACACAGCCATGTAGTTACATACACTCACACAGCCAAGTACACACACACAGCCATGTAGTAACATACACTCACACAGCCATGTGCACACACACACAGCCATGAAGTTACATACACTCACACAGCCACATACACACACACGCATGTAGTTACATACACTCACACATCCATGAAGTTACATACACTCACACAGCCATGTAGTAACATACACTCACACAGCCATGTAGTTACATACACACACAGCCATGTAGTTACATACACTCACACAGCCACATACACACACACAGCCATGTAGTTACATACACTCACACAGCCATGTAGTTACATACACACACACAGCCGTGTAGTTACATACACACACACAGCCACATACACACACACAGCCACATATCACACAGCCATGTAGTTACAAACACTCACACAGCCATGTACACACACACACACAGCCATGTAGTTACATACACTCACACAGCCACATACACACACACAGCCACATACACACCCACAGCCATGTAGTTACATACACTCACACAGCCACGTACACACACAGCCATGTAGTTACATACACTCACACAGCCACATACACACACACAGCCATGTAGTTACATACACTCACACAGCCACATACACACACACAGCCACATATCACACAGCCATGTAGTTACATACTCACACAGCCACGTACACACACACACACAGCCATGTAGTTACATACACTCACACAGCCACGTACACACACACAGCCATGTAGTTACATACACTCACACAGCCACGTACACACACACAGCCATGTAGTTACATACACTCACACAACCATGTAGTTACATACACTCACACAGCCACGTACACACACACAGCCATGTAGTTACATACACTCACACAGCCACGTACACACACACAGCCATGTAGTTACATACACTCACACAGCCACGTACACACACACAGCCATGTAGTTACATACACTCACACAACCACGTACACACACACAGCCATGTAGTTACATACACTCACACAGCCACGTACACACACACAGCCATGTAGTTACATACACTCACACAGCCACGTACACACACACAGCCATGTAGTTACATACACTCACACAGCCATGTAGTTACATACACTCACACATCCACGTACACACACACAGCCATGTAGTTACATACACTCACACAGCCACGTACACACACACAACCATGTAGTTACATACACTCACACAACCACGTACACACACACAGCCATGTAGTTACATACACTCACACAACCATGTAGTTACATACACTCACACAGCCACGTACACACACACAGCCATGTAGTTACATACACTCACACAGCCACGTACACACACACAACCATGTAGTTACATACACTCACACAACCACGTACACACACACAGCCATGTAGTTACATACACTCACACAACCACGTACACACACACAGCCATGTAGTTACATACACTCACACAGCCACGTACACACACACAACCATGTAGTTACATACACTCACACAACCACGTACACACACACAGCCATGTAGTTACATACACTCACACAACCACGTACACAGGCACATAGTCAAATACACAGCCACATACACACACACAAAACCATGTACAGTCACATACACACACACAGAGACAAATACACAGTCATATATAGTCTCCCATACAGTACCAAACACACATTCAAATACACAGTAACACACTCACAAACACTGTCACAAACACACAAGTCATATATACAGTCACATTGAGTTCCAAACACACAGTCACAAACAAACATACACTGTCACAAATGCAGAATAATTGGTGATTTTCCCTCTCCAGTCAATCAATTCAAGTCAAAGGATTAAAAATAGGGCAAAAGTAAGTAACAGTTTCTTTTAAACAAAACTTTTATCTTCAGGTTTATCTGTATACCAACAATACTACAATACTATGTGCCTGTGTCATGTTTATTCACCAGTAAATAATATTCATATTTCTGACCAACAAACTGAAAACAAATCTGAAAACTCAGAAAAACAAACAGGAAGGATCAACATGTCTGAAATACAATTTCAGTGATAACCATGACTTACCTGTGAATTTGGACAAATATTCAACTACTAGGTCCGACATATTTCCACAACACTGTTTGAAGTTGACAGCGCCAACTTCCCAGTAACCATGGATACGGGAGCCCCTCCGGAGCCACGACTGCAGCATGGGCAGAAGCAGGTGGTTGATGTTGTACACGGCAAAGCGAGGACCTGAAACATTCAACACATAGAGATTCTCACCCTTGTGTCTTTGGATATTAAATACTGTAAAACATGAAATTAATGCGTCCCTAAAAGAATGCGACCGCTGTCCCCTAGACAAAAATGCGACTCAATATGAATGCGACACCCCCTCCTCTCAAGCATCAGTGGTTTATATCTAAACAAAATGTCCTCTGTCAGGTTTACAGGAGAATCCTCACCTTAATCCAACCTTACATTAATACAATCACATACCAAATAGCACCGCTTATTAGCGCTGGGTAGAGTACTTCAGCTAAAACAATACGTGCGCGCTGGCTCGTGTCGGCCTTTGACGAAGTCGCAAAGAGCAAAGACACAGTGTTGGGGGGCGTCTGTCTGGACTTGCACGTGTGAACAGTGATGACATGAGTGAGTAGAACGCTTGTCTTGACCCCAGTAGTGACAATTCACAGGATGTAATTAGTGTTTGAATGACATTGTTTATATACTTGTAACAAGTGCTGCTCAATAAACAGTGATGTGGAATACATAATTGTTTGTTTTCAGCGTATGTCTAAGTTGGTATTCCTGCAATCCAAAATGTCTTATTGTTGATATAAATGCGATGTTTAATAATGCGAGCAAAGACCACATGCATTTTTCGCATTTAATTCACGCTCGCGTTAATATCAAGATTTACAGTATATCAACACGAGTTGAGAATAGTGGAAAAACTCCAAGGAGTTTATCCACTTTTATCAATGAATGTTCATACATTTGTCATCAAAAGACACGAGGATGAGATTTTATTCATCATCCAACATCATTCTTCCAACTTTTTCAGTTTCTAGAAGGTAATAAACAGTCTCTTAAGTGTAAAAAGTACTGCTAACAGCTTCAGTAGCAGAGCCTTTAGTGATGTCATTTCATTGTGATGTCATTGTAACCAATGACGTCACAAAGGTCTGCAAAGCATTGTGATGCAATTTCATTGCAGCGATATCTACAATGTAGACATCACTTGATCTTACCCAAGTGATATCTCCTGTGGAAGCTATGTTTTGGATGATAAATCAAATTCTGCCCATCGACCAGTCAATATTTAACCTTGGTCAGCGGAAGCTTAGGATAGAATGTACACAATAAAAAGTACATTCTCAGAAAATAGCAGTATTTTGGCCATAACTATGAACCTCTTTTCAGTCATCCAAATATACCTAGATATTATATGAACAACAATAATCATTATAAGCATGATAATTTATGATACAGATCAATTTATTTTATGTTATAATCCGATACCTTTTTTCACGGGTCAACAGATTTTTCCAATTTGCTCATTTATAATAAGAACACTTTGTCATTGCAAAGTTCATGCAGTCAAGCAAAATAAACTCAACAGTGAAACTTTCGCACAAGGGTTTTGTTTGTTTGTTGTTTAACGCCACACTCAGCAATATACCAGCTCTATGATAGCGGTCAGTACATAATTGAATCTGGACAAGACAATCCAGTGATTGACATCATGAGCATCAAGTCACGCAATTGGGATACGATGACATGCATCAACCAAGTCAGCGAGTCTGACCACCCGATCCCGTTAGTCTACGACAAGCATAGTCGCCTCATACAACAAGCATGGGTTGCTGAAGACATATTCTACGTAGACTTTGTAAACTTATTGCGATGTCACCATGATATACAGAACTCTGGGTACGTCTACATATCTAGGTCAATCACCAATAAGTTTGACATTTTGTCCATTGACAGTGCCGCATGAATACCGAATGGTGTGAGTGAGTGAGTTGGGTTTAACGCCGCTTTTAACAGTATTCCAGTTATATCACGGCGTGTCAGCTTAATGTGGGAGGAAAGCCCGAAGTGATGCAGGCCTCAGACGTTTACCACTTCGGTGAAACTCACGTATGGTGCTGACAAACCTAGAAACATAATCGGGGTGAACCGGGATTCGAACCCACAATCATAGGTTTCTGGCGTGCCCAAGGGACACAACTCTGCACAGCTAATTGTGTCGCCTTAGACGACTGGGCCATCCGTGCCCCCTGAATACCGAATGGAATGAAAGTACCAGTATTATTGAAAACATTCACAATTGTTACTTTTATTTACAAGAATCCTTTAGATGTGTAGAGGTACACAGTGAATACGCATTACAGTACGTTTGGAAAATACCAGTTTATTGCATTTTTCAAAATCATGCATAGTTTCATTAAGTTGGCAAAGTTACCATAAGTCGTAAGTCTAATTGAAATTATGAATATTCAGTCAAGCTTTTGGCCTTCTGGCCTTCTGGCCTTCATCAGGCACTCTGTGGGACATGATATCACAATGGACAATGTCTACGACATCACAATTAGTAATGATGTCTGTTACAGCAATGGTTGAAAAAGGATCTTGACTGATGTCATACGAAAAGTGAGTGCCTGATGAAAGCCAGAACGTCGAAATCTTGACTGTGTATATTTATGTATTTATTTGAATTCCCCTTTGGGAATGAATACAAAAGACGATTTATGAAATTATGAATTTCAGAAATTAGCAATCCATCTATGCAATTTGTGATTAAAAAGCGAAAAAAACTATTTATGACCAGCTTCCTGTATATAATTGGTCTATTACACATGTGTTGTGACATCCAACAAAATGGTGGACAACTTTGAGGTTGTCAAAAATGTGCAAGGGAAATCGGACGTATGGTCCATTTAAGACTAAAAATGAAAACATACATAAAATTACAGGTTAAAGAAAACATGCAATATATTGTGGAACATATCGCAATACATGAATCATTATTGCAATAAATTGCAATGCGAAAGTCAGGCCAATTCCCATCAGGAGTGATCTGTCTAGCCTTGAATCCCATCATCCTTACCTGGAACATCAGCAGCTGATCGGAGCAGCTCGAACAGCATCTCCATCGTCTGGGGCTGGAAGGTCTTGGGGCAGCTGGATATGGAAGTGGCCAGACCGTCCAGCAAGAGAAACCAGACATGCAGGATCCGAGATGGATTGTCCAGCTCTTCCAGAGGCACTGGCTGCCATTTTGTGTCAGGAGACGTCAACTTAATGCCCGAGTCAACCAGGTTAGGGTCTGACTGAGACTGGTGTGTTTCTGGAGACAAAGCATCCAGCATCCCTGAATCGGCTGATGTTACGCTTTGTGAGTCAAATACCGGGTCCGAAAGTTCGGATATGTGAAGTCCTTTTGGCTTATCATCATCGAGTGAATTTTCTTTCTGGAAGACAGGGCCTGTTTTTGCTTCATCACACTCTGTGAAGCTCTTGGAGAAGGACTCAAAATTCATGTTGGGGATGACGGGGTCGACGAGGCGGACAGTGGAGCCCAACTGTATCCTGGGAATAATGCATCTTACTGTTAATCCCTTAAACAATTAATTTGTTTGTTTATTTACACTTAGTGGCCACTAAATAATCAAGTCTGGACCAATCACACCAGTGATTATTATTATTAGCAACGATCCAAACGATTGAGGTATGAAGTCATTGAATCAACCAAGTCCCCAAGCCGACCACCTGATACAGAATGTCGCTTCGTACGATGTGGTCAGGTTGATGAGGACCAGTTCAACCCGGAATCCCCATCGTGTATACGAATTTAATACGGCTTATATTGCAAGCAGGCCATGTGTTTTGGTTTCGTTTTTTGTTGGTTTTTTTGGGGGTAGGGGGTGGGGGTGGGGGGTCGTTCTAACTAGTATGTTACCAAATAACCAGTTGTGAACAATCAACCTAGGAAAGGGCCTACCTCCATCAATGTATTCCTTGATGAGTAAAATACTGGATGACAATATTTGCCTACTGTTGGACTACCAGTGTGTGGACAATACACTCATACAATGCACTTTGATCTTATTTCACAACACGAAGACATTATTGTGAACACACAACACCGGAAGAAGCATGTCAACAAATCCGTATTGAAACATGCAAGTTAGTCCTGTTATTACCCTATATGGCTGTGAAAGTGTTCATTGTATATCTAGACTTACGTTTGTAATCCATAATATTACTTTTTTCAAAGGTTACATTCAGTTTTGTTTACAATAATTTCGGCAAACTCGTGAAGGAACTGATCAGGAAATCATATCAACTTACTTCGATCTTGCCTTGAAACAAACATTATTCATAAGTGATACAAAGACTTTGGTCTTCCAATCACTGTATAGAAATTGCTTTTCAGTTATGATATTGGCCACAACATTAAGTATTTTTTAACCTAAATCACCCAAAGATAGGGGGGAAAATGTGTAAACAGCTGATTGCTATTTCCGGCTTATTTTACGAGACAAATACCCACATATTCTTAATCTCTGTGTATTAAACATTAGGAAGTAACTGCATGCTATATTGGATTGCATTGTTTTTAAGCATTGTAGCATTTCACTGCCAGGAAATGATGGGTTCGAGGTGTGGAATATTTAAGGATTAAGAATTTTATGGGGGGGGGGGGGGGGGGGAAACGGAAATAAAAACGAAACGTGCAGCGGACCTTTTGATGATGCCTGAGAACCTATTATTTTTTTAACCTACTGTATTCGACGTAATAAGCGCCCTGCTCTAATAAGAGCCCACGGCGATATTTGCTAATACATTGGCTAGTGAACAATCCCAATTAGCACCCCTTCCGATTGATCAATGTACACAAGGCCTATTTATGCTCGCATAATACGCACTCATGTGTTATATGCATCCTTATTATGGGCAATTAAATTCTGAAAAATATATCTGTTGTACATAAACATTTCAGACTGTCAGCATACACCACGAAATTTATCTTTCAACTCTGTTTTTTTAATAAGAGCCCCCTATTCCTAATTTTGAGAGCGCCCTGGGCGCTTATTACGTTGAATACGGTATTTACTTTTTTTCAGTACTTTGTTCTCAGAAATATGTTTTGGGTTTTCACCATCTATGTGCATCAATTCAGATTTACTCTAACATTACACGAACAACACTAAGAGAACTGAATACATCGTGATTACATCCCTCTTACCTCTGAGCACCTTTGAAGTTGGGACACGCAGGCATCTTCCACATAGAGGCCAGGATCTGGCAACACCTGCGCAGATACTGAAGGGCGGGGATACACAGGTTCTCCCCTGTAGGACCACCCAGGCCCATGTCACTGCCAGAGTCAGACTCATCGTCACTCATCTCCTCAAACATGCCTGAAAACACACAGATTGGAGACATTTCTAATCAGGGGTATGTGACCTTTTCATATTTTTTCGTATTTTGTTGATTTGTTTCAGTTAAACTGAAACATTTGAAGTTAATTATTCTACAAAAATAGATGAAAACTTTGATATGGCGAAGTCAGATGTAGATTGCAAATAAGCAACAAATGAACCCATAAGTCTTGAGGCTTTGATTGCAAATTATATAAGAATAGATTCTCAACTCTTTGACATATAAAGTGGTAAACATCTGAGACCTGCATCACTTCGGGCTTTCCTCCCACATTAAGCTGACACGCCGTGATATAACTGGAATACTGTTAAAAGCGGCGTTAAACAAAACTCACTCACTCACTTTGACATATAATAACAACCCTTCTTCTCAAACTTAGACCAACCAATCTACATGAGTGAGTGAGTTGGGTTTAACGCCGCTTTTACCAGTGTCAGCTTAATGTGGGAGGAAAGCCCGAAGTGATGCAGGTCTCAGAAGTTTACCACTTCGGTGAAACCCACGAGCACGGGTATGGTGCTGACAAAACCTAGAAACATAATCGGGGGGAACCGGGATTTGAACCCACAATCATAGGTTTCTGGCGTGTCCAGGGGACACAACTCCGCACTGCGAATTGCAGCGCCTTAGACGACTGGGCCACCCATGCCTCAAAATCTACATGAAGGATATGAGGCTTCATCAGCCAATCAGATGTGTGATTTCTAAAACAAGGGTTTTATTTCTTTACCAACTCAATTCAAAACATTTTATTTGTACAATTGAAAACCTACACAGAGCACATATTTTCCTTCAATCGTACCTCCATATATGTATTGATGCCATGTCGCTCGGTAACAACATGGTGTATAAGATATCCATAAAAAGAAAATGGTGTGACTTTATGGTTGATTTGTTTGGTAGTTGGAAGTCCCCAATCATTTTCATTTACAAGATACCGAAATATACTTATCTGAATGCTTTGCTCACACATATTGAGAATTTAGAAACCTTGATGCTAAATGGTTGATTAGAAAGTGACCAATCTCATTAAAATCAGATCTTAATCTTTGCTACCGCTAAACAAAGATCTGAGGACATCCCATTACGGGTCACGTCAGAACGACCTTTCGCGAATTTTGACCGTCCAATGAAATGACTGACAAGAATTCGACATTGGCCAATCAGAAGGCAGCTTTCTCGAGCTTTACGACACTAGTTTTCAAACTGGCGACTACGCTTCGAAACATATTTTGATGTATTCTCGGTTACAAATTTTAAAACTGATAAGAAGAACATTCTGGAATGGCTTATAGATGGCTTAGATTGTAGGGATATAATCATAAAACACGTAACTGTCGTTCGGAATACCCTGTGGTAAATATATCGTGGTTGCATGATTAGAAAACACATTCCGACTGTCACTTTCATGATCTGGTAAGCGACGCTCTGATTGGTTGGATGAAAGGTCATTCTGACGTGACCTGTAATGGGATGTCCTCGGATCTTTGTTTAGCGATAGCAAGAACTAAGACCTGATTCTAATGAGATTGAGAAAGTGATCTTCTATGGTGGCATCGTATCAGAGTAAATGATCTGATTTTAATGACGCAATATTTTTTTAAATTCACGTCCTACAATGAACAACAAGAACACATCTCACCTGGGCCATTGACATACTTGAGCAGACAGAGAATACAGTCGACTGTAGCATTGGCAAACACCAGCACGTTGTCCGTGTTGAGATACACCTCGAACACATCCAGCACGGCCGCCACATGTCTCTGTCTAGCCTCGTTCACTTCCTCGTTAGCTGTGTATTCTATCTTCACTGACCGGAGAGCTCCAAACAGGGGCCGCCACCCTGACTGGATCTGTGCTGTGCAGGCCTCCACCAGCTCACAGATAGAACACACGATCTAGATGAATAGAACATGGTGCCATTATTCAATAGAAACCATGATCTAGATGAACAGAGCATGTTGCTGTCACTCAACAGAACACATCTAGATGAATACAACACACTGCCATCATTGAATAGAACACATGATCTATATGAACAGAGCATGTTTCTATCATTCAATAGAAGATATGATCTAGATGAACAGAGCATGTTCTACCATTTAATAGAACACATGATCATGATGGATAGAACATGTTGCCATTAATCAATAGAACACATGATCTAGATGAACAGAACACACTGCCATCCCACAATATAACACACAATCTAGATAAATAGAACATATTATCATCACTCAGTAGAATGATTGATCCAGTTCAATAGAACATACTGCCATTATTCAGAATTCATTGTTTGTTAGTATTTATAATTTATTGATATAGGACACATTTCCAAAGTCTTAATGTTGGAGGATAGCCAAAGCCTTAATGTTGGAGGATAGCCAAAGTCTTAATGTTGGAGGATAGCCAAAGTCTTAATGTTGGAGGATAGCCAAAGTCTTAATGTTGGAGGATAGCCAAAGTCTTAATGTTGGAGGATAGCCAAAGTCTTAATGTTGGAGGATAGCCAAAGCCTTAATGTTGGAGGATAGCCAAAGCCTTAATGTTGGAGGATAGCCAAAGTCTTAATGTTGGAGGATAGCCAAAGTCTTAATGTTGGAGGATAGCCAAAGTCTTAATGTTGGAGGATAGCCAAAGTCTTAATGTTGGAAGGATAGCCAAAGTCTTAATGTTGGAGGATAGCCAAAGTCTTAATGTTGGAGGATAGCCAAAGTCTTAATGTTGGAGGATAGCCAAAGTCTTAATGTTGGAGGATAGCCAAAGTCTTAATGTTGGAGGATAGCCAAAGTCTTAATGTTGGAGGATAGCCAAAGCCTTAATGTTGGAGGATAGCCAAAGCCTTAATGTTGGAGGATAGCCAAAGTCTTAATGTTGGAGGATAGCCAAAGTCTTAATGTTGGAGTATAACCAAATGTTGGAGGATAGCCAAAATCTTAATGTTGGAAGATAGCCAAAGTCCTAATGTTGGAGGATAGCCAAAGTCCTAATGTTGGAGGATAGCCAAAGTCTTAATGTTGGAGGATAGCCAAAGTCTTAATGTTGGAGGATAGCCAAAGTCTTAATGTTGGAGGATAGCCAAAGTCTTAATGTTGGAGGATAGCCAAAGTCTTAATGTTGGAGGATAGCCAAAGTCTTAATGTTGGAGGATAGCCAAAGTCTTAATGTTGGAGGATAGCCAAAGTCTTAATGTTGGAGGATAGCCAAAGTCTTAATGTTGGAGGATAGCCAAAGTCTTAATGTTGGAGGATAGCCAAAGCCTTAATGTTGGAGGATAGCCAAAGCCTTAATGTTGGAGGATAGCCAAAGTCTTAATGTTGGAGGATAGCCAAAGTCTTAATGTTGGAGGATAGCCAAAGTCTTAATGTTGGAGGATAGCCAAAGTCTTAATGTTGGAGGATAGCCAAAGTCTTAATGTTGGAGGATAGCCAAAGTCTTAATGTTGGAGGATAGCCAAAGTCTTAATGTTGGAGGATAGCCAAAGTCTTAATGTTGGAGGATAGCCAAAGTCTTAATGTTGGAGGATAGCCAAAGCCTTAATGTTGGAGGATAGCCAAAGCCTTAATGTTGGAGGATAGCCAAAGTCTTAATGTTGGAGGATAGCCAAAGTCTTAATGTTGGAGTATAACCAAATGTTGGAGGATAGCCAAAATCTTAATGTTGGAAGATAGCCAAAGTCCTAATGTTGGAGGATAGCCAAAGTCCTAATGTTGGAAGATAGCCAAAGTCTTAATGTTGGAGGATAGCCAAAGTCTTAATGTTGGAGTATAACCAAATGTTGGAGGATAGCCAAAGTCTTAATGTTGGAAGATAGCCAAAGTCTTAATGTTGGAGGATAGCCAAAGTCTTAATGTTGGAGTATAACCAAATGTTGGAGGATAGCCAAAATCTTAATGTTGGAAGATAGCCAAAGTCCTAATGTTGGAGGATAGCCAAAGTCCTAATGTTGGAGGATAGCCAAAGCCTTAATGTTGGAGGATAGCCAAAGCCTTAATGTTGGAGGATAGCCAAAGCCTTAATGTTGGAGGATAGCCAAAGTCTTAATGTTGGAGGATAGCCAAAGCCTTAATGTTGGAGGATAGCCAAAGTCTTAATGTTGGAGGATAGTCAAAGCCTTAATGTTGGAGGATAGCCAAAGTCTTAATGTTGGAGGATAACCAAAGCCTTAATGTTGGAGGATAGCCAAAGTCTTAATGTTGGAGGATAGCTAAAGCCTTAATGTTGGAGGATAGCCAAAGGTGACATGTCACCAGTGTTTGAAATAGTTATAAAACCCATCAAGACAATCGGGAAGGTGACCCATAAATGTCGCTTGCCCATCTTCAAAGTTACCTGCCTACATTTTAAACATTATAAAAATTGAAATACCACGAAAATAATATGAGACAAATCACGTCTTGATTCAGTTGAAATAATACAATGCCTTACTTGAGAATCTACGAGAAATAATGACAAAATTGAACACGTAAGTAGTTAAAATTTTCTGCCAGACAGTCGGCCAGTTGGAAAAAAAAATTCATGTAGCCCAACAGAAAAGTTACCAGCCAAGGGCAGGAGAGCAGGCAGTTATTTTGGACACAGCATGTCACAGATGTTAACCTGCAAAATTGCCCAGTATAAGGCAAATTCGGTTCAGGTGTGCGTAATATGGGATAATGTTTAGCACAGTTAAACTGTACATAGATAACATCCACAGTCTAATATCTTGATCACACAGGAAATGTAGTCACGTCTGAAAATGTAACCATGGTTACCTGGTCTTGTACATCCCCATCACACAGGTCCATACAAAGCATGTCCTCGAACGTCTTACACAGGAACTCGTTGATGTGGAAGTGTGGCCGCTCCTCACGGTTACTCAATATTGCCACAATGAAGTCATGGATGCAGGTGACAGCCATCTTCGAAATGCTCCTGTCCCGACTGCCAGTTGCCTAGCAACAGAGGAACAACATGGGTTCTGTTACATATATTCCACTTCCAAATATCAAAAAACATATTTCTGGAAAGACTTCTGCCCGTATCCCCCTCCAAAAGTTATATATGTATGCACTGCCGCTAAATCCCTTTAATCAGTCTTACCATCTTTACTAATAGTTTTACTTATAAAAGATTACTGAGGTTTGGCAAAAACATCATAAAAGGTTCTCATGAATGACCCGCAATTCTTTTACAATGTCACATTAAAACATGTCAGTAAGATAATTCGTTCTAGCAGGATCACTCAGGGTACATGGTGTTTTATGCTTCCCTCGTTAGGCTTTATACCACTTGCTGGAAAACCTAATGCACTCATAAAACCAAATGTAACCCTCGTGATACTGATATAACTTATAATATGTATCTTACCATGACTCAAGCATGTCAAGCATAACAATATATTTATTGATACATGAAATTGGCATATTGAGACATCCCTACTAGCTGTCAAAAAAGTATTGTGGATCACTGCTTTGGCCCACATCCAATCAACACAAGGCCTTTATCAATAATCACCATGAAATAAAATGAGGTAAGACCTCTTCAGGTACTTACATCGACCAAGTAGGGTGATATGACGCTCCACACTCGGACAAGATGCTGGAGAGGTCGTGAACTGTGGACGACCTTCATGAGGACCTCCTGCAGCCTGTAAAGGTGAAGGGCATTGGTGGGGAGGCGGGGGAACCCTCCATCCATGTCGGGACCTGCATGTTTCCTCAGCTGAAGCCGACTTGCTTCCCCAAGCTCTGCCAGGAAACTCAGAAGAGCTTGGAGGTTCAGCTTCTCTGCTGCATCCTCGAATATCCTGGTGGGATGAGAGAGTAGTACATAGGACGAGGATATCATGGTCATTACCTTCAGTCTCCCAGAAGTATCATTTCTGCTTCATGATGATTGGCTAGTGCTTACTTATTGTTTTCGACCCGTGAAGATTCCGGGATAGAATAGGTCTTCAGCAACCCATGCTTGCCGTAAAAGGTGACTATGCTTGTCGTAAAAGGCGACTAACGGGATCGGGTGGTCAGGCTCGCTGACTTGGTTGATGCATGTCATCGATCCCAATTGCTCGGATTGATGCTCATGATATCAATCACTGGATTGTCTGGTCCAGACTCGATTATTTATAGACCGCCGTCATATAACTGGAATATTGTTGAGTGCGGCGTTCAACAACACACCAACCAACCAACCAACTTATTGTTTTCACTGTTTTTGAGACTGCACTTAGCAACAGCACTGAAAGATTTTGTACATATTGTAATCTAAACATTATGGAAGACCTGTATCATTTCATCTTTGTATGTCCATCCTTAAGATATTCGAAAGCAATACATACCAAATAAATATGTAATTCGACCGTCAGTCCAACAATTTATTTGCCTTATGGCAACATCAAATTATCAATATTTAGAATCTGTTATGTTATATTTCAAATACCGGTATGCCTTCAAGATCAGAAATGTACAGAAATGAAACATGTGATTCTACTTGTAAAATTATCCTGTACTGTATTGTATCCACTCCATGTATATGGGTCTATGGCCTATCATACAATAAACATTTGAATTTGTACATCGTTGCCATGGCATTATTTATTGTTCATAGCATCACTAAGTGTATTTATTTTGTTGTTAAAAAAATACTGACCTACTCTTTTTTTTCTTGTGATCAAGAAACCTACATATTATATGTTTTCTTTACCAAAAAAACCTGCCATATAATCGAATCTCCTTGTCACAACTTGAACACAGATTAACTGACCTTTATGAATAAACGTTGAAGTCCTTTGCTAGAGGAAATGATCAAAACTGTATTTCCCAAATAAATTCACTCAGGAATCTGTAATTTCACACTGCATGTACTTAATTCTTTAAACATGAACTTTGCCGACCTCCCTTCCTCAAATATTTTGCTTGTCATATCTCAAAGTATTTTGACGTGAAATAGCCAAAACAGGAGCAGAGAAAGTTCTACATAACTTGAATCTTAATGGACTAATTAATTTCACAACTGTACCTATCCACTTCTTGTGACAAGCCACACAAAGCTTTGGATGCCTGAGCAGGTGTCAACACCCCTCCTCCAGACAATGCACTGTCCCAACCTGACTCTACACTACTCTGTCGGATGAGCTCTGCCACATTGATACGAGGGGCCACAGGTATAACCGAAGCCACTGGGCTGGCATACAGGTCACATCTGAAACGAACAATGCCAATAGGTGATGTGTGATGTGGCAACATGGGACTAACTAGAAGACAAAACACATCGTATCCTCGAATATCCTGGTGGGATGAGAGAGTAGTACATAGGACGAGGATATCATGGTCATTACCTTCAGTCTCCCAGAAGTATCATTTCTGCTTCATGATGATTGGCTAGTGCTTACTTATTGTTTTCGACCCGTGAAGATTCCGGGATAGAATAGGTCTTCAGCAACCCATGCTTGCCGTAAAAGGTGACTATGCTTGTCGTAAAAGGCGACTAACGGGATCGGGTGGTCAGGCTCGCTGACTTGGTTGATGCATGTTATCTTATCCCAATTGAGTGGATTGATGCTCATGATGTCTATTACTGCATTGTCTGGTCCAGACTCGATTATTTACAGACCGCCATCATACAGCTGGAATATTGCTGAGCATTAAACAACAAACAAAGACTCCTAAGCAAAGCATAGATCAACAGTTTAACACCACTCTATCACCAAAAAGAGTGTATTACAATATGAAGACATAAAAAAGATGAAAGACAGATTATTTTCAAGAATGAGAAATACTTCTTATTCCAATCAAAATGAATCCATGCACATGACAAGATCACTTTACTCATCTTGACGCCACTTTGGAAATATACGTGATGTCTGGCAAGATTACTGTAGCTTACTCGATCTCTGTGTTTGCATTGAGTTCGGGGTTCTGCTCCTGGTGCACCTTGGGTAGGCTGGACTGGTTGTTGCCGCCACTGAAGTAGGTGTGCTCCAGCTCCGAGATGTGGGCACAGCACCTGCAGAGTCACATATGTGGTCTATCACAAGTGCAGTCAGAGGCACAAGCAAAGACACAGTCACAGATACAGATGGACACAAGAACGGATACAGACTGACAATCACAGATACAGACTGACACAATCACAGATACATACTGACAATCACAGATACAGACTGACAATCACAGATACAGACAGACACAATCACAGATACAGATGGACACAATCACAGATACAGACACAATCACAGATACAGACCAACACAATCACAGATACAGACCAACACAATCAGATACAGACCGACACAGTCACAGATACAGACCGACACAGTCACAGATACAGATGGACAAAATCACAGATACAGATGGACACAATCACAGATACAGACAGACACAATAACAGATACAAACGGACACAATCACAGATACAGATGGACACAATCACAGATACAGATGGACACAATCACAGATACAGACGGACAATCACAGATGGACACAGTAACAGATACAGATGGACACAATCACAGATAGGGACAGACACAATCACAGATACAGACAGACACAATCAAAGATACAGACCGACACAGTCACAGATACAGATGGACAAAATCACAGATACAGATGGACACAATCACAGATACAGACGGACACAATAACAGATACAAACGGACAATCACAGATGGACACAATAACAGATACAGATGGACACAATCACAGATAGGGACAGACACAATCACAGATACAGACAGACACAATCAAAGATACAGACAGCCAGAGTCACAGTCACAAAGACAGCCACAGCCATATTGTTTTCAAACTTATTGATTATTCATTGATCTTGTGTCGTCATTACTAATTTTACAATTCAGTATGTACTTATTCTGGACTAAACCTTGCGTTTCAATACAGAAATCATGTGATAACAGAACTCTATTCCGCACCAGCCCATCTGAATACAAGTGAACTAACCTGAACACGTGCTTCCAGCAATCAGCAGCATGGCTGCCCATCTCCAGCCCCGTTGTCATGACAACATCCATACTGAGGACATGAGCTGCATGTAGACGGACCAGCTTGGGTCGCCCCGGCAACACAGAGGTCTTCACAGGCACCTTCCCGTCACTGGGCTTGGGTCCTGCTCTCAAGTCCTCCTTCACACATGACGTGTTTGCCAGCTGAGTGAAGGCACTACCACACCTCTCTTGTAGGCCTGGGGGAGAGTTGACAGGAGGAAAGGTGAAAACAGTTCTCCTTTACTTAATGTCAATGTATGTGCAGAGAAATTGTGTTAAAGGAAGCCATCAAGCGATACCGAAGGGTTGGCAGACCTAAAGTAACATGTGACCTAGATATGTCACAGTGGAATTCACACAATAACACTGTTACACCTTGATTGAAAATATTTCGCAAAACCAGATTTACATGGAAAAAAACCCTGACTATAAAAATAGTGGAACATAAACTTTGTTTGGGCATTAGGCAGAGCTTGGAATAAGTGCTTGAAGGCTATCTGTAAGGATATTTTCTGGTATGTTTTTCACTGTTATACTTGAACTGTCGTGTATCATAAGTGTTGTTAGGGCATATCTTAAGTCAATCAAATGCTGATACGAAAGGTTTCAGCTGGCAGTAATGAACTCTAAAGTCATAGTAAAAGATACAGTATTTGTCAAGACACATGTCTTAGTTCCAAAGTATTCAGATACTATTAATGACACTTTTGCACAACAATATTAACACTGTAGTTGATTTCCTTATTATAGCTGTGTATAGCCTGGTATCTTGCAATATGATTTGTATCAAGATACAGACTGATGGTACTACTGGTATCACAATAGACCATATCAAATAGAAAGAAAAGATGAAATCACCGAAATACAGCTCTAAGAACTCTTTCTACCTTAATTCATTATTATCTCAAAAACTTTAACAAAGAAAACCACAAGAACAAAACAGTTTTAAATGAAGGGATGTTTATAAAGTCGACGCGTCCTCAGCTACCATGTCCTTGTGTTCCGCCATACTTACAGGTGGCGCTATGCTACTTCTGCCATGATGGGAGATAACTCAATTAGTTCCTGTTCTATTTATAGCGTATCGCGACTCACAAACTAACAATTCAAGTATCGTGTGTATCTTAGTATAAAAAATATCATAGGTATCGTTGAATTGTTACAGCCCTTTTCTCTATACACCTATACAGTAATAATAATAATAATAATAAGTGCATTTATAATGTGCCGGATTCCATTCACCAAGGGGATGCTCATAGCGCTACACTATTATTACCCTGGTCAATGGATCAGTGAGCACTCAATTTTCATTCTCAGCTCCCTGGGGAGTATACTACCCAAGCTGACTGTGAAGCGCTAGAAGGTTAACAACCACATTGCCATCTCTTCCTACCGGGTACCCATTCACTGCTGGGCACAGAGGCACATTTCGAACAAATTCACTTGCCTAAGGAGACACCACATGTGGTACATGTGCTTCAGTGTGGGGCAGGACCGAAACCCTAGAAACTCTCAGGAGTCAAGCTGCTTAAAGTGGTCACCCATACAAATACTCTCCGAGACCGACGTTGCTTAACTTCACCTGATTTGTGACCTGTGGGCTGTGCACAGGACCACGTGCCAGCACAGTAAACAGTAGAGGGGGTAACGTGTATGCAGACTGGCAAACTGTAGTCTTACAAGTGACCCACCGACCTTCCACTCTCTGGGCGGACACACTATCCACTCTACCAATGAGGTGGTCAAATAATGTGAAAATATTTAGTAGCATATGTACTCCCTGATTATGAAGACACATCAAGACGGCTTTCAAGCCAGAACTTTGCGCTTTACCTTACAGTTACAGCAAAGATCTCTGTTAAACCTCACCCAGTATGCAGCAGAGTTTCGAGGCTCTCTGGAGTCCGCTGAGGCTGAGACAGATGGCGTCCCGGGCCCTCATGCTCTCCTCCTTGGCCCCCTCCGTACCCAGCATCAGGGCCAGGCTGCTGGACACCCCACAGGAACTCTTGCCGTTCAGCAACACCGACAGCACGTCCAGTACCCCCTCCCAGCACACGGACAGGATACGTCGTGACAGCTTCATGCCTGCACACAAACACAACAGTTCATTAGACCTTACAGTGTGAGTGACTGAGTTTAACGCCGCTTTTAACCGTATTCCAGTTATATTGCGGCGTGTCAGCTTGTTTTTCGGGGAAAGCCTGACGTGGTTAAGGTCTCAGACGTTTACCACTTTGGTGAAACCCACGAGCACAGGTATGGTGCTGACAAACCTAGAAACCTAATCAGGCGAACTGGGAATCGAACCCTTAATCATAGGTTTCTGGCATGCCCAAGGGACGCAATTCTGCATAGCGAATCGCGGCGCCTTAGATGACTGGGCCACTCGTGCCACCAGTTTAGACCTTACAGGTGTGCAGGATATGGCTAGGATATTGTTAGGCCATGTTTTTATCTGTCATGGCTACAATAAACAGTCCACATGTCATATACTGTAAATCTTGAAATTAACGTGAGCATGAATCAAATGTGAAAATTGCAAGTGGTCTTTGGTTGCAAATAATGAAACTTCACATTTATGTCTCCAAAATGACTCAACAATAAGACGGCTTCATTGCACTCTTTGGATAGCGGAAATACCAACTTGAATATAAACACAAACACGGTTTATTGAGCAGCAGTTGTAACAAGTACATAACAATGTCATTCAAAGAATAGGAATTACACAATAGGCAACCGGTGAGTTATCACTGCTGTGGTCAAGAGTTCTATGCACCCGTCAAACTAGGCATCATTGACCACTCCAGCTGTCCAGGCAGATGCCACCCACACAACATTTCGTCAAAGGCCGACACGACCCAACGTGCACCGATAGGCTTTATCACACTTCTCAGACCTACAGCCTTTGTCTGTCATCTGTCGTTGTTATGGAAACTCTAAAAATAATTTTTTCAAAAGTCCCAAACTATCAAAAGGACCCAGTTTGCCACTAGACCTGTCTATGTGCCAAGTTTGGTGACGAAATATTGTTCGGTTTTCCAGATCTGCTCCGGAAATGAGCCCTACATTTTCAAAGTCGTTGCCATAGAAACTCGAAGAACAATTTTTCAAAAATCCCAAACTATCGAAAGGCACCAGTTCACCACTTAACATATCTACATGCCATGTTTGGTTAAGAAATCTCTCAACGGTTTTTTCATTCTGCTCCGGAAATTGGACAGACGGAAGGACAGCACCCATTCCTATATCAATAGGTCTTCAGCAACCCATGCTTGCCATAAAAGGTGACTATGCTTGTCGTAAAAGGCGACTAATGGTATCACGTGTTCAGACTCGCTGTCTTAGTTGATGCATGTCATCGTATCCCAATTGTGTGGATCAATGCTCATGATGTCAATCACTGGATTGTCTGGTCCAAACTCGATTATTTACAGACCGCTGTCATATAGCTGTAATATTGCTAGGTAAGTGCGGTGTTAAACAACAAACAAACAAACAAAATCCTATTCCCCCTTCCACATTGGTTACTGGTAATGCCCTGGAGTCCAGGCAGGGTTATTTGATCAGAAATCTAATGAACTGTCTGTTCAGGACAGAACCCACAACCCTGACTCCCCAAATGCCCCAGCAGCAGGATTCAGTGCATTCAGTGAAACCCTGATAATCTGGATGGTACCGTTCCCTGTCAAATTGGCTGAATTAAAGAACTGCTGTATTAACGAGTCACTGATAAGTAGTAATCTCCTTGAACAATGCTACTCAAGAAGTTTAAACATACACGATTTTACATGACTATAGTCAATCTGTCCTGGCTGGTGGGTATTGCAACACACAGACTTCCAATTGTGGCTGTTCTTTAACTTATTTTGAGTAGTATATATATATATATAACTATGTTAGAGTGCACTGTGACGTCAAAACAGCGTAACGGTATAACTGTATTCTTGAAAATCACATGCATGAAACCGGTTGAGTAAATTATACAGCTCATGGACTTTTGTATTTTATATCCATATATATAACTATATATATATATCTATATCACACACTTATATATATCTATATATATATATATCTATATATATCTATATATCTACACGCACGCATGCACGCACGCACGCACGCACGCACGCACGCACGCACGCACGCACGCACGCACGCACGCACGCACGCACGCACGCACGCACGCACACACACACACACACACACACACACACACACACACACGGGTGCCCTCTGTACGTGGCCTGGACTGACCTGCCTCCACCTGGGTCGTGTTGACCTGCTCGTGTTCCACACTCAGCATGTTGTGCCCGCCTCGACAGCTGCTCATCATCTGGCCACCCATCTCATGGCTGCCCAGGCCATCAATGTCTGCAACACAGTCAACCTGTTACTTCACAGTGGCAAAACAAGCTCTTCCATTGGCACTGTGGCTATACAAAATTCAACCCAAGATCCACCTAAAGCCATACTCAAATGAAAGGAAAGTTGAACTAGCCATCTCACGCCTCAGACTCGGTCACAAATAGCACTATGACAAGGTTTGTCCATCTTGCAATCAACCTGAATCCATTGCTCTCTTGTTATCGGAATGTCAAGATCATGCTTTAGCCCGGGCTCCGTTTAAACAAGAATTGCAGTAAGATTCGCTATCTCTCGTAGATCTCCCTAAGCCAAGAGATGCAATAGCGAAGGCCAAACGATCTCAATTTCTGAGAGATGGACAGCTACTCCAACGTATATAAACAGAGCCAGAGATAAAATTGAAATCATATCAATATACAAAATCGAAATCATATCAATACAAAAACAGAAATTATACTAAAACTATGTGTATGTGTATGTGTACCCTACTCAAACACATGAGTCCCTAAGAGGGACAGGTCAGCCGAAATTACTATGGCAGAAGGCGGCCTCTAAAACACTTACACCAACAACAACAACTTCAATATAGGCAACTCAAGACATCAAAGTCTCAGTGGATATTCAAATTATTTCAGTACTGAAGGATGGTATTCACAAGGACAGATCTCTCCACTGTAAATAGTGTTACACGCAAAGGCTATGCATCATACCATCCTGATTGGGTTCCTACCTCTCAACATACACACTAGCTGTGTGTCATGCCAGCCTGGGTGTGACCCTGTGTCCCACCATACTGTCCCCTCATTGTGTACCTACCTCTCAACATGCACACTAGCTGTGTTTCCCACCATACTGTCCCCTCATTGTGTACCTACCTCTCAACATACACACTAGTTGTGTGTCATGCCAGCCTGGGTGTGACCCTGTGTCCCACCATACTGTCCCCTCATTGTGTACCTACCTCTCAACATACACACTAGCTGTGTGTCCCACCATACTGTCCCCTCATTGTGTACCTACCTCTCAACATACACACTAGCTGTGTGTCCCACCATACTGTCCCCTCATTGTGTACCTACCTCTCAACATACACACTAGCTGTGTGTCCCACCATACTGTCCCCTCATTGTGTACCTACCTCTTAACATACACACTAGCTGTGTGTCCCACCATACTGTCCCCTCATTGTGTACCTACCTCTCAACATACACACTAGTTGTGTGTCATGCCAGCCTGGGTGTGACCCTGTGTCCCACCATACTGTCCCCTCATTGTGTACCTACCTCTCAACATACACACTAGCTGTGTGTCCCACCATACTGTCCCCTCATTGTGTACCTACCCCTCAACATACACACTAGCTGTGTGTCCCACCATACTGTCCCCTCATTGTGTACCTACCTCTCAACATACACACTAGCTGTGTGTCCTGCCAGCCTGAGTGTGACCCTGTGTCCCACCATACTGTCCCCTCATTGTGTACCTACCTCTCAACATACACACTAGTTGTGTGTCCTGCCAGCCTGAGTGTGTCCCACCATACTGTCCCCTGATTGTGTACCTACCCCTCAACATACACACTAGCTGTGTGTCCCACCATACTGTCCCCTCATTGCGTACCTACCTCTCAACATACACACTAGTTGTGTGTCCCACCATACTGTCCCCTCATTGCGTACCTACCTCTCAACATACACACTAGCTGTGTGTCCCACCATACTGTCCCCTCATTGTGTACCTACCTCTCAACATACACACTAGCTGTGTGTCCCACCATACTGTCCCCTCATTGTGTACCTACCTCTCAACATACACACTAGTTGTGTGTCCTGCCAGCCTGAGTGTGTCCCACCATACTATCCCCTCATTGTGTACCTACCCCTCAACATACACACTAGCTGTGTGTCCTGCCAGCCTGAGTGTGTCCCACCATACTGTCCCCTCATTGTGTACCTACCTCTCAACATACACACTAGCTGTGTGTCCCACCATACTGTCCCCTCATTGTGTACCTACCTCTCAACATACACACTAGCTGTGTGTCCCACCATACTGTCCCCTCATTGCGTACCTACCTCTCAACATACACACTAGCTGTGTGTCCCACCATACTGTCCCCTCATTGTGTACCTACCCCTCAACATACACACTAGCTGTGTGTCCCACCATACTGTCCCCTCATTGTGTACCTACCCCTCAACATACACACTAGCTGTGTGTCCCACCATACTGTCCCCTCATTGTGTACCTACCTCTCAACATACACACTAGCTGTGTGTCCCACCATACTGTCCCCTCATTGTGTACCTACCTCTCAACATACACACTAGCTGTGTGTCCCACCATACTGTCCCCTCATTGTGTACCTACCTCTCAACATACACACTAGCTGTGTGTCCTGCCAGCCTGAGTGTGACCCTGTGTCCCACCATACTGTCCCCTCATTGTGTACCTACCTCTCAACATACACACTAGCTGTGTGTCCCACCATACTGTCCCCTGATTGTGTACCTACCCCTCAACATACACACTAGCTGTGTGTCCTGCCAGCCTGAGTGTGTCCCACCATACTGTCCCCTCATTGTGTACCTACCTCTCAACATACACACTAGCTGTGTGTCCCACCATACTGTCCCCTCATTGTGTACCTTCCTCTCAACATACACACTAGCTGTGTGTCCCACCATACTGTCCCCTGATTGTGTTCCTACCTCTCAACATACACACTAGCTGTGTGTCCCACCATACTGTCCCCTGATTGTGTTCCTACCTCTCAACATACACACTAGCTGTGTGTCCCACCATACTGTCCCCTGATTGTGTTCTTACCTCTCAACATACACACTAGCTGTGTGTCCTGCCAGCCTGAGTGTGACCCTGTGTCCAGGATGTTCCTGTAGGTCACCTGGTTGTACACTTCACTCAGCCAAGATGGCGAGAGAAACACCATGACTCCACAGCTGAGGACATCATCCATGAACTCTTTCTGCAAAGGTTGGTTATCTTCATTATTATGTTTTGAGATATTGAAGACTGAGGCAGTTTTTAATCAAAGAAAACAAGTTGCTGAGCTTTTGCCACTAATTACCATATGTATACACAAAAATGCCCTTTTGCTAAAATTCAAACACTGTGAACAGAGGGTTATTCAAAGACAATATTCACAATATCCCAAAGCAAATTGAGACACATTTCAAATCAAGTACACCCAAGTACAGCCTCTAAATATCATCGACACACACGACAGATTTACTATTATCAACTCCCTATGAAGCCAGGGCTCGATTTAAGGAACATGATTTAATTTGCGCCAGGTGTATGTTGACATGAAGACCTAGTTGCACCAGACAGAACCAGGTTGCACCCAGGTCACACCAATTTATCAAAGTTGAAACATAGATGCACAAACTAGTCTGAATAAATAAAATCACAGATCTCTGATTTCTCAGTTAGTTATGTTATATGCTCAACAAAACTTAGAGGTAAAACATGTCCAAATATTGATGTTACTGATGGAAAAGTAAGGCTTAGATAAAAATTTGAAATTGTTTTTACATGCACTTGGTGCACGTAGATATAAATATCAGGTTGCACCTTACAATAGTAGGCTGAACTGTGCATGTTTTACATAGCTAAATAGAGCCGTGGAAAAAGAGAAAGCAACACACACTGAGCCAAAGACCAGAGTGCTGTTTCACAAAGGAATCTTAGTGCTACAAGTGTCCCATGATTTAATATACCGTATTCGACGTAATAAGCGCCCGGGGCGCTCTCAAAATAAGAAATAGAGGGCTCTTATGAGAATATTATTTTGGTGAAAAATACATAGTTGAAAGATAAATTTCGTTGTTTATGCTGACAGCCTGAAATGTTTATGTACAAGAGATATATTTTTCCAGAATTTAATTGCCCATAAATAAGGGTGCATATAACACACGTGTGCGTATTATACCGAACAAATAAGTCTTGTGTACATTGATCAATCGGAAGGGATGACAAATTGGGCTTGTTCACTAGCCAATATATCAGCAAATATTGCCGTGGGCGCTTATTAGAGCGGGGCGCTTATTACGTCGAATACGGTAGATTGGTGTGAACAGGGCCCTGGATAATATCATTCTGAGAATTCTTCTGTGTGGAATCTTGGGCTATATTCTGAAAAGAATCCTATCCACATGTAGCTGCCTACCTCGGAGAGGACGTGACTTGCAGGATCCCGTGATGTGTAGTAGCCGCTGATGGACAGTCTGAGACTGAGGATCATCGTCATCATGGCGGCAATGTAGACACCGTCAGCGTTCAGGATCACTGCCGATATCACTTCAGGGTCGTCATCAGCTCCTTCTTTAGATGAAATCAAACCTGCATCATCAAACACAGTCATCATGGGGCCCAGCTGCTGATGTCAACAATATTTTTCATAAGGTCCTGATGTGGAGGTGTCACAAGTCGGATGTCAGTAAAACTTAGGGCCCTTAGTCAGTAGAGTCTTAGTCTGGAGATGACATCCCCCCGCCCCCATCCCCCTCCTGACAACTGTCAATATGAAAAACGAAATCACACAATCCAATCACAAAATCTTTATTTTATTTGAAACACATTTTCAAAGACTTGATAAGGATATTTAAAGGCTTCCAAGTTCTGCTCTTACAAAAACACCAGACCATTTAGGACTAAGTCCAATTTGTCACTATGGAAACAGGGGGAAGATATTCCTAAATATTTCAAAATAAAGGATATGATTGATCAACCTGGCATGTTTTGTTAAAAATTATGTCATGATTTTTTAGCTCTGCTCTGAAATCGACATCCACCCATCTTGAGACCAACTAAAAATGCAAAAAATCTGCAAATAGCCAAAGGCACTACTTCAGGATCTGTTTGATCATGTTGATATATCTGCCATCTTTTGTTGAAAGATATTGAACATTTCCTTAGTTGTGCTCTGGAAGTGAAATCCACCTCCTTTTGAGACTAAGTATACATTGTGTCCATGGAAATCGAGAAAAATAAAAATGCCCAAAATCCGCAAATAACAAAAGGCACCACAACAAAACACAACCCTGATACATGTGTTAAACACATCCTTGTTACATGTGTTAAACACAACCTTGTTACATGGGTTAAACACAACCCTGTTACATGTGTTAAACACATCCTTGTTACATGTGTTAAACACAACCTTGTTACATGTGTTAAACACAACCTTGTTACATGTGTTAAACACAAACTTGTTACATGGGTTAAACACATCCTTGTTACATGTGTTAAACACAACTCTGTTACATGTGTTAAGCACAACGAGGTTACATGGGTTAAACACAACCTTGCTACATGTGTTAAACACAATCTTGTAACATGTGTTAAACACAACCTTGTGGCATGTAAAACACAACCTTGTTACATGTGTTAATCACAACCTTGCTACATGGGTTAAACACAACCTTGTTACATGGGTTAAACACAACCTTGTTACATGGGTTAAACACAACCCTGTTACATGTGTTAATCACAACCTTGCTACATGGGTTAAACACAACCTTGTTACATGTGTTAAACACAACCTTGTCACATGTGTTAAACACAACCTTGTTACATGTGTTAAACACAACCTTGTTACATGTGTTAAACACAACCCTGTTACATGTGTTAATCACAACCTTGCTACATGGGTTAAACACAACCTTGTCACATGTGTTAAATACAACCTTGTCACATGTGTTAAACACAACCTTGTTACATGTGTTAAACACAACCTTGTTACATGTGTTAAACACAACCCTGTTACATGTGTTAATCACAACCTTGCTACATGGGTTAAACACAAACTTGTTACATGTGTTAAACACAACCTTGTCACATGTGTTAAACACAACCCTGTTACATGTGTTAATCACAACCTTGCTACATGGGTTAAACACAACCTTGTTACATGTGTTAAACACAACCTTGTTACATGTGTTAAACACAACCTTGTTACATGTGTTAAATACAACCTTGTTACATGTGTTAAACACAACCTTGCTACATGTGTTAAACACAACCTTGTTACATGTGTTAAATACAACCTTGTCACATGTGTTAAACACAACCTTGTTACATGTGTCAAACACAACCTTGTTACATGTGTTAAACACAACCCTGTTACATGTGTTAATCACAACCTTGCTACATGGGTTAAACACAACCTTGTTACATGTGTTAAACACAACCTTGTCACATGTGTTAAATACAACCTTGTCACATGTGTTAAACACAACCTTGTTACATGTGTTAAACACAACCTTGTTACATGTGTTAAGGTAAATAAAAGATGAGGACCCTACCTGCACAGAAGTCAGAGGCAAACTTCTGCAGCGCCTCATCCACATCGTACACACTGCCGAGAGTCAACAGTTGTGGCAGCATACCCTGCAGCTTCTGAATAAACTCCTGAGCATTCTGCCGCTCCACGCTCTCGAACCTTTCTCGCAGCAGCTTCTGTCGTCTCGTCATCTCCTCCCTCAGCTGCATCTCCACCTGGGACTGTATGGTGGCCTGGATCTCCATCTCTCGGTCACTCTCACTCTCGGACTCCTTCACCCCTTCCGAGTTCTCCGAGGTGGTTCTGTTGGTGCCATCAGACTCCTGCCCATCCTTAGTAGGTTTCTCCTTGGTACTGGAACTGTCTGTGGTGTCAGGCTCTTTGTCTGGCACATCTGGTGTTTCTGCTGCTCCTCCATCACAGCTGCTTGGGTCCTTCTTATCGAACACTTCTGTGGAAGTTTCATTGAGACATTGAATTTAAACAATCTGCTGAGCAAGCAGACATACTACATCAGTGACTAGCATTTGTGCATCTGTCTGTAAAATACTATTGTTGTAACATTTTAAATTTTAAAGTTTGCGGACTGTTGAACAAGCAAAATGTATATCTTTGACAAGATAAATATTTGGAAAATTATTTTGAACATGTATCCTAACAGACTGCTGTGAAAGCAGAAATATAAAGTCACGTGTATGTGAAAACTCTTGGGTATTCATCATCATAATCTATTACCATTAACATGATGAACGCTGGCAAATTGCCCCCAAAGTATAGCAATATGCACTCACTCTTAACCTGAACTAAAGCTTGCAAATATCTAGGCAATGGTGATGCTTTCTTTATAAACCTTACACCAACGTCATCATTTGGTCGCCTCAATCGACCAGGATAGTTAGCTGGGGACCTATTCTAACACAGAGCAATTCTTACTGTGACAGCTCTACAAACCTTTGCCAATGTTGGGGTAGAGTTTGTTGATGTCTTCAGCCACAGACTGAGACAGTTCCTCTCCTCGGCTCAGTCTCTCCAGGGATCCAAGCAGCTGGTCTACACACATGACACTGGTGAAACACACACCCGAGTCATTGCAGTGGATACACTCCTGCACACTGTCAACTATCCTGCAACACACAGTAGCCATGTCAGGGTGGACCTACATTACAGCAACTAACACACATGACACTGGTGAAACACACGCCCGAGTCATTGCAGTGGATACACTCCTGCACACTGTCAACTATCCTGAAACACACAGTAGCCATGTCAGGGTGGACCTACATTACAGCAACAGTCAGTCTACACACATGGCACTGGTGAAACACACGCCCGAGTCATTGCAGTGGATACACTCCTGCACACTGTCAACTATCCTGAAACACACAGTAGCCATGTCAGGGTGGACCTACATTACAGCAACAGTCAGTCTACACACATGACACTGGTGAAACACACGCCCGAGTCATTGCAGTGGATACACTCCTGCACACTGTCAACTATCCTGAAACACACAGTAGCCATGTCAGGGTGGACCTGCATTACAGCAACAGTCAGTCTACACACATGGCACTGGTGAAACACACGCCCAAGTCATTGCAGTGGATACACTCCTGCACACTGTCAACTATCCTGAAACACACAGTAGCCATGTCAGGGTGGACCTACATTACAGCAACAGTCAGTCTACACACATGACACTGGTGAAACACACGCCCAAGTCATTACAGTGGATACACTCCTGCACACTGTCAACTATCCTGAAACACACAGTAGCCATGTCAGGGTGGACCTACATTACAGCAACAGTCAGTCTACACACATGGCACTGGTGAAACACACGCCCGAGTCATTGCAGTGGATACACTCCTGCACACTGTCAACTATCCTGAAACACACAGTAGCCATGTCAGGGTGGACCTACATTACAGCAACAGTCAGTCTACACACATGACACTGGTGAAACACACGCCCGAGTCATTGCAGTGGATACACTCCTGCACACTGTCAACTATCCTGAAACACACAGTAGCCATGTCAGGGTGGACCTGCATTACAGCAACAGTCAGTCTACACACATGGCACTGGTGAAACACACGCCCAAGTCATTGCAGTGGATACACTCCTGCACACTGTCAACTATCCTGAAACACACAGTAGCCATGTCAGGGTGGACCTACATTACAGCAACAGTCAGTCTACACACATGACACTGGTGAAACACACGCCCAAGTCATTGCAGTGGATACACTCCTGCACACTGTCAACTATCCTGCAACACACAGTAGCCATGTCAGGGTGGACCTACATTACAACAACTAACACAAATGACACTGGTGAAACACACGCCCGAGTCATTGCAGTGGATACACTCCTGCACACTGTCAACTATCCTGCAACACACAGTAGCCATGTCAGGGTGGACCTACATTACAGCAACTAACACACATGACACTGGTGAAACACACGCCCGAGTCATTGCAGTGGATACACTCCTGCACACTGTCAACTATCCTGCAACACACAGTAGCCATGTCAGGGTGGACCTACATTACAACAACTAACACAAATGACACTGGTGAAACACACGCCCGAGTCATTGCAGTGGATACACTCCTGCACACTGTCAACTATCCTGCAACACACAGTAGCCATGTCAGGGTGGACCTACATGACAACAACACAAGCCTGGATATGGTGCTGACAAACCTAGAAACAAACCCAGGTTGAAGAGAGGCAACTCTCTGCAGCAAATTGTGGCACCATTGACAGCTCGGACAACCTCTGCTCTTCCATCAAAGTGTTTAGGTGAGGTGTAATTGGTTTTAACATAGCATTCAAGATTATCTCACATATACAGCGACATCCATGCACCAGTGTAAGTGTACAATATATGTCCGGACTTATGCCAGTTTTATAGCGCTAGCCTACTGAGATACCATGCCTTAGTATAACATGGATACCCCTGAGACACACTATACCGACTCAACCAGTCCTTGTTTTATCTCCTTAATGCCGAATGCCAGGCAGGGTAACAGCTAGTACCATACTTAACGCCTTTTGGTATGACTCGGGGGATCAAACCTCAACCTTCTGCCCTGTGGTCAGATGCTCTATTTACTACACCACGGAGGCGGAAGGAAAGTGTTTGGTTTGATCGAACACTTTGTGGCAATTTACAAAATGTATAGATGAAGTTTTTAGCCATCAAAGCTGGCAAAGATAACATGCAGTCAGCCAGACTGTGAACCTTAAACAGATTTAAGACTGAGTAAAAGTCAATCTTTCAATAGGAGTGAGTGAGTGAGTGAGTGAGTGAGTGAGTGAGTGAGTGAGTGAGTGAGTGAGTGAGTGCCACTTATAGCAATATTCCAGCAATATCACGGTGGAGGATACAAGAAATGGGCTTCACACATTGTACCAATTTTGGGAATCAAACCTGGGTCTTCGTATGACTAGCAGCTGCCTTAACCACTAGGCTACCCCACCACTCCTTATATTTTTCAATATGAAAGTAGTTAAAAATTATATTTAAACGTCCATAAACGCAAACAACTCACAGTTTGAGCAGTGCTACATCAGAGTGGGTGGTTTTGCCTGATGCCTTGGTTTGGTTGTCATCTTCAGTCGGCGGAGCTGCCAGATCTATCACTCTCTCCGTGTCTCCTAGCAACTGGATGAAAAAACAACATGATTTTGACTTAATTCAGTCACTGCATGAAGCATAAATAAGGCCAGAATCTTCTATTTTGGACCCAAAATTCAGGTCGATAGGTTGAAAAAATAAAAATACAGAAATTCCACTTTCAAATATTTCTTTCCTCTTGTGGTTCATACAAATTTCTTGTTTTGAAGTTTTTATTATAAATTTTCCACAGACTTTAATTACAGTATTTTACAAATTTATTCACATTCATAGCAACAGAAAAATATGGAAGCCTTTTAGGGCCATTTGTTTTTTTCTTAATTCCTTGAAATTTCAAGATACTAACTTGAAATTGCAAGATGTTATGTTAAAATTTCAAGATAATAAGTTGAAATTTCAAGATACATACTAAGTTGAAATTTCAACTTATCATCTTGAAACATAAGTTGAAATTTCAAGATAAAAACTTTCAACTTTTCAACTAAGTATCTTGAAATTTCAACTTAGTATCTTGAAATTTCAACTTAGTATCTTGAAATTTAAACTTATTATCTTGAAATTACTTATTTCTTGTCGCAGGAATAAAAAATTCAACTGCTTTCCATTCTTTTCCTTTTTTCACATTTCAATGTATTTGAGTATTCGAGGCAGATTTATGAACCAAGTTTAATAAATGTCTGGCCTTAGTCTCCATTCAAGTATAGCATGAGTACAAGGTGGCAAAACACTGGATACTGGACACACTACATAAAATATTCATACGTGCATATATATCAACAAATGAAGCGACCATTATTTGAATACAACACAAAAATAGGTCTGTAACGTAAATGTCTTCTAGAAAACACACAATGGTATTCATGGCTTCTATTGGAAACAGAACTACTACTGACCTCTTTCATGACCTTGAGAGCATCATGTCTGTGCTGCGGAGGGGGGTACAGCAGCATCCGGTGGAAGAGGGACTCCAGCACGGGTCGCAGCGACCCGATGTTGCCCACCAGTCGAACAAGCTCTGCAGCAATACTGGAGGGATAAGAATGGTGAGTGAGTGAGTGAGTGAGTGAGTGAGTGAGTGAGTGAGTGAGTGAGTGAGTATTGTTTTACGCCGCTTTTAGCAATATTCCAGCAATATAACGGCGGGGGAACCAGAAATGGGCTTCACACATTGTACCAATGCCGGGAATCGAACCCGGGTCTTCGGCATGACGAGTGAACGCTTTAACCACTAGGCTACCCGACCGCCCCGGTGAGTGAGTGAATAAGTCAGACTTTAAGATGAACATGGTGGTCTGGAAGGGGTGTAACAATTCTCTGAACATTCACTGCAATACAATACTCTCACAATGTGAGTCATGATCATATCGACACAAAATTGATGCAAGTTCTCATAAGGTTAAGAAAAAAGTAGTCTTGGTTCTCAGGCATCACCGCATCAACACAAAGTCTGCTGCACGTTTCGTTTTTATTTCCATTTTAAAAAAGAGTTCATGTAAACAAAATTGAATGAAATTTTGGAGAAAAGTAAAATAATAATGGATTACAAACGTCCAGAAACACAATGAACACTTTTATAGCCAGATAGTGTAATAACTGGACTAACTTGCGTACTTCAGTACGGATTTGTTGAAATGCATCTTCCTGTTCACGATAACGTTTTCGCATTGTGAAATAAAATCAAAGCTAAATTGTATGCGTGTATTATGCACACACTGGTAGTCCAATGGTAGTCAATTACTGTATTCCAGTATTTTGCTCATCAAGGAATGCATCATTGTAGGGAGGTCCTTGCCCAGGTTGATTGTACACAACTGTTTATTTTGTTACATACTAGTTTGAACAACAGCAAAAAAAGCCATTGCCTGAGAACCAATTCTTTTATTTTTTAAAGCCTGAGGGAGATATATATAAAAATGGATATAAATAGTTTGTTTCTTTGTTGTTTAACGCCGCACTCAGCAATATTCCAGCTATATGATGGCGGTCTGTAAATAATTGAGTCTGGACCAGACAATCCAGTGTATTGACATCATGAGCATCGATCTACGCAATTGGGATACGATGACATGCATCAACCAAGTCAGCAAGCCTGACCACCCGATCCCATTATTCGCTTTTTATGACAAGCATAGTTGCCTCTTACGGCAAGCATGGGTTGCTGAAGACCTATTCTACCCCGCATCTTCAAGGGTCGGAAATAGATAGTAATATACAATCTTCTGCCAGTGCGTACAAGACAAATCTAAAGCCACTGTTTCCTCCAGTGACACAAATATCAATGGTTCGGTTGGATGTTTCTCATTGCAAGTCCTATCAGTGATGTATGTGGCGATGACAAAGTGTGTCGTCACAGCCTAAGGAGAACAACTCCTCTAAGAATGTTGGCCAGGTGCACTGTTATCAGCAGCAGACACTCTCTTACCTGTATATGACTTTAGCTGCTGAGCTGAGGATGTTGTCACTCTCTTACCTGTATATGACTTTAGCTGCTGTGCTGAGGATGTTGCCACTCTCTTACCTGTATATGACTTTAGCTGCTGAGCTGAGGATGTTGCCACTCTCTTACCTGTATGACTTTAGCTGCTGAGCTGAGGATGTTGCCACTCTCTTACCTGTATATGACTTTAGCTGCTGAGCTGAGGATGTTGCCCCTCTCTTACCTGTATGACTTTAGCTGCTGAGCTGAGGATGTTGCCACTCTCTTACCTGTATATGACTTTAGCTGCTGAGCTGAGGATGTTGCCCCTCTCTTACCTGTATATGACTTTAGTAGCTGAGCTGAGGATGTTGCCACTCTCTTACCTGTATATGACTTTAGCTGCTGAGCTGTGGATGTTGACACTCTCTTACCTGTATGACTTCAGCTGCTGAGCTGAGGATGTTGCCACTCTCTTACCTGTATATGACTTTAGTAGCTGAGCTGAGGATGTTGCCACTCTCTTACCTGTATATGACTTTAGCTGCTGAGCTGAGGATGTTGCCCCTCTCTTACCTGTATATGACTTTAGCTGCTGAGCTGAGGATGTTGCCCCTCTCTTACCTGTATATGACTTTAGCTGCTGTGCTGAGGATGTTGCCACTCTCTTACCTGTATATGACTTTAGCTGCTGTGCTGAGGATGTTGCCACTCTCTTACCTGTATATGACTTTAGCTGCTGAGCTGAGGATGTTGCCACTCTCTTACCTGTATATGACTTTAGCTGCTGAGCTGAGGATGTTGCCACTCTCTTACCTGTATGACTTTAGCTGCTGAGCTGAGGATGTTGCCACTCTCTTACCTGTATGACTTTAGCTGCTGAGCTGAGGATGTTGCCACTCTCTTACCTGTATGACTTTAGAAGCTGAGCTGAGGATGTTGCCACTCTCTTACCTGTATATGACTTTAGCTGCTGAGCTGAGGATGTTGCCACTCTCTTACCTGTATATGACTTTAGCTGCTGAGCTGAGGATGTTGCCCCTCTCTTACCTGTATATGACTTTAGCTGCTGAGCTGAGGATGTTGCCACTCTCTTACCTGTATATGACTTTAGCTGCTGAGCTGAGGATGTTGCCACTCTCTTACCTGTATATGACTTTAGCTGCTGAGCTGAGGATGTTGCCACTCTCTTACCTGTATATGACTTTAGCTGCTGAGCTGAGGATGTTGCCCCTCTCTTACCTGTATATGACTTTAGCTGCTGAGCTGAGGATGTTGCCCCTCTCTTACCTGTATATGACTTTAGCTGCTGAGCTGAGGATGTTGCCCCTCTCTTACCTGTATATGACTTTAGTAGCTGAGCTGAGGATGTTGCCACTCTCTTACCTGTATATGACTTTAGCTGCTGAGCTGTGGATGTTGACACTCTCTTACCTGTATGACTTTAGCTGCTGAGCTGAGGATGTTGCCACTCTCTTACCTGTATATGACTTTAGTAGCTGAGCTGAGGATGTTGCCACTCTCTTACCTGTATATGACTTTAGCTGCTGAGCTGAGGATGTTGCCCCTCTCTTACCTGTATATGACTTTAGCTGCTGAGCTGAGGATGTTGCCCCTCTCTTACCTGTATATGACTTTAGCTGCTGTGCTGAGGATGTTGCCACTCTCTTACCTGTATATGACTTTAGCTGCTGTGCTGAGGATGTTGCCACTCTCTTACCTGTATATGACTTTAGCTGCTGAGCTGAGGATGTTGCCACTCTCTTACCTGTATATGACTTTAGCTGCTGAGCTGAGGATGTTGCCACTCTCTTACCTGTATGACTTTAGCTGCTGAGCTGAGGATGTTGCCACTCTCTTACCTGTATGACTTTAGCTGCTGAGCTGAGGATGTTGCCACTCTCTTACCTGTATGACTTTAGAAGCTGAGCTGAGGATGTTGCCACTCTCTTACCTGTATATGACTTTAGCTGCTGAGCTGAGGATGTTGCCACTCTCTTACCTGTATATGACTTTAGCTGCTGAGCTGAGGATGTTGCCCCTCTCTTACCTGTATATGACTTTAGCTGCTGAGCTGAGGATGTTGCCACTCTCTTACCTGTATATGACTTTAGCTGCTGAGCTGAGGATGTTGCCACTCTCTTACCTGTATATGACTTTAGCTGCTGAGCTGAGGATGTTGCCACTCTCTTACCTGTATATGACTTTAGCTGCTGAGCTGAGGATGTTGCCCCTCTCTTACCTGTATATGACTTTAGCTGCTGAGCTGAGGATGTTGCCCCTCTCTTACCTGTATATGACTTTAGCTGCTGAGCTGAGGATGTTGCCCCTCTCTTACCTGTATATGACTTTAGCTGCTGAGCTGAGGATGTTGGGGGCCGAGGAAGAGCAGCCGGAGCCCCGCCCCATCTCGTCTGCCTTTTGGAGGAGGGAGCTCTTCTCTGTCTTAGGGGTGCCTAGCAGCGAGATGAGGGTCGGGCACAGGTGCTTCCTGGAATCAAACGATGGGAGTTGAGATACGTTGGAACCTCATCCATCCAAGTCCATAGTTGGAGTCAAGCAGCATGCAGATAGCAGACCATTGTGATGATAAAATCCCCCCATGGACCATGAGTTACACTGATTCGGGTCGGTGTTAATAAAACTTCACCATATGGAATTGTTGGAACCAAATCTTGGAACCAAATTCTGGGACCAATCCTGTAATGAAATCCTGGAACCACTTCAGGGAACGATATAATAGAACCAAATCAAGGAACAAATTAATGGAACCAAATCATGGAACCAGTTAATGGAACCAAATCAAGGAACCAATTAATGGAACCAAATCAAGGAACCAAATCATGGAACTAAATCCCGGAACAACTTCAGGGAACCAAATAATAGAACCAAATCAAGGAACCAAATCATGGGAACCACTTCAAGGAACCAAAGCAAGGAACCAAATCATGGAACCAATTCTGGGAAATTCACACAGCTTTAATGTGCATAAAGTGCAACAGTGCTGGACCAGACAAACAGCATACATGACACACCATCAGCTTTATCTAAACTGTACACGATCGTCTGCAACAGACCTATAACAGGACTCATCACACCCACTTTATCTAAACTGTACACGATCGTCTGCAACAGACCTATAACAGGACTCATCACACCCACTTTATCTAAACTGTACACGATCATCTGCAACAGACCTATAACAGGACTCATCACACCCACTTTATCTAAACTGTACACAATCATCTGCAACAGACCTATAACAGGACTCATCACACCCACTTTATCTAAACTGTACACGATCGTCTGCAACAGACCTATAACAGGACTCATCACACCCACTTTATCTAAACTGTACACAATCGTCTGCAACAGACCTATAACAGGACTCATCACACCCACTTTATCTAAACTGTACACGATCGTCTGCAACAGACCTATAACAGGACTCATCACACCCACTTTATCTAAACTGTACACCAACGTCTGCAACAGACCTATAACAGGACTCATCACACCCACTTTATCTAAACTGTACACGATCATCTGCAACAGACCTATAACAGGACTCATCACACCCACTTTATCTAAACTGTACACGATCATCTGCAACAGACCTATAACAGGACTCATCACACCCACTTTATCTAAACTGTACACGATCATCTGCAACAGACCTATAACAGGACTCATCACACCCACTTTATCTAAACTGTACACGATCATCTGCAACAGACCTATAACAGGACTCATCACACCCACTTTATCTAAACTGTACACGATCATCTGCAACAGACCTATAACAGGACTCATCACACCCACTTTATCTAAACTGTACACGATCATCTGCAACAGACCTATAACAGGACTCATCACACCCACTTTATCTAAACAGTTGTCTGCAACAGTGAGTAAGTATGGTTTGACGCCACTTTTAGCAATATTCCAGCAATATCACGTCCGTGGGACACCAGAAATGGGCTTCACACATTGTACCCATGTGGGGGAATCGAACCTAGGTCTTTGGTGTGACGAGTGAACTCTTTAACCACTAGGCTAACCCACCACCTTTGTCTGCAACAGACCTGGAACAGGACTCACCACACCAACCAACTCACAAAATGCGTTTGAGACAAGTAGGCTGTGCACAGAATTTGGGCAACATATTTGGTTGGTACAGGTAGAGATGGTGTACGCATGTTTTGCACATGCAGGTCATGATGATGAGATTGACTATGCTTCCATGGACACATGTGTTGCTCATAAGACTATTAAGAGGTTGGTGTGAAAAGACGATACCAGAATTCTGTAAAAGTCATTTGACAGTTAATTACAAACAAATCAACGTGTCAAAGCTAGGCAAGCAAGGCCAAATCATACATTCTCAGGCTCGAGAATTGGCCTATAATGTCATAAATTACATGGAGAAAGAATGTACATATATATCTCAAGCATTGACAAAATTTGGCATTGCCACTGGTCTGTCTGTATCTATTCTAAAGCGCATCAAGGCAGAAGGTATTACATCGTTACAAAGACAAGAGTAGTTTTATAAGTCCCAAATAGTCCAGTGATCAAATCCCAACTTGACAATTTCGACCAGTGTGCTTACGGTTATTCCTTATTGCTCTCTGGGGTAAAACAGGTATTCCTTTTATACAGGAAATGAATTCCCTTCATTGTCACGATACTTCACAATTGCTGTTACCTATGCAAATATGCAGTCACCCTTTTCTCACTCATCGGGTACCTCAGCGCGTACAATTATGTGCTATTGAACTCGCCACTAACTCATTGTTAGCCAAGACAGGACACGCACATATCAAACGTACTTCTTGCAGTGGACCACCCGCTACCCCTTTCTTTACAATGGTACATGCCAGTGGGAGGACCTCATACATAGTCATTAACTGTCAGGTCACAACTCAACTTATCCTGGCTGACTATTGTAGTTGGATGGTTTGTTGTTTAACGCCGCACTCAGCTATATTCCAGCTATATGACGGCGGTCTGTAAATAATCGAGTCTGGACCAGACAATCCAGTGATTAATATCACGAGCATCGATCCACGCAATTGGGATCGATGACATGCATCAACCAAGTCAGCGAGCCTGACCACCCGATCCCGTTAGTCGCCTTTTACGACAAGCATTGTCACCTTTTACGGCAAGCATGGGTTGCTGAAGACCTATTCTACCCCGGAATCTTCACGGGTCTTAAACTATTGTATGTAACAGATCTGGAAGGGGACTCACCACACCAGTTCCTGGAAGCTGTCGTTGTTGCGGAGTGTCTGGGGGGCCTGACTGAGAATGGCGTGGATGCCCTCTAGGATGAGGGGGAGGGACTGCTTTGTCTGGCTGCCACTGTATAGGGACACATAGATTCACCATCACCATCATCATGATCAAGACAAGCCAGTCACCATAGCACAAATCTATACAAATCTCCATATGGATAGCATATGAAGATCATATTTCTGAATCCCACAGACAACTAATGTCATGCATTCAACAAAATTGTATTCACATTTGACATTTTGGTTGCTGAATATTGTCAAATATTGAAAAGAAAATCTTTCTCAAATCCTCCAGAAGTCCTTTTACCTGTAGTTTGTTTGTTTGTTTGTTGTTTAACGCCGCAATCAGCAATATTCCAGCTACATGGCGGCAGTCTGTAAATAATCAGACAATCCAGTGATTGACATTATGAGCATCGATCCATGCAATTTGGATCGATGACATGCATCAACCAAGTCAGCGAGCCTGACCACCCGATTCCGTTTGTCGCCTTTTACGACAAGCAGTTGCCTTTTACGGCAAGCGTGGGTTTGCTGAAGACCTATTCTACCCCGGATCTTAACAGAAATTTTGCCTGTTGAAATTGTTCAGGTACAAATATCTAAACTAGAGCATGTAGGACAGTTGTTCCCATCTATCACAAAGCATGTTCAAAACCAACTGAGTGAGTTGGATTTAACGCCACTTTTAACATTATTCCAGTTATATCACGGCATGTCAGCTTAATGTGGGAGGAAAGCCCGAGGTGATGCAGGTCTCAGACGTTTACCACTTTGGTGAGACCCATGAGCATGGGTATAGTGCTGACTTAAAACCAACTGTTTGTGCTTGAGTCATCTGTGTACAATTAGGTAGGTTACCTCTGCAGTCCTATAAGTTTGTCACAGAGGTATTTGAGGATGGAGACCACGTCGTCCATCAGACTCTCTGTTGTGCTCAGCTTTCCTCCAGAGGGTCTGAAGTCAGCCAACACATCATCTCCATCTTCCTCCTGCAACACAAAGTGAGAGGCATTTGAGGAAGGTGCTACGCTCCACATCCTTGTGCATCTCCAGTCACCAGTGAGTGTTTGTTTGTTGTTTAACGCCGCTCTCAGCAATATTCCAGCGGTCTGTAAATAATCGAGTCTTGACCAGACAATCAAGTGATTGACTTCATGAGCATCAAGCCACGTAATTGGGATACAATGACATGCATCAACTAAGTCAGCGAGCCTGACCACCCTATCTCATTAGTCGTGACAAGCATAGTCGCCTTTTACAGCAAGCATGGGTTGCTGAAGACCTATTTTACCCCGGATCTTCATTGGTACTGCTTATCATGAAAAAAAACGCAAAATCTGATTGCATTGTACAATTATCACGAACAGAACAAGCCTAATTAACAACCAATGTAATCATAAACAGGTTGATAGCAATACTTCCTTGTCAGCCAGGCAACAGCTCCAAATAAATATTGTGATACCTGTCAAATTGAGATTAAAGTATAGCGATCTATATCGATATATGATGTAGGCATATTACTACCCCTTTAATATTAATCTATGTATACACAGAGCAGATTACAAAAACACTTTAAGAAATACATGATGACACCTATTTTTGCCACACACTGTACGGCCACGGGTTCAACCTACCACTGTTTCCTCGGCATCGGCGAGTTTCTCCGCGAACCTGGAGAGCACCTGTGTCATGTTGGCCTGGATGGCCCCCTTCACCCCCTGGGAGCTCTGCACGTAGGTATCAACATACACCTGCAACCAGCACATCACATCACAATCATAATCATCATCATCATCATCATCATCATAGCACACTCACATTCCTGTAAATATGGGTAACCAGACCAGTGGTTGATGGCATGAGAATCAATCCATGCCTTCTGGCTGTGATGACACAATCATTTTGGCCACACATTAATATCATTGACAGCATCAGCATCAGCATCAATAATAACAGCATCAATAATAACTGAACAAAATATTTTGATGCTGTGGTAATAAAAATTTGAACAGGATTGCACCCTACAGCGTGTATTATTTACTATTATAAAATGCAAATAGTGCTGTACAATATCTTAAATAATCAAATAAATAATGATAAGACTAGTATTGTTTTTTATTTTTGAAAATAAAAAGGAGACTGCTTTCAGTCTAGATGTATCGAACATCCAAGTATGTGTCTTCCTGTAAATTCTAATAAATAATATTCAATTTTAATACATACAACACCACTCGCCCATAAACATATACCGTATTCGACGTCATAAGCGCCCGGTGGTACTCTCAAAATTAGAAATAGGGGGCTCTTATTAGAATATAATTTTGGTGAGAAAAAAAAACAGAGTTGAAAGATCGTAAACTTTGTGGTTTATGCTGACAGCCTGAAATGATACAAAAGAAAAGTATGTGCGTATCATACATGACAGATATATTTTCCAGAATTTAACTGCCCATAATTAAGGGTGCATATAACACACAAGTTCATATCATACACGAATATATAAGTCTTGTGTGCATTGATCAATCAAAAGGGGTGCTAATTGACATTGTACACTAGCCAATATATTAGTAAATATCCCCGTGGGCGCTTATTACATCAAATACGGTAATTGCAATATATCAGCTTTCTGTCAGCTGGTAAGATATACACATTTAGCCATTAAACATATACATATTGCTCCAAAAATGTAATCAAATGCCTAATATTCACACCATAACCTCAGTAATACTAATACATATCCAAGTCATTACTTTGCAAAATAAAATAAATACAACAGAGTTTCTGTTGCAGAAGAAATGACAACATTATCTACTCAGCCAACCCGTTCTTTGTACATAATAATATATTACAGGGCTTCCATTCATTTGACACAGCAGTTGATATTATACCAACTGGAGCGATACAGTGAATGTTGTAATAATGTATACACTATCAAAGTGTCCGGGCTAATCAACTGGTAACAGCTGACACGAGTAGTCTTCAATCCATAATGCAATGTCCCGTGTGATATTGGCCAACAGATGGCACTGTAGGCTTTCCTTAACTGCTACACCAAATAATTTGCAAGCTTTGCAGCTCAGCCTGCCCAAGCATGGTCGAACAAGAACCATTACAAAGACTAAGGTCTTAGGAGTCAATGCTTGTTCATAAAAAGTCAAAAGATCGATACAGGAGAGCATTCTGTTTCTGCTTGGATGCCAAAATATAACTGAAATTGGTTGCTCTAATTTCATGGATGATGTACACACATTTTAATTTATTTCCTGTAAATGTGTCGCTTCAGGTCTAGGTTTAATGTCTTCTGTGAAATCGAGATAAATCCTCAAACAATATTACCACTAAAAGCATAACACTTTAAAAAAATATGCAGAAAAGGGCATTTCAGTGAAAATGGCTAACAGACTTTATGCATGACTTTATGCATGACCTTCACTGTGACCTTGACCTTGACCTTGACCTTATACATAAGTCATTCATAGCCTTTCATGATTACAGCCCCACCCCACGGATGACATGACACAATGTACCAAGTTTCATTCTCCTTAAATTCAAATGACCTTTTCCTCAAGCTCTGACCTTGAGGATCACCTTGACCTTGATATGACTACTCAATGACAAATTTATTTCCCCAGGTCATAAAACAGAAATATATGATATAATGATACAGTAGATATGTATCTCATCACATGATGGTTGCTTCGCCCTCTATACAAGCCATTAAAAATCGATGGTAATTTATATACCCCGTCTATAAAGCATACACAATCCCTACATTTGCAATAAAAACGTGTTGTAATGTCACTGATAACAAATGTCTATTTCATTACGACTTTCTGATAGAGCCTTTAATTGTGTTCATGTACCGGTACATAAACTGTAAACTTCGGAGAGATGTGTTTAGTTGTGTTGTGAAGGGGAGACACACGAGCTCCATCACAACATGAACACAGTATTGATCGCTGCCTGTACTCACAGCTGGCACATCTGTCTGAAGATAGGTGTCTCGGTGTATGGAATGGTGAACTAAACATTTACACTTCATCTGCCCTGCTCCCTGTCTGCTAGGTCATACACAGGATGTTGTGCGTCATATGCAGTCCTAGCTATTGCCTGCCTTGTGTATATCGTACAGTACTTGTATTCAGTATGAAGCAAATAGTTCCTGTCTATAGTTAAAGAGTTTGTTTGACCTCCATTTTTTTGCACATAAAAAGGCATGCTGAAGTGTGTGTTTGTGTCTCTTTTAGTGAGGTGTGAATTAGTATTACTAACATTCAAAATCAGCAAGAAGACCCTAACAGATTAATTTCCTTGAACGATCGGTTGGGATGATCAATCATCTATAACAATTTACCTTACCAATTCCAAACACTACTTAAGTAACTAAAGCATAATGGCATTTTAAATGGTGTGGAAACAACTTTATTAGAATAACAAAACATAAAATCTTTTTTTTTCAGGGATGCAACGTAACCTGAAACATTTAACAGCCCAAATAGTCACAACATACAAGGACACCCTCTGAAAGCATGAAAACTCTATTTCCCCTCAGCATACCTTAAACATGAGACAAACTGCCTCGGGCTAGCAGGCTAGTGCCAAATTGTGTCCCTGTTTTCATAAACCAAGTTTGTTTATTTGTTAGTTGTTTTACGCCACACTCAGCAATATTCCAGCTATATGACAACAGTCTAAAAATAATCAAGTCGTGACCAGACAATCCAGTGATTGACATCATTAGCATCGATCCACGCAATTGGGGTACGATGACATGCATCAACCAAGTCAGCGAGCCTGACCATCCAATCCCATAAGTCACCTCTTACGACAAGCATAGTCACCTTTTACGGCAAGCATGGGTTGCTGAAGACCTATTCTACCCCGGATCTTACGGGTCTCTTAAACCAAGACATAAACAGTGTCTGCACAATAACACATCTTCATCCTCTGAATAGATTAGAGCTACAGAAGGTTCAGACCCCCTGAGTGTATTTGCAATGTTTTCCAATCTCATTAAAATCATATCATAGTTTTCGTTACCACTACACAAAGACATCAGAACAACCTTTCATCCGACAAATCAGCATGACGCTTTCCAGGGCCCTCATGCACAAAGCGATCTTAGCGCTAAGATGATCGTAACTCCCATACTTTAACATAGGCTTACAATAGTCTTAGCGCTAAGATCGCTTTGTGCAAGAGGACCCAGATCAGGAAAGTGACAGTCAGAATTTGATTACGGATCATGCAACCTCGAAATGTTTAACACTGGGAAATCTGAACGACATAAACATGCTGTACGACTGAATCTGTCAAACTCATCGCCTATCTCTCGCTTCAATGGGATAAACATTTGAACAGAAGTAACTTTGTATAGCATTAGGGAAGTACTGCCATACAATCTCGGCCATCTATTAGACATTCCAGAATGTTCATTTATTCAGTTTTCACATTTCTAATCGAGACCTTTGTAAAATTATTTTTCATAGTGTAGCGGCCATAACATTTCCGAGTCCTGTGATGGGATTCGAACCACGGACCTTCTGATCAGAGGTCAGACACCTTGTCCACATGACCAAAGAGGTTAACCCGTCAGCAAGCTGACAAGGTAAGGATGTCATCTGTGGGATGACTCCACGCCCTGCTACATACTCCCCCGTCAACAGAAGGCACGTCCCGGGCCGCATAGTAGGGTACTGAGGCTTATTTTGCTCAAATTTAATATGAACGTGCATAGTCAGGAATGGGAGTCGCCATTCTGAAACTATAGTGCTGTACAACTCAAGAAAGCTGCTTTCTGATTGCTTGATGTTATTTCATTGGACTGTCAAAGTTCGAAAAAGGTTGTTCTGACATGACCTGTAATGGGACATCATCAGATCTGTGTTTAGCAGAAGCGAGAACTGATATAAGATTTTAACGAGATTGAACATTATCCAACCCACCACTGACAAACATGTCACGATATCCTGACACTTCCAGGACATCTTGTCCAACATTCCTTCACCAACATTCCCAACAACACAACATGCATCACTGATGTGACAATTAACAGCAAGCGTAAGCACCATCACCAAGCCCTGCTACATACTGACTGTAGCAATGGACGCATATCCCCACACGTATATATATGCATCACATTGCCATGCAGTACCAGCCAAGCCAGGTCCCATCACATCGGCTGCTTCGTCAGATGCAATTCAGGTTGTTCATAAGATTTCTTTTCAATCACTTGATTTATAGAACTGCCCACCAAAAATTTCCACATGTTGAATAAAATTAACATTTGTATTACAGTCTTCTTTTCTTTCTATTGAGATTGTTACTATGACAAAATGATACCAAAAAAACACTTATTTATGGATAAAGAAGCAACTCTTTGCTTTTTGTTTACAATGAAAAAATGATTAAAAAAACTTATTTACCAGATATCGATAAAGAAGTGACTCTTTCCTTTTGTTTACAATGAAAAATGATACAAAAAACTTATTGACCAGATATCGATAAAGAAGTGACTCTTTCCTTTTGTTTACAATGAAAAATGATACAAAAAACTTATTTACCAGATATCGATAAAGAAGTGACTCTTTCCTTTTGTTTACAATGAAAAATGATACAAAAAACGTATTTACCAGATATGGATAGAGAAGTGACTCTTTCCTTTTGTTTACAATGAAAATATGATTTAAAAAAACTTATTTACCAGATATGGATAAAGAAGTAACTCTTTGACTTTTCATTTCTTTTATATTTAAAATTGTGTGAGATCATGTAAAAAAACACTCGTTTTTTTTAAGTTCCCTCGGATTATTATTTCTACCAGCAATCCTTTTAAAAAAGGTTTTAAAAAACAATTTACATACAAATTGATTAAAAGGAAAGAATACATGTTTAATCAAAGCCACACTGACAGTTATTTCAGTGGTTTAACCATTTACATTTTGAGAATTGTGGAGAGATCTCAAATGTTTTGGTAACATTTTTACCCAACACAACATTTATAATAAATATTCAATAATTTTGATCATGAATAGAAAAGTTTCAATCAATAAAAAAGAAATGATGGAAGATACTTTAATTAAAAAATAAAAATGAAAACATACATAACAAAAAATATTTAAATATTAAGAAGTATAAAATCATGAAGTAATATGAAAAAGCAACATACATATTTACAAAATTCACAATACTTTCACCTCATAAAATTGTATATTCAAATAATCTAAAAACAGGGGGAGAAGTTCCCAAATTTGACTGGATGAAACAAACATGAATTGCTGTTCCTTATTATGCCCTGCTGCCAACAAACGGAGGGGGGTACCAGGAATTTCCCACGTAACCAAGGTTACCTCCTGTGTGTGGGTGGTCATGCTGGATGTGTTTTGAAGGAGGGCAAGTTGTCGGCCATAATAGCCTCCCAGAATGTCTACAAAGCTGGAGGCTGCTGCCTGCCCTGCCTCGCTTCTAGGAGAATCTTTATAGCAGTCTATATACAGCTGTCAATGTAAAACAACACACCTAGTAGCACACAACCATGGCACAGGGAGGCGAAACAGGTTTGGATTATATCTACAGTGTAAACCTGCTGATGCAAACAGAAGCATTCTGGCTAAATTTACCAGATTAACATGTTTCCGGATTAACAAACGACAGTTGCAGAGTAATGTCGCTTTGTACGCCTTCCAAACAGTAATCGTCCAGAATGTAGGGTGTCCAGATTAACAGGGTTCAGATTGATGACGTTTTACTGAATATGATTTACAGTGAGTGATTGCATGTTATTTAATATGTGGCCAAACCAGGGACTAAAAGTATGGGTTTTTTTTGTTTAATGCCACCGTAATCGTCTGGAAGGTAGAAGTTCCAGATTAACAGGGTTCATGAGTGATGAGGTTTTACTGAATATGATTTACAGTGAGTGATTGACAAAAAATATAAGCAACGATTCATACAATTGGGGCATGTTTGTTACTTGAGACCAACTGACCCAGGAGGATTGTCTTGCAAGTATTGATTTGGCATGTTTAGTATAATCTATATTTCACTTGTAACACTGACATACATTGGAAAATCTATCAGTAAATATTACAGATGATCTACAGTGAAACCTCATTAGTCTTGAACCTTAAGTCAGGAATCCCTGTCTTCTGGTCCATAAATGCTGGAATCCTCTATATGTAATAGAAGGGACATTTATACATACCCATGATTCACTCATATGAATAATCCAGAAGTACTGCTATTTGATAAACATGAAAAGATTTGCAAAATATCTGTCGATACCCAGTTGGCGGTACACAAATGCTTGGCAAATCCTGCAGTCAACGTGAATCTGCACATTGAAATCCATGTTTTTTACAAACTGAATGCCTAGTTCGTTACATGATTTTAATTGGACGATGCATAGACTCATTAGTACAGCCAAAATGTCACTCCAGAATTCCAGCCTAATTTGGCAAAGGTGAAAACTGAACTTTTATAGTCAGTTAACTCCCTTGCCTCAAGAAGATGGTCATATGCAGTGTGACTCATAAACAATCCTATTCCTCCATGAAGTACTTCTAGTTTATTTTGACCAATTCCTGTTTTCGAAACACATGTGTAATGTAAGACAACTTCAAAATAGATAAAGTCCTATGCCATCTAACTACCATCAGGAGAAAGCTATCTGAATGGTTTAATCACATGCTTCATTATTCCTAGAATGAAAACATGGATGCTAGCTCTTACAAACACAAACACAGGGGATGGTCCAGTCTACAAAGACAGAATCTTGCAAATGACCATCCTGATGACCATGACCTTAAACGAAGGTCGTTCAAAGCCTTACCATTTCAATGTCCCACCATTAGAAAGATTTGTACCAAATTTCCATGAACAGTTCTTGAAATCTCATGCACAACAAAGTGCACAACACCCATGGCAGCAGCAGCAGCAGTGGCCATATTCAGAGTGAGTGAGTGAGTATGGTTTTACGCCGCTTTTAGCAATATTCCAGCAATATCATGGCGGGGGACACCAGAAATGGGCTTCACACATTGTACCCATGTCGGGAATCGAACCCGGGTCTTCGGCAAGCTAACCACTAACGCTTTAACCACTAGGCTACCGACCGCCAAATTCAGACATAACCTGCAAACATCCCCATGCATATGAGACCAGCCAGAGATCACAAACGGCTTTAACAATGTGGCTATTATGGCGGCCATAGAGAAATCAGATCGGTTTTATTAAGCCACAGCAAGCATTATTTCAGCTTTATCATGTCCGCCTGTAGGCCAGGGATACTAGTGGCTGATAGCATGAACAACATCTGTGTCATAGGTGTGGAATGACACCTAATCACCAATCACAAACTTTGTGACGCCAATCCTCAATTTTGTTCCACACTTACAATTAGCATGAGGTACACATTAGGTCGGAGCCACCGAACAAATTGAGGTATAAGCATTCAAAGGACCAGGCACACCAGGTTTCACCTTCTTGTCCTCTGGTTTCAGGGGGCGGTCGGGTAGCCTAGTGGTTAAAGCGTTCGCTCGTCACGCCGAAGACCCGGGTTTGATTCCTGACATGGGTACAATGTGTGAAGCCCATTTCTGGTGTCCCCCACCGTGATATTGCTGGAATATTGCTAAAAGCGGCGTAAAACAATACTCACTCACTCACTCTGGTTTCAGAGCAAACAATGCCAACAATAGATGCTCGACTAACAGACCATGCCTCAACTCATCTGACCTTCAATGCAAGTAACCTAAGAAAATTCCCAATTCACCAAAAAATTCCCAGTGAATACAACTCAAAAGAAGTTAAGGAACACCCAATTCTTCATATTTCTATAGTTTATCAGTCAAACTCCTTTTGGGTAGTATATAATGAAATAAATAATCTAAAATTCTTATTTCATTTCTGAGTGTATTTCTGCCTCTACCTGTTTACTGTGTTGTTACATGAAGCTTATAACATTTCCATTTTGATCAACACGATTAAACCTTTAAAAGCAGAAAAATCACAATGTCAAAATGAAAAGTAACATGCAAGTGAACATGCTTAGAAAACTCGGAGCCCATGAAACTATAGCTGGCATAACAAATAGGGGAATTCATTCATCAAAACTATTTATTTCAGATACCAATTGACCACTGATGCTCGTGCCATTCTTCAAAATTTGTTAATTCTTGTCTTTTTAACCAAGGCGTTACGTAACATAACGGTATCATCCCACAAGATGTTGAAAAGGTGTCTTGTTACCATGTCTGGTGCTCAGCATTATGAAGATAATACAAGGACTGTTTCACACCTTGGTGAAATCTTGCTCACAAAACAAGGATCACTGATCATGCAAACAGATCGAAACTTGTATTCAAACCATTTTTATTGGATCCACGCATGCCAAAGGGATGCAACTCTATACAGAAAATTGTAAGGTCAGGAATTTGATGCTGAGTATTGTAAATTCAGTAATGCTTTCTTACTATCTTGTAAGAATGTATTTCGTTCATCAGTGGTGATTTATTACATGGGGGTCTGGGATGAGGGATGATAGCTCACCTGGCAGACTTTGGTGATTATTTTGGCATTCATACACCAGGTGGCGGAGAAGGTCATATTCAACAGCAGCTGAAAGTACACAAACAATACAGAATATTATAATAATAGAGTGTATCTCTATTTTATGGTGTATGCTTTATGTTTATTTGTTCGTTTGTTGTTTAACGTTGCAGTCAGCAATATTCAAGCTATATGACGGCGGTCTGGAAATAATCAAGTCTGGACCAGACCTTCCAGTGATTGCTATCATGAGCATCAATCTACGCAATTGGGATACAATGACATGTATCAACCAAGTCTGCGAGCCTGACCAGCCGATCCCGTTAGTCGCCTCTTATGACAAGCATAGTTGTCTCTTACGACAAGCATGGGTTGCTGAAGACCTATTCTACCCCGGACCTTAACGGATAGTATGATGAATGTCAGATTTTCATTATGTGGAAGCCTCGGTGGCTGAGTGGGTTAGATCACTGACCTTGTGTGCTGGCGATTAGGGGTCTCACTCTGAGAGTGTGGGTTCAAATCCCGGACGGGACTCCACCCAAAAAAGTACTAAAATCTGTACTTTACTGAGAAAGTGTTATCCCAAATATAACATTTGTTACAAAGGCATAGTTTGAAATACTTGACAAATCGCTGTGGGGTCATGTAATTCTTTAAATTAAACACAACAAATGACAATAACCCTATTAATTTTGAGTTGCTTGAGAACAAATATGCATGATACAAATAATCAATACGACACATAAGCAATTCAGGCTTGTCAGATTGTGTACCTGTATGCCTATACAGATCATTATTTACTGATCACAAGCAGGCACCTGATATATGTACTCTACTGCAGTGAATAATGCAAACACACAGCTGCATCTCACTTCCTGTAACTGAGACAGGTGTTGCTGTCGTCCGCTTATTGCAACTCAGACATGTCTTCCTGTCGTCAGCTTATTGTAACCCAGACATGTTGCTGTTGTCAGCTTATTGCAACTCAGACATGTTGCTGTTGTCAGCTTATTGCAACTCAGACATGTTGCTGTTGTCAGCTTATTGCAACTCAGACATGTTGCTGTTGTCAGCTTATTGCAACTCAGACATGTCTTCCTGTCTTCAGCTTATTGCAACTCAGACATGTCGCTGTTGTCAGCTTATTGCAACTCAGACATGTCACTGTTGTCAGCTTATTGCAACTCAGACATGTCACTCGTCAGCTTATTGCAACTCAGACATGTTGCTGCTGTTAGCTTATTGCAACTCAGACATGTCGCTGTTGTCAGCTTATTGCAACTCAGACATGTCGCTGTTGTCAGCTTATTGCAACTCAGACATGTCTTCCTGTCGTCAGCTTATTGTAACTCAGACATGTTGCTGCTGTCAGCTTATTGCAACTCAGACATGTCACTGTTGTCAGCTTATTGCAACTCAGACATGTCACTCGTCAGCTTATTGTAACTCAGACATGTTGCTGCTGTTAGCTTATTGCAACTCAGACATGTCGCTGTTGTCAGCTTATTGTAACTCACACATGTCGCTGTTGTCAGCTTATTGCAACTCAGACATGTCGCTGTTGTCAGCTTATTGCAACTCAGACATGTTGCTGTTGTCAGCTTATTGCAACTCAGACATGTCACTGTTGTCAGCTTATTGCAACTCAGACATGTTGCTGTCGTCAGCTTATTGCAACCGTGACAGGTGTCGTTGTATTGAGTTTATTTAATTCTGATGTGACACAATAGACTGGACCCTAGAAAGTGAAATACATTGAATTCTCAAAGAAATCTATCAACACCCAGAATGAACTGTAACATGTGAGTAAATACTCTCAACTCAAAATACTACACTGGGAACATACTGAATACAGCATAGAATCAATGTACCGCACATGGAGTATCACACTATGAATGCATCATTCCATTAGTGACTGAGAGTGAGAACTGCAACCATCAAAACAAACATGTCACCTACTATTTCGTTATAAGCGTGTTCGTTATAAACGTAGTTTGCTGTAGTTTGTTTGTTGTTATAATGCCACACTCACAATATTCCATCTATATACCATTACCGCGGTCTGGACCAGACAATCCAGTGAACAAAGATCCACAGCATCAACTATTTGATTGATTAATTGTTTTGTTGTTTAACGCGGCACTCAGCAATATTCCAGCTATATGACAGCGGTCTGTAAATAATCGAGTCTGGACCAGACAATCCAATGGTTTCAGACTTGTTTATTTACAGACCGCCGTCAAAATGCTGGAAAACTGCCAAGTGCCGCATCTTTATATTTGAATAATGCCAATAAGCATCCCCAGCATACCTTGATGATCTCCACCTGGATGTCTTCGGGGAGGTTGGGTGTACTGTACACTGCATTGAGGATCTGAACTGGCAGCAACTTCTCCTCATTGTTTTCAGACTCGAAGCTCGACTGGAAGCGCTCGTCAACCAAAATTTGCTGTGGAAATATAGAGATGATGAATACTGCCCCCAAAACAGAATCTTGTTTTATAAATCTGAAATTGAGTCTCACATGTAAATACAGCTTACTGAAATAGTAACCATCTTCCTGAGGCAAGGGAGTTAACTGACTTTAATAGTCCAGTTTCCATCCTTGCCGAACTAGGCTGGTATTATGTTGTTAGATTTTGGCTGGACTAACGAGTCTATGCATAGTCCAATCAAAATTGCGTAACAAAATATACATCCAGTTCGAAAACTGTCGTGCAGATTTCTGTCCATTACAGGATTTGCAAAGCATGTGCACCCCCAACACGGCGTCAACAGATATTTTCCAAAACTTTTCATGTTTTTAATCAAGGTGCTCATGTGATTTGATGCACTTTGTAATCACAATATGGATCTTGATTATCAATCAGATCGTCTTGACTCAGCACCGCCATTTTCTTTGAAGCAAATGCAAGTGATATGAGAGGTGGAATCTGATTGGTCAATAGAAGAGGCATAGAAGGGACATAACTCGTAATAGCCACTGGTGGCACTACGATCGAGTCACATTAAACAACTGGGATGGCCCAGTATAATGAAAATTTCAGTGTTTCAAAACCCTGACATCATTATCTTTCACATAATAAAGGTGGCACAGGTGGCCGAGTTGCCAAGGCACTGTTCACCTAGCTGATCCTGGGTTTGAATCCCAGCTACACCCTGATTAAGATCGGTCAACACCCTTTGCTGGTTTCACAAAGTGATACACCACCAGTGTCACTTCGGCTTTCTTTAAAGTTGACACGCCATGATGTGACATGCCTAACAACTAATTTGAAGGTTAATTTTAGTTTTGTAATTTTCTTACTTGATTTAAGATTGACAGATATGCCAACTGAAATCGCAAAAATCTAAATAAAAAAGCTAAACTTTGAGAGCAGACTTTTCTGATTAGTCTGTTAACAAATTTCAGCACTGAAAAAAAATTGAACATGGGTCAATATGGGAGAAACAGTGACTTGTAACAGTAGTATTTTTTCCCAACCAACAATACTTACAAGAAATCCCTTTTCAAGAAAAAGATTCAAATGTTATCTGTTCATACATTGTATTTCAGTCCATAAACCAGGTAAAATGGTTTTTCAGTTCAAATGTTCCCACCTGTAGCCCTGCCACTGCATGGCCGGCCAGCCTCTTGGCCCGGGATTCCAGGGCAGTCTGCAGCGGCTCGAGACACTTCTCTCGCAGGTCGGAGGCAGGGGTACATGCTGTGATCCCTCCATCCTCCAGCAGGGCTGAAACACAACAGGCAAACTGTCAGGCTTCACTTGCATCAGTCCCCGATCTTCATCTCGGATTTATTTGTTTGTGGTTTCATGCGTATCTGTAAAGTTTTTGTCGCTGACCAACCAGAATAAATTTCACATTCCAGGAAGATAACGTAGAAAACGTTTTACTTATCATGTAAGTAGCTGCTATAGAAACTTGAAACATGGTGATCAGACTTCGAAATTAACGCTGTCCGCAAGCCTGAGACTACTAAAATGAGCTGAGGTCAAGTAAAAATCCAATGACGGTAGTCCTCATTGACAAGTAGAATATGAAAGATATAACTCTGAACCAGTTCTCAATGCTCCTATCTTACTAGAAATTGGAACTGAATAAATGTAAACATAGTAAACACTTTTGTCTCATTCAAGCAGGACCAACTACGTCTGAGGACTAGTTTCCACTAGACTTCTGGGCCCCGTTCCACAAAGCTATCGTAGCCCTAAGATGATCGTAACTCCCATACTTTAACATAGACCTACGTATCGCAACAATCACTTTGTGGAATGGGGCCCTGGACTACTCTGAATTGAGTGAGTGAGTGAGTTGGGTTTAACGCCACTTTTAACAGTATTCCAGTTATATCGCAGCGTGTCAGCTTAATGTGGGAGGAAAGCCCGAAGTAATGCAGGTACGGGTATGGTGCTGACAAACCTAGAAACATAATAGGGGCAAATCGGGATTCGAACCCACAATCATAGGTTTCTGGCGTGCCCAAGGGACACAACTCTGCACAGCGAATCGCGGCGCCTTAGACGACTTGGCCACCCGTGCCCCCTGGACTACTCTGAAAAACATATGACCTTCTTCTTTAACCACTGTGGAAAAAATTTAAATTTTGAGACTAGTTTCTTCTTCCTCCCATCCAGACTGTTAGCTAATTCAGTATTGAAAAAGAACAAAGTTGCTAAGTCTTTTAAGCAATGTTAATCTGTGACTTAAATCTTATGTACTTTATTTCACTTGACCAAAAAGTATTTTCAGAAACCACATAAAAACTTATTTTTATTCTAACCACCAACCCTACACTGTAGCCATTCACGGAGCTCTCTATACTATCGCTGCCACTAGTCAAAGCTCCCTCCTGTGATAGGTGGCTACAACCATGCTTGGAGTTGAACTCGCAACCGACTCACCGTTATGTTTACAAACAAATGATGACAGTCATGACGCCTAATACTCTTACCCAAGCTAAATTATTTTTTGTGTGTCAATTTGAATTTCTATTTCATTTCAACTGTCATGTAAATGGTTTAGTTAGAATATAAGAGGGAAGTTGGGTGATTTTCCGTTCGTCTGCAATCTCGAACCAATCTGATCAAACAACCCAAAAGTAAAATTCATTTGGAGAAATCTTGTCCATCGTAAATCTTTTCAAAATTCACTATGATGGCATTCCCAAAGACATCACAAAAGTATAAACGTTACTTCATTTGGGGTTAGAGGGCAATTTCAAGATTCTTGCAATGGATGCTCCACCACTGACCATGCTGACAAAAACGATGTTACCGGGATTGTCACAATGATGCTACAGAGAGTGTTGCCACTGTTAAGCCTTGTCCACAATTGAATACTGTAAATCTTGAAATTAACGTGAGCAGACATACCAACTTAGACATAGGCTGAAAACAAACAACTATGTATTCTACATCACTGTTTATTGAGCAGCATTTGTAACAAGTATATAAACAATGTCATTGAGACACTAATTACATCCTGTGAATTGTCACTGCTGGGGTCAAGACAAGAGTTCTTCTCACATACGTCATCATTGATGAAACCTGCAAGTCCAGACAGACGCCACCCATGCAACATGGTGTCTTTGTTCTTTACGATTGAGTCAAAGGTCGACACGAGCCAGCGCGCATGCATGTCCCGACAGAGGACATTTTATTTAGATATAAATCCACTGATGCTTGAGAGGAGGGGGTGTCGCATTCATATTGAGTCGCATTTTTGGCCAGGGGCCAGCGTTCGCATTCTTATGGATACGCATTAATTTCACGATTTACAGTATATTCATCCAATTACAAATATTATTGTTCAGGTCTTATAGCAGTATGGGCATTGAGAATATGTGGTGTTCTGGAGAACTGTTCCTGAACATGGAATGTTCCTCATTGTTTCCAGTGAACGCTTTTTGCTTTGCAGATGTTGTACAATCAAGTTATTCCACTGTTGCATTAGAAGCTTTCCGATCAGATAAATCTGGGTTATGTGGGAAGTCTGAAAGTTTTTTCTTTAACCAGTACTTACTGTTTTTTTTACCAGTAAAATATTTCCATGACAGGTAATTTCAGATGCTGTCAATCCCTGGGATAATGTACATCATGTACATATAAATAATCTCTTCATCCACAGATTAATCAGGTCCAAGTTAATCATCAACCTTGGGGACTAAATATAATTATGGTAATTATTTTTATAAAATATTAATAATTCATACAGCTTCAGCCATTCTGTTATATGAAAGGGTCACCAAAAAATCACCTCGCCTCACCAGGTTCATTACCAAGCTGTCTGTTGCTTTTATCATTGTTAATTAAACTTGGAAATTAATACTCATTGTATATCAATGTATATATACTAGCGGGGAAAAAAGTAACTATGCTTCATATAAAGTGATGAAAATAACAACGTAATATTTGGTCCTTCATCTGATCAATGTTACATCATAACAAATTCATTTACAAAACCCATACCTGGACACTGAGCAACATGCCCTAAAATTTTGGGTGTGACTACGATTTGCGTTGAGACATAACAAAACCCTACCACTCATCAGAATGAATTGTATTATGAGTGAGTGAGTTATGTTTACCCACAGTCATAGGTTTCTGGCATGCCCAAGGGACACAACTCTACACGGCGAATCGTGGTGCCTTAGACACCTTGGCCACCTGTGCCCCCTGAATTATATTATGATACATACAGACTGATATGGTGTTCGTCATGACTGCATAGTATTACCACCTGTGCCTGCTAGAAAGTTGTTAGTAGTAAGAGTAAAGACTATTCGTTTATTGTGTTTAATGTTTTATTATTCAGCAGTGAGTGTTTTGACATCCTGTCTGTCGAAAGTTGCCAGAACTGGCATTTTTAATAACTGATATATGTTTGCTGGCATTTGTTTTGTCTCATCTCAGCATACAGGGGTCGATTTAACTGCTGGCCTGTTGGCCCATGCCCAGTTAAAATAACAAAGGGCTTGCTGAAATGTAAAATAGATGGCCTGTCTGTCTAGTCAAAATTTCACCCTTCTCCATGTATGTTTAATTTTTCTAATTGGACAATACCTGTGAATCATGTAATTTTGATGAGAAAATATTTAGGGGGGATGAGGTCTTGTGAAAGGTTAACTCAAAGAAAGATATATGTCAATCATCTCAGTAAAGAATGATAACCGGCCATTTTGAAACGTTGGGTCCAACAACATCTTTATTTGCTCATAAGTCACCACGAAATGAGACAAATGGAAGCCAATATTTAATCTCAAGAGTGCAGGAAAAGACGTTTCAGGGGTGAGGAGTTCTAAAATTGTCAGAGCCCTCCTTGGTGGCCACTTCACAACCTCAACCATTTAGTTGTAGGCAAGTTAGCTTGGAGTGAGTGAGTGAGGTGGGTTTAATGCCGCTTTTAACAGTATTCCAGTTATATCACGGCATGTCAGCTTAATGTGGGAGGAAAGCCCGAAGTGATGCAGGTCTCAGACGTTTACCACTTCGGTGAAACCCACGGGCACGGGTATGGTGCTGTCAAACATAATCGAGGCGAACCGATCAGAAACAATCATAGGTTTCTGGAGTGCCCAAGGGTCGCAACTCTGCACAGCAAATCGCAGTCATACTGAACATGCATTTTAACAAGTAAAACTGACACAACAAAAGGTCATCATACAAAATTCTACATAACTTAGACATCATTTGAATCAACATATTCTCATGATTTCTCCATTACTAAATGAATGTTGAACAAATGACCAGGCATGTTGAACAAATGACCAGGCATGTTGAATGAATGACCAGGCATGTTGAATGAATGACCAGGCATGTTGAACGAATGACCAGGCATGTTGAACAAATGACCAGGCATGTTGAACAAATGACCAGGCATGCTGAATGAATGACCAGGCATGTTGAATGAATGACCAGGCATGTTGAATGAATGACCAGGCATGTTGAATGAATGACCAGGTATGTTGAATGAATGACCAGGCATGTTGAACGAATTACCAGGCATGTTGAATGAATGACCAGGCATGTTGAATGAATGACCAGGCATGTTGAATGAATGACCAGGTATGTTGAATGAATGACCAGGCATGATGAACGAATGACCAGGCATGCTGAATGAATGACCAGGCATGTTGAATGAATGACCAGGCATGTTGAATGAATGATCAGGCATGCTGAACAAATGACCAGGCATGTTGAACGAATGACAGGCATGTTGAATGAATGACCAGGCATGTTGAACAAATGACAATCAACAACTTGGATCAAGAGAAGAGCATTTATACACAGATATAGGTCAAAGGTTAGTTAAGATTTGTGAAGATCATAGGGTTAGAATTGGTCTTCAGCAACCCATGTTTGGATATAAGAGGCAAATTCTTGTCGTAAGAGGCAACTAATGGGATCGGATGGTCAGACTCGCTGACTTGGCTTGATGCATGTCATCGTATCCCATTTGCGTAGATCGATGCTCATGATGTCAATCACTGGAATGTCTGGTCCAGACACGATTATCATGATTATGTACAGACCACCGTCACATAGCTGGAATATTGCTGAGTGTGGCATAAAACAACAAACAAACTAGGATTTATCCAAACTGTGATATACGATAACACCTGTCGCCTGACATCTGCCACATAACATCTAACTTCGATAATAAATAATTTGTTCAATGGAGCAAGCAAGTAAATGTTATTTATACTATAACTTTCGTCAACAATATTGTCTCAGACTGTAAATAATTAAGCAAGCGGTTGATAGCATGACCAACACTATCACCCCAAGCTGCAACTTAAGCTTTCAAGCCATAAACCAGAGTTTAACTAATTGCTAAACTCAAAACATTTGTAATTGTTTCTTTAAAGACTAGTCCAGAGGACTAGTGAAACCTTTCTTATTGACTAATCTTCAGACTTTGTAGGGGCGGTCAGGTTGCCTAGTGGTCAAAGCATTCGCTCGTCACGATGAAGACCCGGGTTCGATTCCCAACAATGTGTGAAGCCCATTTCTGGGGTCCCCCACCGTGGTATTGCTGGAATGTTGCTAAAAGTGGCGCAAAACCAAACTCACTCACTCACTCAGACTTTGTAGCAAACAAAACTGTTTATTATGTTTACATTTTCTATCAGTTTTGTTCAGTTCCAATTTGTAGCAAAATTGAGGTATTGAGATTTGGTTCAGAATCACAGCCCTCAAACATGTCAAATACTACTAGCCAATGAGGACAGCAATTGTATTTTCACATGTTCTTAGCATGCAGTAGTCTTGGGCTTGAGACCTGACATGAATTTCCAAGACTGTACTCACAGTCCCACCCATGAAGATCTGGATCAAATAATGCTAACGCAACCCTAACCCTGGCTAACCCTACTCAGTCACATGCTTGTGGTAAAAGGCGACTATGCTTGTCATAAGAGGAGACTAACGGGATCGGGTGGTCAGGATCGCTGACTTGGTTGATGCATGTCATCTTATCCCAGTTGCGTGGATCGATGCTCAAGATATTAATCACTGGATTGTCTGGTCCAGCCTCAATTATTTACAGACTGCCGTCATATAGCTGGAATATTGTTGAGTGCGGTGTTAAGCAACAAACCAACCAACCAACCCACTCACAGTCCTTACGTAAAAAGGACTGGTTTTTTTATACATTACGTCAGCTTCACCCACTTCATAACGACCTGATGCCCATCATAACACACATGGGGTTCTGGGTAATTGTTTACTCCAGAACTTTCACTGGGTTTGTTAACTGGGAGAGCAGGGAGAGAAAAGAAGGTATCCTTTTAGCTTGGCTGATCTTATCAGTGAAATATTTTGGGGGAGGTACATAAAAACGTCATGATCACATACTGGGTTCCAATTTAATAAATTTCAATGGCATAAGTTGTTTTCACTAATTTCAGAACAAATTACTATAAACATGTCTCGATGGTATAAATGAGCAAATTAAAAACATATGCAGCCAGAGTGCTGCGAGATCCATGATTTTGTTAATTTACGGCAAAAAAATTGCCCAGGTAAACATAAACAATAAAGGTGTAAAATCACTGTCACTATGTACAATGACGTATGTACCATCAAATATTTATTGGTCTCTAATTCTAACAAATACCTCATATAAATTGATATTATCAAACAGTAATGTTCTTATCGAGTTCAAAACTATGTTTCCATCAGTGCACATTGAATATTATGGATTTTTTTACAACCCATAGCGTCCAAGCCATGTACCTTGAACTGAAGTACACTGAAATGTTCAATTTGAAAGTGTACAATAATAGCTAACAGTTATGAATGAGATGACCTCAACAACTTTCAGTAATAGCATACTCTTGCCCAGGCATGACTAAGTTGATTCTTCTGGTACGTAACTCTCAACAAAGTACATTCCAGATTCCATAAGGGCGAATGAGTGAGTTTATGTTTTACGTCAAATCGGCAATATTTCAGCCATATCATGACGAGAGATTCCACAAGGAGGAATATAAATTGGCACTAGTTTGAATCCATGTGTCTGATGTTAAAGTTATCCCAAGGGATAGCAGGAGTTCATGCATTTCAACATGTTTAAGGTGTGGTCTTATATGTGAGTGGGTTGGTTTAATGCCGCTTTGAACAGTATTCCAGTTATATCACGGCGTGTCAGCTTGATGTGGAAGGAAAGCTTGAAATGATGCAGGTCTCAGACGATGACCACTTTGCTGAAACCCACAAGCACTGGTGCTGACAAACCTAGAAACATAACTGGAGTGAATCAGGATTCAAACCCATAATCCTAAGTTTCTGGCATGCACAAGGGATGTAACTCTGCACAGCCACCAGCGCATTCGATGACCAGGCAGGCCACTGGTCACTTCATATTTTTATGTCATTAATATTCCGTGGTAGAATGTTCTTTGCTGGTCCGTATATTTAGGTGCTGTTGGGAAGTGTATACATTCTTTCATGTTTTACACTGTCATTAGGACATTTTCATAACTTGTTCAACTTCTGTATAATGACAAACTTTGGGCACATCTTAAGGGCATTTTTCAATGACAATCGGTTAATGTCCTAATAAAGAACTCAAGCCATGTTATGCAACTGATCAATTACTAGTTTTTGAGAGGGAGAGTTGTGCCCCCATCACATTATAACATTTTGTATCAAGCGTACTTTTCAAAAGAAAAGACCAGCACAGTAGATGTCTCCTCTTTTTTACCCCGGCTGGTAAACGTTTTAGTTTAAACTGCACCCCTCATAACAATGATAAGTAGTCTTTGACATTATGGGCTCTCCCATCTTCACGAGGCAAGGGAGTTAACTGACTGTAAAAGTCCAGTCAAGAGTCAAGACGATCTGATTGATAATCAAGATCTAGATTGTGATAAAACGGGTCTTACATCGCAAAGTGCATCAAACGAGCACCTTTATTATAATCATGATTCCAACCTGATAAGTATATGGAAAGGTGCATGATCAAAATTACAAGTTCACAGATATTTGAGGTGAGGTGAAATTGGGTTTAACGTCGCGTCCAAGATTATTGCACTTATATAGCGACGTGCATGCATGTGTGTGTGTGGCTGCTTGTACTAGTCCGGACTGATGCCGCTTTATAGTGCTAGCTCACTGAGATACCATGCTGCAGTTTAACATAAATACCCCACTCAGACACAGTATACTGACTGTTTTAGCCCCTTAATGCCGAGCACCAGACAGGGTAACAACAAGTACCATCCTTTAACGTCTTTTGGTATGATGCGGCCGGGGATCGTACTCCGGACCTTCCGCTCTCTGGGCGGACGCTCTACCACAAGACCACGGAGGCGGTCACACAGATATTTTAAGGGAAGTGTTTCAGGAAGCGCAGTGTGGTGCATTTTTCATGGGATTATGGCATGGTTGTTAGTGCGGTAATATATAAGAAAAATACTGTGTAATAGACGATAGCTCTGTGTAGCAACAGGTCAATATCAAAAGCATTTATAGGAAGCAGCTCTAAGATATGTTACCACAGGTGCATTAGAGTCAGACAAGATCCCTTTACTTTTATGCTTAATTTCTAATTTAAGATATATGGTATGCCAGATTCATAGTTACGAATTTGTTACATTAGATATAGGACAGTAAAAGCAGCGAAGTAAACAGCTATTATTTCACTGCTACAGGACATACGTGAAAATCCAGGGTAGAATAGGTCTTCAGCAACCCATGCTTGACGTAAAAGGTGACTATGCTTGTCGTAAAAGGCGACTAACGGGATCGGGTGGTCAGGCTCGCTGACTTGGTTGATGCATGTCATCGTATCCCAATTCCATGGATCGATGTTCATGATATCAATCACTGGACTGTCTGGTCCAGACTCGATTATTTTACAGACTGCCGTCATATAGCTGGAATATTGCTGAGTGCGGCATTAAACAACAAACCAACCAACCAACCTTTACTTTTATGCTTAATTTCTAATTTAAGATATATGGTATGCCAGATTCATAGTTATGAATTTGTGACATTAGATATCGGACAGTAAAAGCAGCGAAGTAAACAGCTATTATTTCACTGCTACAGGACATACATCTACATAATACCCACCTAAAGCAGCTTCACAGGACTGTCGTAGTGCACCCATCTTAGGGGCTGATGCATCCCTAGCCAGATGGGTCAGCACCTCTTCCATGGTCCTCATCTTGTCTTGTTAATCTTATCCACGTACTTACAAACAAAGACCAAACAAACTCGAGGTCTGCATTCTACCGCTTTGTGAGTACAGCTGTCTCCATATCGTTTGATTTAACCGACCAGTAGACTGGTATTACGCCCATATTGTTATCGGTTGTGGGCTGTTGTTTATCACACTGCAGACTTATTAAAAGTTAAACGTGTGTCCTGTATATGAGTATCCTGATAGCACAACAATAACACGTCCACTAGAATTATCCAAAGGACAAGTTATTGATAAACTATATTCAGCTGTACTCAGATAGTCGGAAATTCCTCAACGGTCACTCAGTCACTGACCACTCGTTTTGACAGTTTTTCTCACAGAATGTCACAGAAAATCAATGTAAATCGATTAATAAATATTACAAACGAATAAATGCCACCAGGTCTTGCACTAACACAGAAGCATTTCCTTTTCTTTGCCTAAATCTCTGAGCGATGGATGTCACCATAAATGCCAAAAATATGGTGACAATTACCACGAAAACATATTTCTTCTGCTACAAATTTGCCAAGTCGCACCGGGTCGCTTACGATCTGAATAAGTTCGATTTGCTGCCGCTTGTATCATAACAATATTCTTTTATGAATTACCTCCCTTTGACCAAGCCCCGATAGTCTTTCGTTACCCCACAGCACAAATTGTACTAATTTTGCCACAAGCTTTTGTGCTGTTCTTTTAGATATGTCTTACCCTCAATTTGGATTGACTTTGAACCAATACCAAAATTTGGCTTACAATTTGGCTTACAATTATAAAAAGTTGAAACATCACATTTTCTGCTTATTGTACAGTTTGTCAAACACTGACGGACGGACGGATTGATACTTGCTTAGTGAAATTTTTATAATCAATGAATAAATTGACGATGAGATTTATTACCACTTGCACGTCTTTTTAGAAGTATTTACGCCTTTTGATTTTTTTTACACTTAATGGCGTATTACAATGTGCAAATTTCAGTTATATAATGGCGTTAGCTTCAGGAAAGCATGAAAACAGCACGTTTTAAATTTTTACCATTTTGGTAAAATCCCATGAGCAAAGGTATGATGCTGACAGACCTAGAATCTCAATTAGTGCCAATCTTAGATTCGATCACACGACCATACGATCCTACTCCAGATAGCGACATCTAGGCCCTCATGCACAAAGCGATCATAGCGCTAAGATGATCGTAACTCCCATACTTTAACATAGGCTTACAATAGTCTTAGCGCTAAGATCGCTTTGTGCAAGAGGACTCAGGACGACTGGGCTCTCCGTGGCTCCGGGTATGTACAAGTGTAAATATCAATGATGTATTCCACAGAATAACAATAACAATAAACCACATCAAAATATACATGTCTACGACAACAATGTTATTTATAAACCAACGAGATGATCACATTTAGTTTGGTCATGAATCTAATCAAGTAAAAACCCAACCCAGAATTTAATCTGAGGTATAACAAGTGACTCACTCACCTTGTATTCGAATGATAGTCATCGTATAAATGAATACACTGCAGGAAACTATATATTTACAAACCTTCCTTTTTCCATGTTCAGTTTTTCCTCGTGGGTATTATGGGTCAGAAAGGTAACGAATGCTTGTCTCAAGAACCAAATAACGAGGATCGGGTGGTTGCAGTTTATGATCTATCTCATATCGCTGCTCATGCTATCAGCCCCTGGTTTGCTTGACCTATATTCGGGTATTTCCTGGCCACCATGAAGTAGATGTAATATTGCTTACTGCAACATACAACATACATTTACATCCAGTTCGGTCTTCTGTTTATTTACAATTCTAACTGGGTTGTGTTCTTTTAATAGGGAGTGATAATTAATCTGGATCTCATTTCCTCATAGGGCGGTCGGGTAGCCTAGTGGTTAAAGCGTTCGCTCGTCACGCCGAAGACCCAGGTTCGATTCCCGACATGGGTAAAATGTGTGAAGCCAATTTCTGGTGTCCCCCTCTGTGATATTGCTGGAATATTGCTTTAAAAAAGGCATAAAATCATACTCACTCACTCACTCACTCATTTCCTCATAAGCCATCTGGGATTCCAGATTAGAATTGATCCCCAGGAAACCATGATTGTCGTAAGAGGTGACCAAATGGATCGGGTGGTCAGCAGTTGTGTAAGTACCACCGTGCCCCGACGGCTTGGGACGTTGCTCATTATATCAATCACTGGATTGTCTTGTCCAGACTCGATTATTTACAGACCGCTGTCACATAACTGGAATATTGCTGAATACGGTGTTAAACAACCAAGGAGCGTTAAAACGTGTACATACATTCTCTACATAAACTGATTCCCCACATGGGTACAGTGTGTGAAGCCCATTTCTGGTGTACCCCGCCGTGATATTACTGCAATACTGCTAAAGGCGGCGTAAAACCTCTCTAAAGAACATACTTTTCATTACGCTGGCTGTTTATTTTAATTGACAATATTGTGTTTACATATATATTTTAATCGTATTATTCATACCCCATACCCCCCCCCCCCCCCCCCCCCACAAACACACACACACCCCACCCCCCTCTCTCTCTCTCTCTCTCTCTCTCTCTCTCTATAGCAGGTCTAAAACTGAGTTCAGAATATTTTGTCTTGCATGTTGATAATAATACCACCATTGATATTAGAGGTATAGATTAATAATGGACTCAATTATTTTTAATTGGCCACTGACACTCAAATCCACTCACTTTCTGTACTCGACCATAAAGAGGTTTAATATAGTGACATCAAAACATACAGTTAAGTAAACAAGAACATGTACATAACAAATCAAGATCACTGAACCCCGGAAGTAGACAGGTCCAAATGACCCAGTTCATGGTTAAACATCCACTTGGTATAAAACTGAGCTTGTTGGCTTTTGTTATCAGAAATATTCTTGGTGAATATAATGTTAAAAGTGATTAAAGTTCAGGGTAGTTTTGCAAACTTGACATTTATAAATAAAGAACTTAGCCCAAAGCAACAATAGGTCAAACACATCATCAGTATATATTGTTTTTCTTATTATGCGGTGACAGACACAACTCCTTCAAATAGACCCGTGAAGATCCGGGGTAAAACAGGTCTTCAGCAACCCATGCTTGTCGTAAAAGGCGACTATGCTTGTCGTAAGAGGTGACTAACGGGATCGGGTGATCAGGCTCGCTGACTTGGTTGATGCATATCATCGATCCCAATTGCGTGGATCGATGCTCATGATATTAATCCCTTGATTGTCTGGTCAAGAAAAATATCACTGGCATTTCGCTAGAGGGCAGGCAGCTGTCCCCATAATAAAATCTGTTCTTTCCCTGTACAATGACTAATCTGGTAATTTTTTCACGTTCACATTTATGTTATAAAAAGAAAGATATGGCATATTTCGTCTTTTCAAGCAGGTAATAATGGTTTGGTTCTCGGCAGGTCCACTTTGTGACAAGTGAGTGAGTTGGGTTAAACGCCGCTTTGAACAGTATTCCAGTTATATCACGAAGTGATGCAGGTCTCAGACTTAACTACTTAAATGAAACCCACGAGCACGGATATGGTGCTGACAAACCAAGTAACATAATCGGGGCAAACCGAGATTCGAACCCACGATCATAGGGCTCAGGCGTGCCCAAGGGACGCAACTCTGCACAACCAATCGCGGATCTTCAGACGATATGGTCACCCGTGCCCCCTCTTTTGACAAGAAAATGTGACAGACAAATTTGTTGTGGCCAAATAAAAGCTTTTTCCATATAGCCTTTCAGGTCCAGAAACATTTATTTTGCATCCCAATTTGAATAAACGATTCATGTCTCTTACTGAATTTCATCATCACTATTTGGCGTCTCCGCTAAATATTTCATAAGGTGTCATCATGAAAGATAAATATTTCCCCAACAACTCCTTCATGTCTCATTCTCATCCTGAACATACCTTTCAAGGGGTCTCATTCTCATCCTGAGCATACCTTTCAAGGGGTCTCATTCTCATCCTGAACATACCATTTAAGGGGTCTCATTCTCATCCTAAACATATCATTCAAGGGGTCTCATTCTCATCCTGAAGATATCATTTAAGGGGTCTCATTCTCATCCTGAGCATACCATTCAAGGGGTCTCATTCTCATCCTGAACATACCATTCAAGGGGTCTCATTCTCATCCTGAGCATACCATTTAAGGGGTCTCATTCTCATCCTGAACATACCATTTAAGGGGTCTCATTCTCATCCTGAACAACCATTCAAAGGGTCTCATTTTCATCTTGATTATGTCCTTTAAGACGTCTCATTCTCTTCTTGAACATACCATTTAAGGGATCCCATTCTCATCCTGAAGATATCATTCAAGGGGTCTCATTCTCATCCTGAACGTACCATTTAAGGGGTCTCATTCTCATCCTGAACTTACCACTCAAGGGGTCTCATTCTCATCCTGAACATAACATTTAAGGGGTCTCATTCTCACCCTGAACATACCATTTAAGGGGTCTCATTCTCATCCTGAGCATACTATTCAAGGGGTCTCATTCTCACCCTGAACATACCATTCAAGGGGTCTCATTCTCATCCTGAGCATACCATTCAAGGGGTCTCATTCTCATCCTGAACATACCATTTAAGGGGTCTCATTCTCTTCTTGAACATACCATTTAAGGGATCTCATTCTCATCCTGAAGATATAATTCAAGGGGTCTCATTCCTATCCTGAACATACCTTTCAAGGGGTCTCATTCTCATCCTGAACATACCATTCAAGGGGTCTCATTCTCATCCTGAGCATACCATTCAAGGGGTCTCATTCCTATCCTGAACATACCTTTCAAGGGGTATCATTCTCATCCTGAGCATACCTTTCATGGGGTCTCATTCTCATCCTGAACATACCAATTAAGGGGTCACATTCTCATCCTGAACATACCATTCAAAGGGTCTCATTTTCATCTTGAATATGTCATTCAAGAGGTCTCATTCTCTTCCTGAATGTACACTTCAAGGGGTCTCATACTCATATAATTGCCCTTTACCGATTGACAGAAGTTGCTTGCTTGGTCTGTGTGGATTGTAGGTCATTGCATCATCATTGCCAATTGTTTCAAGCACTTGTTTGTCTCAGACTTGACTGTTTACAGGCCACCACAATAAAGCCATGTCACAGGTCTCCATACTGTGACCAACAATTAAATTCATTCACTGTCAGGTTGGCTTCTATTACACAGTCTCACAAGCACATGTGCAAATCCCGGTGGACCTTGAATCAGAAGAGCTCGAATCCCTATGTAAAGGTTCCTTGTTACGTGAAGTTTCTACAGCTGTATGCTTCTGAGAAATGACAACAGACATGAACTATCTGTTTTGAAATATTTATTGCCAATCGTGATAACATAGCGTACTCGATGAGACATCTTATGACTATATGGTTATGAAGAATGCTCTCAGTCAAACTGACCAGCCATTACCTTCCAAGTGGACATAGTACAGCCTGACCCATTCTCATATTCTGTATAGCATGGGCATTAAGTGGCGCTTCTAAAGAATGTCAAACAGAAGTAAAAAAACATCAATGAAAAAAAATAATAATAATTTCAGCTATCAATTTTGGCATAATTAGACATTAAGTAAAGAATATAATGGTAATATGTTTTTTCTTGAATTTACACCAAAGTCATCCTGGAAGCCTCTACTGTCTCTGTACACATAATGCTGAGGAAAAGCTTACACAATAGACAGAAAACAGAAGATAAATAATTATATTTTATTGGAATTAATGTTCAATTTATTATCAAATTTTTCTTTGATACATTCTTCAAGATTGGTTCCATCCATTTTCATCAAACACTATTTGAAAATTATTCTAAAAATCTCATGTCAGAAATATCAGAGTAAAATAAGTTAGAAAAAACAAATAAGCCTATAGTATAATCTGTATACAAGTGCTATGTTACATTACAGAGAAAACAAAAAATCCAAAAGACTTCATTGTATATATATAACATTTTTGCTGAATATGATTTCCTTTTGATGGTCCAGTGTCGGAGTTATCTTCTCATTACAGCCACAACACAAACACCAGATGGTGCTCCTTTCAATGAGATCACACAAATGTGGTTTGAAACACAATCCTCAAAACAATTTCCATCTAAATTCAACTGGATAGCCATCAATGATAAAATATATTTAAACGTTTGCTACAAAAATAGTGATTTCTGTTATGTTCCCATTCATATAGCATCACAAGCATTCAAAATCAGTAAGGTGAGTCTTAATAAACGGTGCTCCAAGATAGCCAAGGAATGAATTTTGTTCAAAAGCTGAAAGGGCTGGCTGCTCTTGTTAAGAAATTCCCAAGCCTTGACAAAATCGTCTTAAATTGACTGGCCATGATATATTGGTCGCTCCAATTTAAACAAAAACTATCACAGAAATACCTGCACAGAGACATACTACATTTATGTAAGAAATGAACTCCATGCATATCTGTATGTTGTCAAAAAAAAAAATCCGCTAACATCGGTACCATACATGTCACCTCTTCCAAACCTTGTTGGCAATATATATATAGTTCTGCCTTAGTATTCATGACAGAAGGAATAGCTGCAGAAAAGACAGTTCCCCCATTACATGTTTCCCATTCAAGTGTGTGTTAACTACAAGGAAATTTGTAAAATAGCAACTGTTGACTTGAAGCGCCGGAAGTCTTTATGGCCTTACCAGATTCCGAAGAACCGGTCCTCTGGCATTTTGTTGCAATTTGAACTTTTACCACGTGAAAACCAGAGCGAAGAGTGGGGCCTCTATGACTGAACCCTGATGAGACATAAGTAGTGTGTTGTTGCACGACACATACACCTTGCCTGCACACTGCTAGCACTCAGAACTAAAGCACAAACAATTTACTTGGGGGTAATAAGCAATTGTTTATCTGTACAGTCTGGTTACAAAATATAAATCAGATACAAAAAGGCATTATTGGATAAACCTAGTCAGCTAAAACAAGTTATCATTTTACATATATACTGACAAGTTTGACAACCCAAACATAACCATTGTACCCAAACTGTCTTGTGTAATTTTGATTTCATTTATTCAAACTCAAGTTCAAACATTATCTTGGAAAATCCTAAGTCTACTGTAAAATGCCACCTCTGGTGACCTTAGGGAATTAATGATTAGTAAAATCCATCTGGAATATTGAGTAAACCTCCGACCATGCCAGGCTGAATGACACCTGCATGAAGTTGCCGTCCCATTGTTCTCCATTCATATATTCATGAGGCAAAAATTGCTTCTCGGCAATTAACGCACGGAATTAGCCTCCTTACGATATATCCTGAGTGAGAAGACCTCAGTCTAGAGTGATCGTGAGAGATAGTAGGTCCATAGAACAGTAGATAGAAATGTGGCTATATAAACTGGTAGGTCAGTTCTTGGTAGTTCCCATAATAAAACATATTCAGCATGAGAACCCCATTCACAGTGGTCGAGTGGATTGCCTTCTTGGTGAGGGGAGGAGGTTCTCATGGTCAAAGAGATGATAGTACTTGTTCACATGCTCTCGAACTCATCCACTCGCCGTTTTGTGTTGCCCTGACGGATCTGTTTTAGAGTTTTGTATTTGTCACGGCCAGCTTTCTTGTTGTCAATATGGAGTTGGTCCATCTTTGTAATCTTCTCCTCATGACGAGCATTGTCCAACTCAGAACTCAAAGACTGAAATAATAGATGGGATCAGTTGTAACATAAGAAGGAGTGAGTGTGGTTTTACGCCGCTTTTAGCATTATTCCAGCAATATCACGGCGGAGGACACCAGAAATGGGCTTCACACATTGTACCCATGTCGGGAATCGAACCCAGGTCTTCGGCGTGACGCCCCAACAACATAAGGAGATTACATGCTGTTGTGTTCAATTACTGAATGTCACCATATACATATTCTGATGTATCAATTGGGATCTTTTAAAGAAACATCTCAAACAACATTCATTCAAGTTTTTAACGGTGCTGGATACACGAGTGAGTGAGTGAGTATGGTCTTACGCCGCTTTTAGCAATATTCCAGCAATATCACGGCAGGGGACACCAATATGGGCTTCACACATTGTACCCATGTTGGGAATCGAACCCGGGTCTTCGGCGTGACGAGCGAACCCTTTAACCACCAGGCTACCCGACCGCCCCTTGCTGGTTACATGACTTACAGGTACTTAACTGAAGATGGAAATCACATACTTTTCTAACAAGATTTAAAAATTATGCTATCTCATGAATCCTAGCAATCAGTGTATATAATTTCAAAATGGCATTATATAGCAGTTTGAAGGAGAAAGACACTTGTTGTTTTTTACCTCAGTATGTACTAAAATATCTCCCAAGAGATCTTCACACCACAGTTCACCAGGAATGCAAGTTTCACAATTTCATCATTTGTACATAAATCTTGAAGAATATACACAACACCCCAACCACCCTTCAGGTACTTAAATGTCCAAGGCACTTACTAACAGTAACCTACTGAATATCTTTTTGTCCTTAATTCCATAACTATGAATCTGCAACATACCTTTAACTTAGCACTGAGAGACTCGTTAGTATCAGCTATCACTTGACGATGTTCTTCAGGTCGAGCCAAGTTCATGTAGTTTTCTTCCACTTGAAGTTCGGAGGCTGAAAAAAGGGAGAGATGAAATTGTTTAACATCTAGATTTGAATAGATTTATGATAGACCAATAAGATTTCTTTATCTCATGGCTATTTCAAGTAAAAAATATTGAAGGGTAATACAAGTCATGTCCAAATCTTCCTGAAGGTCAGCCAGCACCTCAATCAATTAAAATGTCACAAAGCCGAAGAATAAACTGTAATCGGATATTTGTGAGATTTAAAAATAAAGGTTCAGAGATTGCAAGAAGACAGTTTTGAGTGAGTGAGTTGGGTTTAATGCCGCTATTAACATTATTCCAATTACATCACGGCGTGTCAGCTTAATGTGCGAGGAAAGCCCGACGTGATGCAGGTCGCAGACGTTTACCACTTCAGTGGAACCCAAGAGCACGGGTATGGTGCTGACAAACCTAGAAATAGGGCGAATCGGGATTCGAACCCACAATCATCTTATTTTTCTGGAGTGCCAAAGGGACGCAACTCTGCACAGCAAATCAGACGACTGGGCCACCCATGCCCCCCACAAGAAGACAGTAATGGCAGTGGTCTGTGACATATGTTGCTAAGTCAGATCATTGCCAAAGGTTCATCAAGCAATATCCAAAGCTCCACACTAATGTTTTTCGACATTTAAAATAAGTCTGCAGTCCTGACAGTACTCAAACCTAGATTCAACTTACATCCATGTTCCTCATTATCATCCTCATGTTCGTGCACGTGGACAGCTGCAGAGAGCCTCTCTTCCATCTCACGACGCATCCTCTCCTGCTCTTCCAACTCGGCCAGCTGCCGTTCCCGCTCTTCCTCTCTTATGCGCAGCTGTTCGGCCAGATCCCTTTCCTTGGCCTCGGCTTCCGCCTTTGTCTTGTCCAGGTCCTCCTTCAGGTTGTTGACAAACACCACCTGCTCCTGCAGCTCGTTCTGTCGGCTCTCCAGAGCTTCCTTAGCTGCCAACAGTTCTTCTTCCTACAGAGATAGAACAAGTCATTTCAGAATGTCTTTTCTGAGAAACAGGGCTCGATTTAGCTATAGAAAATACAAGCACCAGTGCCACCAATTCTTGAAAAGTGGAAACTAATATTTGTGTCAACACTCACCAAGTGATTTTAAATAAAATTAAATTTGTGTCAGACTAACCCTCCTTTTTCCAAACAACCATCTTTGAACACACTCAATACCTTTCAGCTACATGTACCGTACATCACTCATCCCTGTGTTATATGTAATTTGTCATGCTTTCTTGGGCTTGACATCATCAAACTTCAAGATTATGTGTACATGTTCCTCTTATGTTTTACTTTACAGCAAAACATCATCAATTTATGTAAAATCATGACAGATTTTATTGTATTAGACTTGTGTCTCAGACTAGTGATGTTTCATAAGAGCATTCATCCATGCTTTTAAATAATTACATTGTAAACTAGATGTGCAAATACACTCCAGCAATCAGTGATTTACTTGCAAGTCTTTGAGGTTGAATGTCAAAAACGAAACTTAAGCTCACATCTTTTGTTTGAAAGCTTGCATGACATGAAAGTAGGTGACAAGTCATCTACCATCTGTAGTGAATTAACAACATATACAGCTCAAGGTACAGTGCAGTGTTTACATGTGGCAAATCCTACTGTCAGTGGACTGTTACCCAACCCATCCATCATGTTCCAAGCGAACCTACGTACCAGTTTTAACCTCTCTTCTTCCTTGAGACTCTCAGATGCCTGCATCTGCCTCTCGGCCTCTTCCTTCTCAAGGCGGGTGCGCTCTAGTTCCTCCTGGAGACGACGCTCCTCGGCAATGGCTACCTCCTGAGCAGTCATCTTTAACTGCATTTCCTCAAACACTGTAACACAAGGGAATATTCTATACTGTAACACAAGGGAATATTCTATACTGTTACACAAGGGAATATTCTATACTGTTACACAAGAGAATATTCTATACTGTAGCACAAGGGAATACTCTACACCATAATGCAAGGGAATATTCTATACTGTAACACGAGGGAATATTCTACACTGTAACACAAGGGAATATTCTACACTGTAACACAAGGGAATATTCTATACTGTAACACAAGGGAATATTCTATACTGTAGCACAAGGGAATATTCTATACCGTAACACAAGGGAATATTCTATACCGTAACACAAGGGAATATTCTATACTGTAACACAAGGGAATATTCTATACTGTTACACAAGGGAATATTCTATACTGTAGCACAAGGGAATATTCTACACTGTAACACAAGGGAATATTCTATACTGTAACAAAAGGGAATACTCTACACCATAATGCAAGGGAGGAGATATTCTACACTGTAACAAATAAACATTCCACAGTGAAACACCAGCGGATATTGTACAATTTAAAAGAAGGGGATATACCAAACTGGAACACAAATGAATATTCCACATTGTAACACAAGGGGCTATTCCACACTGCAACCAAGGGAATATTTTTTTTGTTATAACAGAAAAGAATATTCTACATTGAATGTAAAGAGAATTTCTCTCATAGTGACATGGACACACGTGTGTATGGCTGCTTATTCCATTTCAGCCAGTTTATAGCGCTAGCCCACTGAGATACCATGTCACAGTTCAGCTTGGATACTGGTCTCTGACATCACACTGACTCAAAGCCGGCCAGTCACAAGTACCATCTTCTAACACCTTTAGGTATGACTCACCCCCGGAGGATCTAACCACCGAACCATCACTATACCCACCGGACCACAAGGGCAGTTAGATATTCACAGCCTGACAACACTTACCCTTCTGTTTCTCTCGATCATCCCGCTTCATCTGTTCCCGCTCTTCCTCAAGTAGGCGAAGTCTCTCCTGAAGCTGTTTCTTCTCACGCTCCTCGATCTCTCTCTGTTGTTTCTCTCGCAGCAGCTCATCCCTACAACCAGAGTTCTTCATACAATCTACGTCTTAATGTACAATAACAACAGCACCATATCAATCCAGTATATAGTCTCAGCCTGTGCCAAAATGTACTTGCCCTAACTTCAGAAGATTATACTCTCATCAAATGGCAAGTATTACCTGATCTTACTAGAACGAAATAATCTTACTTCAGTTTGCATCCTCAGCCATTAGCCCGAAGACTGAGAAGCTGAACTCAAAGTAGTCCATAAAAATAACATCTACAGAAAACAACATGTTCGGGCTAGTAGACTTAAAAGTTTTGGGCACAGATTGTCCAAATCTTCAGTGCAAGCAACAGATAAAACATAAAGAAGATGCTTTGCAACTTAAGCCATAAAATCTCTGAGCTAGGTTGCTCTCTACATTTTCAATTGTATGGTGCTGTATTGGTTTTGCAGGGACCATGTAAAAGCAAGGTTCTATCATGTGTCTATGCTACGTCAGCCAACGTACACCAAGCTTCTAAAACACTGACAGCAGATATCATGAAGTATTTACTTTTTGCATGAACCACAAAACACTGAACTATTATATCATAAGCTCTTAACCTTGAGGACACATAATAACTACACTTTTATCATTATCAGGGTGAATCCAGGAAACGATGCCAGGATCATAGGAATATGGGACAGCCAACAGTGGTGCCTTTGACAAATTTGAATCACTAGTGATTTAATAGCACTGTCCGTTTAATACTTGGGACTTGGGATCTTTGGTTAGAAAAAGAACCATAACAAATTGTGTTCAGGACCTCAAGCTTTTCTACTGAACCACCTTTGACTACCACTAAACCACAAAGGCGGACTCATTCAGGATCCATCTGAAGGGTCGATGCCCTGAGCCTGCTGTCTATCTGAAGCAGTGTAAACATGCCCACCTTTCCCTCTGCCTGGCAAGTTTCTCATCTCTGGCCTGAGCTTTCATCTGTTGCACTTCAATTGTGTCTGGCTTCCTCCTCCTCATGTACAACTCATGATTACCCATACACAGAGCTAAAATTCTCTTGCATATTCTAAGGCGAGGAGCATAAAAGATAAAGTCCTGAAAATTGAACAGAATATTTTTTACCAAACCAGTGTCACTAGAATGTATAAAGACACACATTTACTACCTAGGTAAAGATCATGAGCATAGAGACAAAGATCTTTCATTATATTACCGAAAAACATGAATAATATTTAACCTACTGCGGTTAAGTGCACTGGAATCAAATAACACCATGGTTACTATAAATTTGATAAATAGAAATCTGAATTGAAACACGAGGCACTGAATGTTAGATCTGATAACCATAAACCTTTCTTGCTCAGTCTTGTCAATTCATATGGAAAGAAATTACCCGTAAGAAATGTATGCGTTTGTGCCGAGTTAACCTGTAATCTAAGAATGTTAATTTTAAAGCCCTATTCTGATTTTCTAACTTGAAGAATACTCACTGGTGCTTTCTTGTCTATTGGTTTAATAACAAACTTCTTGTCATTGAAAGAAATGTTCCGGATTTCACTCCATGGGAATCCGATCTTAGGTGTTAGTCTGAAATATAAATATAAGAGTATGTAAACCTTGAGGCAGAAAACAATTGTGTTCTAGCTGAAGTCAATGTTCAAAATTAAGCATGATGGTCCTTGTTATAACTTCCCAAAAGCTTAACATTTAAAGGGTCCCTAGGTTCCAGTACTACAGAAGGCCTCAAGGAACCCCGGTCCCTCTTAACTTCAAACAGTGCAAAGATGGGTGGTAGTATTCCACTGATGACGTTGAAAACATCAGTTACTGACAAGAGTTAACCCCTCTCAAACATACCACATCAATCAGGCGTGTCACACAACGGCAACAAATAACCTCAATAAAACCAGCCTTAGAAAGTAACTGGTCGCAACTACATGATAAGTTGACCTTGAACCCTTTGTCTTAATCGTAGTAATAGAAGTGAATAGTAACACCATGTATTCCCAGAAATTACTAACTTGTGTTTGTCATGTTTGTTGTAATGGTTAGAAACTTACTTATCATCCTTCTCATATACATTCAATCCAAGTGCATCTACTCCTAGAGAGAGTTCTGTCCCCTTCTTGTTTCTGATCTCGAAGTAATTCACACCGTACATCTCCAAGTCCTGTGCTATTTTGAGGTACTCCATCATGGCATCTTCTCTGTAATATAAGACAGAAAGCAGTTAATTACATTGTCTTGAAAGTACAACTTCAAAAAGTAAGGCATAGAACAATACCATATAACAAAGCAATAGATTTTTTTTCTTTGTGTTGGGTTCGTGTGTCTAATGGCTGTGTTATTAGTGTTATGGGTGGTGTTTTAAGTTTTATGGGTGGTGTTTCTGGTTGGTGGGTGGTGTTTCTGGTAGGGTGGGTGGTGTTTCTGGTGGGTGGGTGGTGTTTCTGGTGGATGGGTGGTGTTTCTGGTTTGTGGGTGGTGTTTCTGGTTTGTTGGTGATGTCTCTGGTTGGTGGGTGGTGTTTCTGGTTGGTGGGTGATGTTTCTGGTAGGTGGGTGGTGTTTCTGGTTTGTGGGTGGTGTTTCCTGGTTTGTGGGTGGTGCTTCTGGTGGGTGGGTGGTGTTTCTAGTGGTTGGTGGTGTTTCTGGTGGGTGGGTGGTGTTTCTGGTGGGTGGGTGGTGTTTCTGGTTTGTGGGTGGTGTTTCTGGTGGGTGGGTGGTGTTTCTGGTGGGTGGGTGGTGTTTCTGGTGGGTGGGTGGTGTTTCTGGTTTGTGGGTGGTGTTTCTGGTTGGTGGGTGGTGTTTCTGGTGGGTGGGTGGTGTTTCTGGTGGGTGGGTGGTGTTTCTGGTTTGTGGGTGGTGTTTCTAGTGGTTGGTGGTGTTTCTAGTGGTTGGTGGTGAGAAGCATGGCAACCTTCATGTGACTAAATATGTAAGGTAAACACTTGTCAACTTACGGAGTCATTGATTTGTGTTCACAGTACCAGGTTGTGATTCTTTCTTCCCACTGCTCTCGGCTCAGCTTGTGTTGATCGTATACTCTGAAAAGGTGAAATAATACAATCATATCAAATGCCAGAAATGCTGATATCACATCTACACAATTTCACACAACGTGTTCGTACCATGATTACAGAAGCCACATTCAAACATACACTACTTCCTGGTCTTCCCAAAACAATTTGCAGGTGCAAGGCAAGGTGAGGGAAAAGGAAGTTAAACGTCACATTCAATATTATTGCACTTAACGATATCCCACAGACATCCATTCTCCGGGCATAAATGCTCCACCCACAAGACCATGGAGGCAGTCTACAGTTGTACGGCTATCACTATACAAAAGTTTCCTTGTGGCATAGGTACAAGGTCATCCTCTATTTCCTCACATCACTACTGTTTTGGTATCAAGAATTCACATGACAGTTAACCACGATTAATCCATTTTCAAAGGACCAAGTCATGCTTTAGTTTTATCAATATTTTATCCATTTTATCAATATTTTTACCAACAATCAAAGAAACGTGATAAAACCAACAGTAATGATAGTTTGTTTAACGCCACACTCAGCAATATTCCAGGTATATGACGGCAGTCTGAAAATAATCGAGTTTGGACCAGACAATCCAGTGATTGACATCAAGAGCATCAATCCATGCGATTGGGATTGATGACCGAGCACCCGATCCTGATGGGTTGCTGGAGATCTATCCTACTCCTGACCTTCACTGGTCCAGTAATCATAGATGGAAAACTGGTGATGCCATTACAACAATTTAGCCTTCTTCAACCAGAAGTGCAACAACATGCCCCTTCTGATGGTAACCCAAATACAACAATGCCTGCTCACTCAATCCGAGTATGTGTGCATTTGTTGTCCACAGCAGCAATATTACAGTTATGAGTGCGATAATGTAAATAATCAAATCTGAACCAAACGATCCAGTGATTGATACCATGAGCAAGCACTAACGCCTTCAGGTACAATGACATGCTGTCAACTAAGTGATCCACTCCATTAAATCGCCCCTTGCGACCAGCAATTCTAACCCAGATTCTGCACAGGGGCAGTCAAGCAGAGTAAGTCAGAATATCAACAAGCTGGTCTTACCTCTGGGGCAGTAATCTGTCATTGGAAAGGAACCCTGGTTTGTGAACATCAGTGCTGTAGTCATGATACTTTGCTTGACAGCTATAGGAAGCTAGGAGGACTGCTGTTTCTGGTGGGCAGTAAATATCATCATTCAAGATGCCCTCTTTCACTTGAAGGTAAAACATTCTCTGCAACACAAAATACATTCATACTTACAATCACTGCACTAATAGGTTTACTTGATAAATGACAATGAAGGAAGTCTGTGTCTGACAAAAATGGATGATTTATCTGGACATGTTGAATGGGTTTTGTGTGGCTAAAAAAGATTACTGTTTTAAAACAGGGATTATCTAGACTCGCTCAGAGGACCATATCATGGCTCCAAGTCTGAATCAAGTCTGAAAACTAAAAATCAAAATACTGCATTACCTGTGTGATCTCCTGAATAAGTTCTTCTGATACATCTTCTGGGAAGAATTTTGCCCTGAATTTAAACTGTAGAGGTTGTTCTTTCTTAACATCCTGAGTTAGCACCTGCAAAACAAGTAACTCTGGTGTTAATAGTTCATATATATAGCTGCCAGCATAATGCTGATGAAACACTTCACACCAATCATTGCCAATGAAGAATACTAGAGCACAGTGACAGTTCAGATAAAATCTAGCAGTTTTCCAAACTCTTAAATAGAAACACTGAAATTGGTGAGTGGGGGAGCATGATTTAAGAGATTTTTTCTAGTATTCTAGTCATATACTTAAGGGGACAAATCACACATTGTATGCTCTGCCAGCCATATAACCAGAATTTGTAGAACTGATGTTTAATCTGACAAATTATCAAAAGTGCTGATTCAGCAGTTCATGTATGCATTTTTTTCTGCACAACAATTGTATACACACAAACACAGCTACATCTCTTTTTCTCCCCATTCAATGATGTTAAGAAATGTGAAGTTTGGAGATGTTCAGTTAACAGAATCCCTTCAATTGATTCCAGTCCCAATATTACATTGACATCACAAAACAAAGAGTACGAGTTGAGTTTTGTCAAGAAAGATTGACTGTTTTGGCGATACTGTTCCTGATGTAAGCTTAATTATCAAATCCATCTTTTGACGAAGTCAAATGGTTTCAACACACATTCATATCAAAACAGTTTTTGAAATGCTATCATCAGGTCATGATCTGTAATTTTGGTTTCACTAATGAACACCAATCAGACAAGTGGTTTTTTTCACAACTTTTTCCATGTAAACATTGTCAACTCACCTTCTTATTCAATTTTAACCAAGTAATACAATTCTTATTATCTATGTACATAAGTCCAAAGAACCATATCTCTCTCAGACCAATTGTTTTGACCACCTGGAAAGAAAAGAAAGAGACATTAACAACAGTTCATGTAACAACAGATGAAAGAACCTCAAACTCACTACATCATCACATGGTAACATGATGCAGATCAAGTATCATCAAAATCGTGTATTTTACACTGCTTTCAACAAGTGTTTGAGTCATATCGGGGTGTGTCAGCTTTTAAGATGTGGGAGGAAGCCCATCATGGTTAAGGTTATAGATGTTTGCCACTGAACACGGGTATGGTGCTGACAAACCAAGTACCCTAATCATGAGTATCCAGCAGCAACTTATCTTGACCTGCTCAGAGGCCCAATATTCGGTCCCTAGTCAGCAACAAATAATTGAAAATATTCCAAATTTGAATTTAAAATTTCCCAAATTCTCTGGGTTTACGAAAATAAGGGAATTAAGAAAATCTAATTTTGAACATTATCACGATTTTTTCCCAATTCTGCTGCCAAGGGCGCTTAGTTTGCAATCCGAGCTTTATCACTGATCCAGGAACACAATTCTGTCTTTTTTGTTTGTTTGTTGTTAAGGCTGCACTCAGCAGTATTCCAGCTATATAACGGTGGTCTGTAAATAATCAAGTCTGGAAAAGGCAATCCAGTGATTGACATCATGAGCATCGATCCATGCAATTGGGATACGATGACATGCGCTGAACAAGTCAGCAAGTCTGACCACCCGATGACGTTGGTCGCCTCTTACGGCAAGCATGGGTTGCTGAAGACCTATTTTCTACCCGATCTTCACGAGTGGCACATAACTGTCCAGATTTATATTTCTAATAGTGTCCACTGATTAACACATCATGCCTATCATGCTCCAGCTATTTCACTTTGTTGTTTAACGCAGCATTCAGCAATATTCCAGCTATATGACTGTGGTCTGTATACAATCAAGTCTGTACCAGACAATCCAGTGTTTGATATTGTGAGCAATGATTCATGCTGTCAGGGTATAATGACACTCAATGAAGTCACAGAGTGTAACCGCCCAATCCTATCTACCTTGAGTAACTGGACTTAGTGATGTTATAAGCAACCTCCAACACTGTCGGATACAATGAAGAGCAATCAACCAAGGAACTAAGTCTGACCACCAATTTAATTGCCTCTTGCAACAAGCAAAAGCAGTGATAGAAATTAACCAAGAAAGTCTACTAGCCTGAAGAGTGATAACATACAGCAATACTCCCCAAAATGTTTGAAATTCTACCAGACCTAAGGTCTTTTTTCTGAATCCCCTAAATGTTGAGAACCATGTCTTTTGATATGATTTGGGGGGACGCCGCACTCAGCAATATATATGACGGTGGTCCGTAAACAATCGAGTCTTGACCAGACAATCCAGTGATTGACCTCATGAACATCGATCCACGCAAACCAGACCTAAGGATACCTTTAACATTAACAAAACAGACGCGGATAGCACTAATTTCTATCCTGGAATAGTGTCGGGTTCTGATGCTCATTAGAAATCCCCATATAGCCCCAACCACCTGTGCAGTATGTTCTAAATGACAACACCTGTGATAGATGTACTACATAACACCTGTGAAGATGAACTGTATGACAGCGACAGAAATTGGCACTAGTCCAATAGTCCTTCTCAAACTGCCTAATAGTTAAGGTATCGTAAGGACTACTAGACATTTGCCATTTGTAAGGATTTGCTAATCATTATAAGGACAGGCGTGCTAAAACGGTTAGTTTCTACCCCTGTGTTAACAGGTATGGGTTTTGTAAATGAATTTGTTATGATGTAACATTGATCAGATGAAGCACCAAATATTACGTTGTTATTTTCATCACAGTACTGACTATGCCCATGGTCTTTGTACCATGATGCACTACATGACAACATCTATTATAGATGTACTACCTGACAACACCTGTGATAGATGTACAAGACAACATCTATGATAGATGGACTACCTGACAACTCCTTGGATAGATGTACTACTTGACAACACCTTGGATAGATGTACTACATGACACCACCTTGGATAGATGTACTACTTGACAACACCTTGGATAGATGTACTACTTGACAACACCTTGGATAGATGTACTACATGACAACACCTTGGATAGACGTACTACTTGACACCACCTTGGATAGATGTACTACATGACAACACCTTGGATAGATGTACTACATGACAACACCTTGGATAGATGTACTACTTGACAACACCTTGGATAGATGTACTACATGACAACATCTATGATAGATGTACTACATGACAACACCTTGGATAGATGTACTACATGACAACACCTTGGATAGATGTACTACATGACAACATCTATGATAGATGTACTACATGACAACACCTTGGATAGATGTACTACATGACAACATCTATGATAGATGTACTACATGACAACATCTATGATAGATGTACTACTTGACAATACCTGTGATAGATGTACTACATGACAACATCTATGATAGATGTACTACATGACAACATCTATGATAGATGTACTACATGACAACATCTATGATAGATGTACTACTAGACAATACCTGTGATAGATGTACTACATGACAACACCTTGGATAGATGTACTACATGACAACATCTATGATAGATGTACTACATGACAACATCTATGATAGATGTACTACATGACAACACCTTGGATAGATGTACTACATGACAACACCTTGGATAGATGTACTACATGACAACATCTATGATAGATGTACTACTTGACAATACCTGTGATAGATGTACTACATGACAACATCTATGATAGATGTACTACATGACAACATCTATGATAGATGTACTACTTGACAATACCTGTGATAGATGTACTACATGACAACATCTATGATAGATGTACTACATGACAACATCTATGATAGATGTACTACATGACAACATCTATGATAGATGTACTACTTGACAATACCTGTGATAGATGTACTACATGACAACACCTTGGATAGATGTACTACATGACAACACCTTGGATAGATGTACTACATGACAACATCTATGATAGATGTACTACATGACACCACCTAGAACATCATAAATAATTCCTTCATAGCATGTTGGATAAGAGGTGAGGTGAGGTGAAATTGGGTTTAACGTCGCGTCCAAGATTATTGCACTTATATAGCGACGTGCATGCACGTGTATGTGTGTGTGTGGCTGCTTGTACTAGTCCGGACTGATGCCGATTTATAGTGCTAGCTCACTGAGATACCATGCCGCAGTTTAACATGAATACCCCACTCAGACACAGTATACTGACTCCGAGCCGACCAGTCCTTGTTTTAGCCCCTTAATGCCGAGCGCCAGACAGGGTAACAACAAGTACAATCTTTTAACGTCTTTTTGTATGACGCGGCCCGGGATCGAACCCTGGACCTTCCGCTCTCCGGGCGGACGCTCTACCACAAGACCACGGAGGCGGTATGTTGGATAAGACAGAAAGAAAGGTAAAAACCTACCTGGTCAAATAACTGTTTGCCAGTTGTGTTGGGTTGGATCGCGAACTCCAGTTCCGCGTCCATAGTGACAACACGGACATTGACCTGTAAATAAAATGTGTGAGCTATATCTCTGATATGTTGTAACATTGAGTACCATTCAAGCACACATTCTCAAAATATCTAAACAAAAGTTAACATCCAAATATATTATCATTATCATAGAATTCAACCTTTCCTCAACATGCCAGTCAAGAATGCTTTTAATGTTATACAATGTATAAGAATGAACAAACATTCTAATGTGAGTGTCCTTTAGAATGTGAGTGGGGTACTAATAATACCTTTTGATCAATGAACATTTAAATTATAGGTTATTGGAAATGGTTGTCTTTTATTCTTGCAATCAATACTATATTACACTCAATGTCACTGGTCAATGCCCGTAACATGGAATTACAAGTCTATCAATCACAACAATTTCAATTATACAGCTATAATGAAAATACTGGTTATGGTCTGGACCCAGATGCAGAAACTTGAGTCCATACATACATTCAACGAATGCCATTTCACCATGAGCTAGATAATAAGCAGTTGTATCCACAAACTCTTAAACATGGCACTACAATTTTATCTGCATCATTTGCACTCCAACACAAGGAACTTAAAAGCTTGCAATACCCTTTTCGGTGTCTGAAATACAGCATGAAAGTCAACAGGGCCTTGTCATTAACTTAATGTCAAAATATAAAGATTTAGGGGTCCCCAGATTCAAATACCATGAACACCTCAAGGAGCCCACTCAATTTCCAACACTGATTTTATTTGGCCAGGAATCTGATCAAATGGTAGTGTAAAGTACATGTCCATGCATACATAATTATATTCCGTGCATGTGAATAGGGTTGCCAGCACTTCCAAAATTTTAACATAAAAAGTTTCCTCTTTTTTCACACTCCATTTACAGCTTCTCAATGATGCCTCAAGTCCTAACAATGCCTTTGTGCAATATCCTCATTAAATCCATACTCATTATTGAATTACACATCAAACTCAACTTGTGGCTCTCTCTGGAATACCATTATCACATGTAACAAAGCTCTGATTGAAGATCGTAAAATAAACAACCCACATATGGGCTTTTTCAGTAGAACTCGCTTAACACTATACATTTGAATTTGAAGATTGATTGACAATGTCATTATAATTAATTATTCAGGATGCAATAGGCTCCAGGAAGCATGTGATGAAGGAGCCAATGACATGCACATGAACGCTTAAGACTGGGTCACCCCGACCCTGACAAGACCTTATTAGATGCGTGAGAGCTGATCATGTGTAAACAGAGCTGTCTGGCACTGCAATGTGCAACGTGATATCAAGTGAGGAACATTAGCCATGTAAGATTTCTAGTAATAAAGGCAGTTCATGCACTCTAAAAAAAGCGCAAACATTACTTCGAGGAAAGAACAGGGCAATTGTATTGATCAAATTAAGGGAATGTCTGTGAACAACATCCAGCTCAATGGGTCTTTCTCATGCACTCAACTTGAAAACCTGCTGTCACATTTTCGAAATTATATTCACAGCTGCATATTTCAGAAAGTAGTTTCTTGTGGAAATAAATTGGGCCAGTGCCAGGATATGAACCTGTTTCATTTACCGTAACATAAACCTGACCTATATTTCATTCAACAAAGGTTAAATGTTAGGTTTATTACATATTTCTGTTTTATTCGCAGCCAAACATCTTTTAAAGAGCCTTAAGCCTTTGCAAATGGCAAGCCTGCTTTTGATGGCAGAGGAAGCCAGAAGCAAGCTCTTGTTTCAAACGTTCATTGTCAGAGCTATTCAAATCTCAGTCGTAGGATGACTCATAAATGTCAGCTCAGCTGCAGGAACTTTCAGTTGGAAAGTTTAAACAATCACCAGTCATGACTCAAACTGATTTTACTATATACTTTCCCCAAATTATGGAAATGGGGTCAAACTAGTTTAATTAAATAACATGTGTATAAATTGTCAAAAGAGATGGTTTGTTTCACAAACTGTTGCAGCTAGACAGATGGTCACTCCCTATGTTTACATAAGACAACTGGGCCACAGTAGAGGGAGGTATTTATTCTGACTTTGGGTTAGCCATGTTTACTTCCTTAGAATTCAAAGATACATTCTTATCTTTACTTGGCTTTTCTTTTCTTCAACCCTTTCCAGAATCTATCTGTATTTCAAAACTATGTGAGCAGTTTTTTTAACCTGAGCATGGAAGACAAGCGATCTTTATCACTATCCTAACATATTGGTTAAAGATGAGGTGCTTATTGCTTAGATTCAAATACTTTCGGATCAAACTTCAAAGACCCCTGTACTAAATTCAACGGAGGCTACTTTCTGACCACATAAACATAATAAACATAAGGTTACAACATGACGATCCATTCTTTTCACTGGCAAAAACTCGAGGATATTAGAACAGTAAATATGGTAAATGGCTAGTCATGTGGTTAGGTGGTTTCATGTGTATAAGCATGAGTAAACCAACAAAATGAAAACAAAATGACTAAACTATTTAAAGTGGGTAAGTCAGTTAAAATTTAAAGACACATCGGCAGTATTTATTTTTGATAGTAACTATCAAAGGTTATATCATAATGAAATACATTTATACAATAAAAACCTGTCTACAAAGGACAGTGAAATGACCAGACTACAGATTTACACTTAAACTAGCATCATATACAATACTAAATATTTACAGAACTACATGACCGAAAGTTAGTTGCATGTACAATAAGGCTCATTAACACTTATAATGGAACAGCCTCAATTTATTACTATACAATTAATTATATTGGCAAAACCAATAAAACATGACCAGCACAGCCCTACATCATTAATACGCCTGTCAGTCTGAGTGATAACCAACACAAACTTTCCTTCTAAACTATCTAAAACCAGTGTACATATTTAAAAGAGTACTTACCGGCTTCGGCATTTTGATTGTATACCCTCAGCCGCCGTCTAAAACCAAAATGTGTTAGAGATCCCCCTAGAAACCAGATTGGTGTTGAAATCCCTGCAAAAGAAGAGTGAACTGTTGGAGTGGTGCTTCAAGTTAGACATACAAAGGGTGTCAGCACATTCCTCCCCCTCGATCCTCTACAGCAGTGACATCATCCTATGGAGTCGAGGTAGACATGAGCCTGGGTGTGGTCAAGCTGTATATATTGCTCTTCGTAAAACACACATCAGGCCCACCTCAAATTGCGTCATTAATCACAACTGTAGTGTTTCCTAGTTGTTGTTATCTTGATAAATCTCTGTAGTTGAAAAGGGGTGTGATCAAGTATATATGGGTTAGCTGTTACCTGTCAGTCAGTGTAACTTTCAAAAAAAGACATTTGATTGAAACATGTATTTTGCTTTGATATCATGGTTATTCAGTACATTCAAATGACACATTAATTTTAATTCATTTCAGATTGCTTAGAATAGACAGCTAATATCATATCAAACAACCCATGAAAAGATCTTCATCAGTCGACACAAGATATCAACTCTAAAAGGACATATTTCGTGTCAGCTTTGTACAATGCAATATATTCTCAAAACAATTAAAATCATGTCTTGCACCTTCAAACACCTGCCAATGTAGTTAGTGATAAAACTGAGATGACAGGTCCCGACACATCAATCTAAACATGGAATGTCTTCCATAGACTCCTGTTATAGCCTAATAACACTTACTGCAAAAATGTGTTTGCTTTAATTTGAATTTTACCTCGAGTACAGTCAAGCAATTGTTAGCATAAGTACTAAATTCCAACATTAAATAAATATTTGGTATGCCTAAAAGATCACAATCAACGTGCAAAATGTTTTATGTGACATCGCTGTCAAATCTCCTGAAGCCCTATATCCAACAAAAGTAGGGACTACATAGAAATGGCTTTGCTGGCGAAAATCATTCAAGCATAAAAATAGGTCATTCAAAAAAAAGATCCGGTACAGGGGTGTGTCACCCCTTTCCAAAGGTACATTATATCTCTATGCATATCCACGTTTCTTACAAACAATGTACATTTACTTTCCTTAATGAAATATTCTTGTTGGAATGTGAAAAAGCCCTAAGACGCTATTGAGGATGGGCCAGGTCTTTAAATAGACCCGGTTTTATTGAACTATCCCCCAAAGACATGCCTTTTCATTATTTCTAAAAATAAAACGCAAACCACGATACATGTTCCGGGAGAAATCAAGGTCCATATCTCTCTACAGCCCTAGGAGGAGGATTGTATCGAATATTTCGACGGGTTAGGAGGAGCGTAGAAAAAACACACACACACAAATCGGCAGCTTTAACCACTTATTTGCGCCATAAGCTCGAAGGCTCAAATACTGTTGTCGCCTCCCTAGAAATCTCTCGCATGATCGTGTGACACGGTCTGGTAGGAGAGGGAACAACACCCCCGCCTTAGCTCCAACGGTCGAGCGCTCTAAAGGGGTAATCCAAATAAGTAAAATAAATCCAAAACGAACAGTCAAACACTGCACAGCACAAAACATAAACTTTTTGGTTACATCCATGTGCGTGAACACACCTCAAATCACAAGTTATAACGAGTGACAGGCTTGCCAAGTATCCAGCAGAAAAAAACTAAGCTGTGCACATCATCAGCAATATTCAAGCATATTCCGCACTTCTGCCGCAAGAAAGAGTGATGATAATCACCGTACTGCAACTTGTGAGGCCGATTTTAACTCACCCTGGAACTGTCAATGCTGAATAGCCTAGTTTTGTAAAGCACCGGTTCGCAATATGGCCGTCATAGGGTGGGGACCGATGTCAATCAATAGCCAGACCCCTCTACGACGTAATGCCTCGTTCTGATTCACGCACCTTGACTTCCGCCGGAGGTAGACGACGCCCAGCTAGAGGTTTAAAGGTGCTGTCACTATAGAATATTAAATTTTAACACAATGGGGATTTTCTTTTCCAATATGAAAGAAATTTCCTGAAGTTCTCATAAGATGTCTTGAAAAAAGAAAGGTTACAGATAAAACATACAGCAGCCATGATTATTAGAGCGATTGGGATGTTTATCTTGCCCATAAGCTACTTAAAGGCTAAATAAGCTATCAGTATCAATATTTACTTAATGGCCTACTGTGCGGTGATTTCGGTATGATGTACTTTCAAACGTTTTTACACAAGTTAATATCGGTGAACTTGTCATGAACACAATTTTCATTATGCTGGCTGTTTATTTTATTTCACAATATTGAGTTTACATATATTTTAATCGTATTATTCATCTCTCTCTCTCTCTCTCTCTCTCTCTCTCTCTCTCTCTCTCTCTCTCTCTCATATACTTATATGTGTGTGTTTTTTAAAGACAAAAGAAAAGAATCGATAGGCAAATGCAGTTAATTATGGTGGCTGTTTATTTTAATTTAAAATATTGTGTTTGCATATATATTTTAATCGAATTATTTATACCTCTCTCTCTCTCTCTCTCTCTCTCTCTCTCTCTCATATACTTATATATGTGTGTTTTTAAAGACAAAAGAAAGGATAGGCAAATGCAGTTAATGCATATTTATAGAGACTGACGGTTTTGTTATTGTATGATAAATTGAAAAATACAGTGTCAACCGGTGAATACAATATTGTTGTGATAAGCACTACTCAGGTCTATTCATCTTTTTAGAATATTAAAATAATATAATATAATATAAACACACGCGAATTTGCATTGTAAAACACAATTATTCATTATCTCAGTATTCAACTGGACTACTATTATTCCACGAGCTGGAATGGTCAATGAACTGTCTATATTACAACTATTAGCATAAGTATCTTACAGAATTAATTTACTAATTATTGAATAAGCTCTCCGTTAGCACATGCTACACGAGAATCGTGACCGGGCATATTTTGCTCAAATTATATACTGGAAATACCACGACATACGACCCGTGAAGGTCCAGGGTAGAATAGGTCTTCAGCAACCCATGCTTGTCGTAAGAGACGACTAACGGAATCAGGTGGTCAGGCTCGCTGACTTGGTTGATGCATGTCATCGTATCCCAGCTGCGTGGAGCGATGCTCATGATGTCAATCACTGGATTGTCTGGCCCAGACTCGATTATTTACAGACCGCAGTCATATAGCTTGAACAGCTGAGTGCGGCGTTAAACAACAAACAAACAAACAAACCATACCACGATATGCACCCTTATTGATCACGTTCTTGTTTCATTCACTGTCGGCTGTTTCTACGTCCTCGTATATCTTTACACCGGCAGCTATGCCTCAAAGACACAGCGCATTGATAACATAAATTATATCATAAGTGCGAAGTACCGGATACCACATTTACCCGGAATAGAGAGGGAGTGTTGTTTAATGCCGCACGCAGTCAGCGATATTCCAGATACATCACGACGGCTTGTAAATAGTACCAGGCAAACAAGTGGTTGACAGTATGAGCAACGATGTACGACACACGCAATAAGCCGGATGGAGTACTGTGAGGTGAGGTGAAATGGGGTTTAACGTCGCGTCCAAGATTATTGCACTTATATAGCGACGTGCATGCACGTGTGTGTGTTTGCGTGGCTGCTTGTACTAGTCCGGTCTGATGCCGATTTATGGTGCTAGCTCACTGAGATACCATGCCGCAGTTTAACATGAATATCACACTCAGACACAGTATACTGACTCCGAGCTGACCAGTCCTTGTTTTAGCCGCTTAATCCCGAGCTCCAGACAGGGTAACAACAAGTACCATCTTTTAACGTCTTTTGGTATGACGAGGCCGGGGATCGAACCACGGACCTTCCGCTCTCCGGGCGGACGCTCTACCACTAGACCACAGAGGCGTTCGGATGGAGCACTGTGAACACCCGATCCGAAGTCGGGTCGAACGTCAAACATGGGATAATGCTCTACCCCAGAAACTGTTGGGGTCAGTTTCAATTTGCATGTGTACGAAAAATTGTGACCCTCCCATGATAAAAGTGTTCTGTACATCTATACATCCCCCCCCCCCCCGCCCCCCCCCCCCACACACACCCCACCCCCACCACACACATACACACCCCTCACACTACCACCGCAACCCACGCAGTCAGCATATTCCAAATACATCACGGTGGCCTGTAAATAATCGAGTCATCCCATAATGAAAGTGTTTTGTACACACATACTAACCACCCCACCCCGTCCCACATACACTCCCTTCACACACTACCAACCCCACCCATTCTTGTCACCCTAATAATATGTGTATACTTACTCCCAACGACGCAAAATTGCCAGAGTTGCCGGGTCGCTATATGACTGAAATAATGCTGATGCAACGTTAAATTTTAACTCACTCTCTGGCTTAATTACCAGGCATAAGAAAGTATGTACACTTGAAAATTGGATTTTACCAAATTACAAACGTTATTAGGCTGAACACAGCAATTTTAAGGTCCAAAACACAAAAAATTATACTCGTATCAAATACTTCAGCACCAAATACCGTTTGCTTCATTTTTAGCCACCATCAGATATGGGTTTATACTTTATTTGCCTGCAGTTTATTAAAATTATAGAATGATATTCATACAAATATTGTGCCAAATAACAATTTTATTTAAAATAAATCAATTTTATCTTCTTGCCATATACTTTTCTTGGCAATTCCTATTATTCTCTGTCCATTGTTTTATAATGGGGCTTTGATGGGCCCCATAAATTACTAGTCTCTAATCACCCAGACCTACGCGGTACATTTTCAACAATGGCCGTATTCTCTCCAGGCTTCACAGGTAACCTATTGTTTCCACAATAATGACGAACAATACGTATATCTATATTCATCGTCACGCCTGTAGGTCAAGTGTCCAGTTACGTCCTTGAGATGTTGGTCAGCCAGTATCACCTGTATATTAGATCCCTTCACCTGACAAAACGTCACGGAGTTACACCACCCGCGCCTATCGCTCTCCGAGGCCAGCTGTCAATCATTACGTGTATATTTGTCACATCACTCACGTCAGTTTGACAAGCAATCGATCATTATTATTATGTGTCAATTTCAGTAATACATACCGTTACGTTCACTGTTTATGGGCAAATATTTGCCGTTATTGCCGAATGGTTGAAACATATTTCTGTGTTTAAATTAACAGCACTTTTATTCTTTATTGTTGACACATTGACACATGTCAGTATTGTTTAATGGGATGTATCTGTAGTTTCATCATCAAAGAGACGCGGCGATGTGCATGACAACTCTCATATACTTATAAATGTGTGTTTTTAAATCTCTGAATCGATACATGCCATCTCTCTCATGTTTCGTAATGGTATCGTGGCTATGTTAATTCATAATATAGTGTACTTATATATTTTAATCGCCCCCCCCCCCCCCCCCCCCCCCCCCCCCCTCTCTCTCTCTCGTTATCGCTTCGTGTCAAACTGTAAAGTTACTGATGAAAATGATGATAACTTGCTGATGGTATTGCCGACATTGTATATCCAAGAACCACTACGTGAACATCCCGCCCAGCACTGACTGATGTAAATATGATGTCATTTCCACTCGATAAGCCCGGGGCCCCACGACCAGTATAGCAGCACCTACGGGCTAAATAAGGACCGGTTCAATATAATGTCACTTAATTTGAGAGGCTGGGAAAAATTGGAACCTATGCGTGCGGTTTTGCGAATTGGCAAGCTTATTTTGAAGTAAATAATAAAATACATAAAATAAAAACAAAATAAATAAATAAAATGCTCATGCTGTTATCCACTACTTTGCCTTAGTTAGCCTCGATAATGTGCATACTGCCTTGGCTGTGGCGTAAAGAAACCATTCACTTACACTCGATAATTGACATAATATCATATTATTTTTTTTATCAATAACAGGGTAATCTTAACTGTGGGACAAAAGAAAGTATACTGGGTTCTTTATGTAATTGAAAGTTAAAAGAACTGTTGTTTAAGGTAATTATGTCTATTAAACCATCACTCATTCCTGCATCAGTTTGTAAAAAGTAATCTGTGGCTGGGTAAGTTTGTGTAAATATGAAATGGTTCGCTGAAGACTGGGGTAAGAAATAGATTTGCAACCACATGACCCTTACAATGTTTGAAATGGTGTAAATTTGTGCCCAGAAAAGCAAATGTATTGATTTTCGGTGATAAGATGTCTAAGATACGCACCGGTTGTTTTCAATCAAATTACATTTAAAAAAATAAAAACACGTGGAAATATTCTTTGAGTGCGGACTAAACTTAAGATATTTTAAATTGAAAATCAAACATGCGATAAAATCAACTGAGAGGTATAGTTTATTTTCCCCTTAGTTTATACGTAAACACGAACACACAAGCATACATGCACACGCACATAAGAACATGCAAGCGTAGACTCACGTACACGATCACACAAGCGTAAACGCACACGTACACGCGCACGTACACGAGCATGAACACACACGCACACACACGTATGTAAACACGAACCCAAGCACACACGCACAAAAGAACACACGAGCGTACACTCAGACGTACACGATCACGCAAGCGTATACGCAAACGTACACGCGCACGTACACGAACACGAACACACACGTGCACGGACATGCATGGACGAATCCACAGTCGTGCAGACGTTGTTATAGGAGCTTTCACGGAAGTAAATTGAACGTAGTTTCATTCTATTACACAGTAGCAATCTAAAGCTAAATCCTTGTACAAGAGTTCGAGTGCCGCGATAACTTTCCAGGACGTGAAATGAACACCGATGTATTTAGTCTCATGTCATATATAAGTTGGATGAGATCAGGATATACGTACATGACTATTTATAACTGTCTGCAGTATGTACTTCACACTTTAATATGCTCGTTTGCCGA